CCACCTCTTTTTGGTTATAGGTAGATGGAAACAAAGAAGAATTAAAAGCAAAGTTAAAGGAGGTTCTTCGTGAGAAATCTGACCTTTTTAACTCGGGAAATGCTGATGAAGACAAGGTTTGGTTACTTGTTTTTAACTTGCGAGAAATCTTATATTGTGTATTTGGTATTGCTGTAGATGTTGATTGGTACACATTTTTGTATATCGAAGTTGAAAACGTATATGTTTATAAATTGTTTGAAAGCTGTTTTGAGATATTGAACATTTACGGAGTGTGCATGTAACTTGCAACCACAGTAGCATGTGTACCTGCAAGCATCACTCTGTTGTTGTGCATATGGGTCTTGTTGCATTGCCACGTTTATCTGTATAATTCTATGCTAAGTGAAAACAGAAGAATTATCAATTTCAATGTCATTATATTATCTCAATACTATTCAGTTTCATAATACTGGTTAAGTTGATAATTGATATGCATGAATTATACAATAGTTGAGAAGCTTGCATTATTAATGGGATTCTTTGTCTTATTTCATTAGGTTAAATTGGGAGAACCTGGGTGGAAAGATAGGTATTATGAAGAAAAGTTTTCTGCAAAAACTCCTGAAGAACGTGAAGCAATTCGGAAAGATGTTGTACGTATATGAGTTCTTGTATTGCTTATGTCAAATGTTTATTTGTAAAACCCATTTGTAGTTTTCTCATGTTTGTGCTTATTGGGTAGGTTTTGCGATACACGGAAGGTCTATGTTGGGTGATGCACTATTATTATGAAGGGGTTTGTTCATGGCAGTGGTGAGTAGCTTGTGATCTTTACCTTCCTTGTTCTCACATGTTGCTATAGTAGCTCAAGTTTCACATTTCCACTATGATGTGTCTTTGTTCTTTAGAATTGATGCCTTGATGTTACTGAGAATATTCCTCACAAGAGGGTGGGTCATACTCTCATCATTCTGTAATTGAGGGTTTCAAACTATGTATTCTTTTACTACTCTAGCATTTGTTTTTTTGGCTGAAATGATCATCTGGATGTGGTTGTTAGTGCTGTATAAGGATTGGTTTAAGCACATGCAGGGTTAGATTATCACACAAAAACAGTAATAACATATTGAAATAATGTTTGTTTTACCATTGAAAGCAGGACTAAGCAATGTAGTTCTAAAATGTGAAATGCCAATAGATTGACTTTGGTAATTTCTTTTCAGAATCAATCACTTAAACTCGAGGGTGATGTGGTGTTTTATATTTACACGCTGATGTGGTTAAAAAATAAATCATATTAGCTATATATTATTTTTTAGGGGAAGTTACATAGATGATTAATTTGACAGAAATAAATATCTGCATCGATGATGCTGGTTAAATATCTTTATTGTGCCGATGAATGTCCCTTTTCAGGTTTTATCCCTATCATTATGCACCATTTGCATCTGATCTCAAGGACCTTGACCAGCTAAATATAAGTTTTGATTTGGGCTCTCCCTTTAAACCATTCAATCAGCTGTTGGGGGTTTTTCCTGCTGCAAGGTGTGCTGTTGATTTTTTTCCTTTTATGTGAAAGATTTTCCATCAAGTAATGCACTAATGATAATCCATTTGCAGCTCCCATGCCCTTCCTGAGCAGTATAGGAAGCTGATGACTGATCCAAACTCACCTATCATTGATTTTTACCCTGTTGGTATGTTTTCTGTCTAAAGATAGGCAGTTTAGATCTTATTTGGGGTTGACTTGCTTATTAAGACACTTCTCTGAACCTTTGTTTGGAACCAGATTTTGAAGTGGATATGAATGGGAAGCGGTTTGCTTGGCAGGTGTGTTTCTCTTATTGTAACTTATTTTGGTTTTATGCATGATGGGAATGATGTATTTTGGACGACTGTCAAGTGGAGTCTCTGACATCTTTTTGCTTTTCTGAAGGGTATTGCGAAGTTGCCTTTTATTGATGAAGTCCGTCTTCTTGCTGAGGTTGAAAAACTCGAACATACATTAACGGTACGTTATCTTTTGAGTTTGCATTACAGGCTCTAACTTCCTCTCTTTGTGCTCCCAGAAGTTTTTGTTTTTCAACTCCGCTTTCATTTATTGAGTGCAGGAAGAGGAGACCCGTAGAAACAGTGTGATGTTTGAGATGCTTTTTGTTACATCGTCTCATCCTCTCTCTGTATGCATATATTCTCTTGACAATCGCTGTAAACAGTTGACAGACAAAGAGCGAGTTGAAGTTAAGGAGCAGATCGATCCCAAGTACAGGTTTGTGCAGCAAAGCTATACATTAAATTTACTTTATGCTTTGACGAACAACTTTTCAATACTATTGGGTATTGATTGGTTGTTTCTCTTGATTAGGCAAAGCTCATGCTATTAGATCATATGGCTAGTATTCCATATTGTAGGGGTGGAAGGTTCAAGTTGATTTATTATGTGTTTATATATAATATTATTCTTGAGGATCATGCTATTTTTTGGTATATTTTGTTTGAATAAGGATATTTCTATCCAGAAAAACCCGATGTTTTAGTAGGTATGTATAGATGGAAATCATTTTTTCTGCCAGCTGTTCTGTCCCAATCTGCTACATGATTATCAAGTTTTATTTTGTTCTCTGTTTTTCATGTTGACCGAATATTTAAGAACTGTTTGGATTATTTTCTGATTTTATTTAGGGATGCATGCAGTGAAGGTATGAACGGTTATATATCTCCTTGTACTGGAGAGCCTTGTCCTCCAGTGTTCCGGTCTCCTGTTGAAAGCATGGAGGATATTATGGACAACCAAGTAATGTATGTTTTTGAAATATTTTATTGACTTGCCTATAAATATTTCCCTAGTTTTCTCATCACACTCTCCCTATTCTCTAAGCTCCATTTATTAATATATAAAAAATGGCTTCAATAATAGGTGTTTTTTTATTGAAGTGATTGTGCATTTCCAAAATGTGATGTTTTCCCTTTATGTTCAGATGTGCGATATACAGACTACCAGATGGGCATAAGCATATAACTCGACCACCTGCAGGTGTTATATTTCCTAAGAAGGTAAATCTTGTTTATATTTATCTTAAGATGCTTTTCAATCAGAATTTTGTTATATGATAAACATATGAGTGGTGATTGTTGCTTTGTGTGTTTGGTAATGCGTTTACATGACTTGGCTATTACTGTAATCTCAAGTAACAATAAAGTAATCGAAGTAACAATACAAATGTAACTGATGACAAACCGGCTTGAACAATACTGCTTCTCGCATTTTAGGATTCTCTTTTAAGCGTTTCACTTTGTTACTTATGGTCGGATTTAGGATAATAATCATATGATCATATGCATCAATATTTAGCGAGTTTGAGAGTACAGTGATTAGCAATGAAAAGAACAAGAGTCATAGGTGTTGACTTTTCTTTCTTTATAGAGAATGTAGCTCTACTAGTTTGATGATGGTTCTCGTTCTAGCATATCAATTTACATCAAGTTATTTTCAGATTGTGTCAGTGGGGGATTTGAAGCCTGCACCTGCTTTGTGGCATGAAGAGTCTGGGCGAAAGCCATTTGAAAATGCCAGAAGGCCATTTGAAAATGCAAGAAGGCCATTTGAAAATGCCAGAAGGCCATTTGACAATGCCAGGTAGACCCTGCTCCATTATCCCATTTGATAAAGGGCAACACCCTTCCTTCTACCCAGCAATTTATCTTCTACAATTATGGATTTTGCTTTCGTTTTCAGGCCGAACCCTCCTGGAAGCATTTCTGGAAGACATCTCGAGGAAGCGGCTCATCGCCTTATTGTTAATAGCTTACAGCCTAAGGTAGACTCCAATGGGTATGGCAATCAGATGCATGCCCTTCGACCATCTTATGTCGGGCCTCCAAATTACCCACCACACCATTCCTACACCAATAACGGAAGCTATGCACAGGGACACAGTAGAATGCCACCACCTAGAACAATCCACCATCCTCAATCTCAACACCGAGCTTCCAATGTTAATGCCATCCCAAGAAATGGTGACCCTGGATATAATGATCGACATTCTTCATCAGCTGCCCACCATCATCAGAATAGCTCTCATACTCAACATTATGAAAGGAGTTCTGGGCAAGGATACAACCATTCAGGAAATCACCAGAGCGGAGGACCAATCTACCCTCAGAGACCTATTCCACAAGCTCCACCAGGGGTCACTCCTGTTCCTTATCAAGGTGGGTACAACAATTATCAGAATTACCAACCATCTGGACCGCCTGCTCAAGGTTTTGATGGCTGGGTTCCACAGGTTAGCCAGAACCCAGGCAGAGGGTATGGCCGCCCTCAACAGTCTGGAAACCAGTACTCCGGATTGGACAGAAGAGGCCATAGGAGGCCACCTCCACCCCAGCCTGGGTATGGCCACAAGTAGAGTGAGTTTCTTCTGCTTGTGCTGAAATTGTTGTACTATATACTTGGATGTCAAAATGGCAGCATAAATTATTTTTCGATTAGTTGTGTTTCTGTTACACTATAAGTGCTATCCATGGAGTGGCGACTCGGCAAAGTATTGGTCGGTGGAGAGCAGATTGTATAAGTGGGACAACCCCAAATTGTCGTAACAGGTGAGAATCGAGTATTGAGTGCATGAGTAATTTATTTTTTCTAATTGTAATCGCGATAGTGTACCGAGTTAAATTTTTTCTAATTGTAATAGCTGGTTGCCATGATAAAAGCTTTGGTTGGTCTGTTTATTTTCTTTCCATAAAATTGGGTTGGGTCAATTTTGTTTAGTGCGTTTTTCTTAATGCGCCGTGTTTATGCCACCCTTCAACATGTATGTGCTAGGCCCATTATTATCTCGTGTGCTTCTTTTTGTGGTCACAATTCCTGTTGGCAGTGGAAGACCAATAGGCCCATTATAACATTAGGGCAGATGCCCACCCTATCTCGTACATTCTCGCCATTGGTGTCGTTACCCTAAGCAAATACACATCCTCTTGCGATCTAAATACAAAACCCTAGAATTAATACAGGAAAAATGTGCGAACGAAAAAATAGGGTAACGGCGCTCACCTCCATTGACGAAGTCGTAGAGAGCTCATGTATTGTCGCCATTGACGGTGTCCTACGAGAGCCACTTCGTTCTCCTCTGCCATTGAAAAGCCCTAAACCCATTCTCCTCTGCCATCGAAAAGCCATAAACCCAAGCGATGCTGGTAACTATCAGGAAGCTAGCATCGATATAGTTGCTGTAGTCTGATAAATACTAATCATCGATCTGTCTCTCGAGAAACTCGGATCGAGCGAATGTGGAAATGAATTCCTAGAAAAATACGGAAGCAAAATTTTCTCTAGGCATTCATAAACCCGGGCCTTAGTTTTCTATTGAAACCCTAGCCCTGGGCCTTGATTTTCTAAAGAAACCTTAACCTTGGGCCTTAATTTTCCTGAGAAACCCTGTCCCCTGGGTCTTGATTAGAAAATCACAATAGATAGAATGAGGCCTAGGAGTCGGCGTTCCAAGGCGGGTCCGGATAGTTATAGTCCTTTTACCGTGTTAAAAGACCTTTTTGTCCTTGATGTTGTAAACTGAAATGAAGACGTGTCTCTTTTATTATGGAAATGAAAATACACAAGACACCCAATACTTTCTTATTTTAATTTTTATATAAGCGATATTGGGTGAGGAGAGAATTAACCCAAGACCTCAGGTGCATGGGTAAATGTTTTTAACTACTTGAGCTATAAGCCTTTTACATACTCATTTTCTTTTGCTAACTATTCACCCCGTCCCTAGATGGCGAAAAAATGAACTTTTTTATTATAAAAAGTACCCCTTCCCAACATGTTTGTCATGAGTCATGATTATTGGCAACAAAAAAAAACCATGTTTGTCATGACTTCTTAACCACTTGTTATGAATGCATGCCTCTCATTATTTTATTGGTAATATCATCTTCCATTAAGTATTGTCCCTGTGCTGTGTAGGCGGATGATGAACAACAAAACAAAGTGTGCAAAAAGAATTAATAATAGCATTAAAATTGAGTGTGGTAGTAAATCTCACCCATTGAGTTGAATTTCTATAAATTTAGCACGAAAAACTCGTACACATTTGAAGTCATACATGTCCTGCGAAGAAGATGTGCGCGATAAAATTGAGGGTAATCAGATTCAGAAGAAACCAAGCGCACGAGTGCACCGCAATCACAGCTTGTAATGGTCGGGTGGTGGGGAATTTGGGGACCCATTATTGCTCTTCTCTTCTTTCACAAAATTGAAATCCAATCTCTCTCTTACTTTTTATAATTTGGAGATAAAAAACAGGATTAGTTTTGGAAATTGGAATGTTTGATATCCACGTATTGAGATGATGAGTTCATAGTCATACCACCATGTCTCACTCAAACATTTATCTAAAATATTATATTTTCCAAATATATACATATATATATATTTATTTGGTCTACAAAAAGAGCTGGTGCGATTGAATTTCCATTAAACATTAAAGCATACATGGCGGCATAATGGGATGAACTATATGTATATAACTGAGGTGGTGGTGGTGGTAGTTTTTTTTTCCAGAAAATTTCTACGTACTACGGTTGAGCATGACCTAATCCAGTAAAGATTTGGTTTGATGGATGATGATGATGGGGCCGTTGCCTTGATTATTAAATACAAGTATTTTTTATTAGAAGAAGGAACGCATGAAACAAATTTAGAACTTGGCGAGAAATCCTCGTATTATTTATATGTAGGGCGGCTATGAAGGAATTTGAGGAGCAAAGCAAACCCCAGGAAGGAAGTAATAATTGATAAATATAGGAGGTCATCATGTAGTCATCTATGACGCATGTTGGCGTAGTGAATGTCAACACTAGTAATTGATCATGGCGATTATATTATTCCAATTCTATATCTATCCTTGACACTTTTCTTTACAAATCTATAAAACTATATTTAACAATCGACCCCTACTACCAGCGTGCATGGCATGTCTTGTATAGAAGTATAGAAGAAGAACAAGTAGGGTTTTCATTGGCAATGGCATGCCACGTGGTCTCGCTTTTACTTAGTCATAGAATTCGGCGCGCGGTCGACAACTCACCATCATGTGTTAGTCTCTCTGATCTGACTTGCCAACTAACAGAAGCCATGAAACGAAACAGATTAGACTCAAAAAGGTCACGACTCGTTTCCTTTATTTTCTTTTTTATATTGGATTATATTGGAGGAGACGAAAGGAGGAGTCGTTTTATTCTTGTCACGCGAGCTATGCTAGCTAGGGCTAGTTTCCCAGATGAGTCGTCAGTTGGTTCAATTCTCAATCACATTATAAAAAGTAACAAATTAGTATTAATGAGACGAGTGTTCCCACCCACTTGTTAAGTTGTTAGTCAAGGACAAAACTTCCCTTTATGGAAACAAATTAAAAAACCATATCCAAATGAACTAATCAAACCTGACACGTTTAGTCAATTAATAATTTTTACAAGAGGCAGGTAGATATATAATGGTGACATGACATATATGCCTAAGAAGGCAGGTAAGGTTGAGAACTTAAGAACGAAATCAATATTTTAATGGGTTTGATTAGATGAGCTTGTGGGAAACCTCTCAATTGGATTAGAGCTTTTGAGTTGTGTGTACAACCTTTTTTTCTTCTTAATGAAGCATATTTTTACCTCTAGGAAAGCAAAAGAGAAATTTAAATGGAGTATGATATACAACAAGTTTCATATTTACATTTTTGTTTGTGAACGTAAATGAGCCATTCCTTTATTCCTCAATAGAAAGTACGTAGTCAATAATGAAGAAATAAAGGAGCCATTCGCGGCCCAAAAGGTAACCAAACCATCTCTTTCTCTTTATTGCATGTAAACACATCAATATACCCCACCAACACTCACAAAGACAAAAATAAAGGAAAATATATATGCTTTTTAATTTCATCACAAGAACAAAAAGATCAAAAGAGAAGTTACTTTGGAACATTCTAAACTATTAGACAATTAACGTCCGTCATTCCTCAACATTATGTACCATTGAACTTTGATTGGAAGGGAATATTCTCCATCTGAATCCTTGCACCGGATAAATAAGTCCCGTGTTTCGTTTGAATTTCCATGTGAAAATGTATATGAAATATGCAAAAAATTCTCCGAAAGAAGTTTGGGATAAGGTCGGCTTTACTTCATTTCAACCATCTTTTGTCTAAAACAACTTTATATATTGTCGGAATTTCCAACTACATATACAATACAACTTCTCGAATAGTACATGACTTTTTTCCTCTTTTCTTAAAAAAAAAGAAAAAAAAGAACGTAAGACAGAAACTGAAAATCTTAATCTAGAGACGTGTCACGTGATAGCATAGTGATATACACACACACACAAGATACGCTAATTGGTATGTAGATCAAACAGGATGAATCAATTTATTTAAGATTAATTATGAAAAAAATCAAATTAGACTTCATGAAATTAAAATAACTGGTCCAAGTGCGTAATTCTACTTATGGTGATATAGAAATATATATAATACTAGTGGTAGGAAAGATCTTGGAAACCCTACTTTGAATAGGCTTTCATGTAAATAAGATTTAATAAATAGATGCACATATGATTTAATATTTATGAGTAGCTAGCTAGGTGCCACCTGGATTTAATTTGCAAGTTGAAGAATATGGGAGAAGAACATGGCACGACAAACCATCTGGCTAGCTACTATATATGCCATTTCCATTTGTATTTTAAATTACATGATTAACAAATGGATGTATCATAATAACTAATAACTCACTTGTATTGTACTTTCAGAATCTTCCTCTCCAAGCATATATTGCATGTCCTCGTCACTATATAACTACACCATAAGTTCATGTGTCCCACCAGTACTGCTCTCAAGTTTACAGTTCAACTATTCCCAAGTGGATTTTATTATAATTATTATCAGCGATTTATTATTAAAACCAGCTTTAATTAGCAAAATAATCGAATAAGCACACAAATTGTATTATACTACACTGATGTTAATTATCTATTAATTCATCTAGAAATCAAGTATGTGATATACTCTTTATATATAGATAAAAACGATAGATTACATTTATAATTTATGCACAAAACCGTTATGCATAAGAGTCAGTACATATACACATAACCACACAAGGTTATTACAAATATAGAAGCGCAAGGATACCACCTGCAATGCAACAACATGAAGAGCACAAAGTGTAGGGAGGAGATGAGAGGGCAAGAGTGGAAAAAGTAAGGGAGAGAAGGGGGATTTGTGCATCAAAGCATAGAGAACAGGGGAGGACGAGAGAACAGTGACCTCCTCCCTCTCAAGTCTGTGCGGCACTTGAGACGTCTTTTCATGAGAGGGAAACCGTGAGAATATTTTTTTTCAGAACGAAGGAATTAAAAATTATATTTGTGGTTTGTATTTTAATTTCACGTTAAAGGTTGGAACTTATCTTCTTTAGTCTTCAAGTTCCTTTTCTTATTTGCAACAACTCCATTATTTGTTTCAGGGATTGGGATTTTTTTATTTTTATTTTTTATTTTGAGATATTTTTTATTGAGAGGGATGATAACATATTCAATTTACGGATGCTAGGATTCGAATTCAAGATCTTGTATGAGAGAGTAAAGACTCTAAATCACCATACTAGTGGGTCCTTTGCCAGAAATTAGGATTTAAAGGCAAAAGTCCTGTGTCAAACTCGTTCGTTTGCAATTTTCTTTTGAATTATTTTCATTCTTTCGATTCAACAAGTGCTAGACAAAGCAGGCATTAAAGCAAAAATTGAAAAAGAATATCCCACACCGTCATTCTGTTCCCAAAATTAAGGAGCGTACAATAACTCAGCGTCAATATCAACGTGAAATTCATTCTCACGAGACGAGAAATTGAGAGATGTGATGTGATGTGTGGGGCATTCGTTTTCTCCTCTTCTTTTCCTTTTTTCCTATATAAAAAAGAACCAATAGAACCAATTTCATTCCCTCTACTTTTGGCAATGGCTTTCAATTCATAGCGATGGCTGGCTGACTGTTGAACACAACAAACACATTCACGTTAAGGGGCTCTCTCTGTCTCTGTTTCTCTCTCTGCAAAGAAAACCATATTGGTTTCAGGCCTTCCCTCTAATGGAGAATCAACAACAACAACAACAGGCTCCAGTGAAATCAAGATTCAAGCGTATCTGTGTTTTCTGCGGTAGCAGTCCTGGGAAGAACCCAAGCTACCAGCTTGCTGCTATCCAACTTGGCAAACAACTGGTACTGTTGCTTCTTACTCTTTCTAAAGCTTATAGCTTTATTGTTGTTTCCCTTTCACATATTGAATGAAGCTCATAACTTCATAAGCAGAGCCCGTAATCTGTAAGAAGAATTGATATTTATGTGTCATTTTTTAAGTTAATCGAAGATTCAGGTACCCAGAAGGCATTTTCAATTGGGTCTGAGGGGGTTTTGAACTTTGAGCCATTGGTTTGGCTTTGAATTCAATATTTCCAGTCCGAATTCATAAAAAGTAGTAATCTTTCTAGTCTCTTCTGATTGGGTTGTGTTGTGTTGGGTTGGGTTGGAACAGTGGATGATGAATAATTGAGAAAAGTGATGATTGGATATTTCCTCAAGGAATTAAGGAATAAACAATCATAAAGTGATTTATGAATGATGGCGTAAATGTTGGGTCTCTTGTAATTATATATATGTTTGAACTGAGGCACGTTAGTTTACTAATATAAAAAGAAACATTGCAGGTTGAAAGAAACATTGACTTGGTTTATGGAGGAGGAAGCATTGGATTGATGGGTCAGGTCTCCCAAGCTGTCTATGATGGTGGTCGCCACGTGTTGGGGTAACTTATCCCATTTGCCATCTCTCTCTCTCTCTCTCAGCTGCCCTGCCCTGCCCAGCCTATAAGATTTTCTTTATAATTACTCTCTTCAACTTTGTTTTCTTTTGCAGAGTAATTCCCAGGACTCTCATGCCAAGAGAGGTAATATTTCAATTTCTTACTGGCATAAGCTAACTGGTCGAGTGATTAAGTTTGATCAAGTTTATAATTCAAATCAAATCCCAAAACTGAGTGTATATATTATATATAATCTCAGATCACAGGAGAGCCTGTGGGAGAAGTAAGAGCTGTATCGGGCATGCACCAACGCAAAGCAGAAATGGCCCGCCAAGCTGATGCATTTATTGCCTTACCAGGTATCCAAAAACCTCATAACATATTTAATTTAATTTAATCGCACACACATCATTCAGTTTCAGATTATATATTAATCATCCATATTCCATATGTTGATGTTGGTTAACAGGTGGTTATGGAACCTTAGAAGAACTACTGGAAGTCATCACTTGGGCTCAGTTGGGAATTCATGATAAACCAGTAAGATACAAGAAATTCAGCTATCCTCCTTGTACTCAACTAAATTAGATAATTAGGGGCTGATTAAGAAAGTTAATTATTTTTTATGCAGGTGGGGCTGTTGAACGTAGATGGCTACTACAACTCACTGCTATCGTTCATAGACAAGGCTGTGGATGAAGGTTTCATTGACCCTGCAGCCCGTCACATTATTGTCTCTGCCCAAACTGCCCAGGAACTCATGTGCAAGCTAGAGGTGCATTTTAATATCTTAATTGTCATCCCTTAACACGTGGCTAGCTACTGTTAACGGAAAATGATGATTGATGGGATCTGGCCCGTCCATTTTTATTTCTTCTGATGGGTTTGATTTGTCCAACCAGGAATATATTCCTAAGCATTCTGGGCTAAGTTGGGAGATGGAGCAACAACTGGAATACACTGCAAAGTCGGACATTGCTCGTTGACAAGTTGCCCTTCACTTATATTATACAGGCCATGAGTATGTCGTGGAGGATTTATGACCCTTAGATTACAGCAGATTTCTTCTAAGATACACACAAGCAAAGCAGTTCCCCTCCCCCCACCATATGTAGATGTGGAGCTCCATTAGGGAAAAAAAAAGTGCCAACAACACAGTTGTTTTAATTAGCTGTGGATCATCATGCTTCGAATTTCTTTTTTCTTCGGAATTTTTGATTTAATTTGTCAATTAGAATCTGACCTGGATCACAATACCTGTGATTTGATTTGTAGTTCCTCATGTCGGTGATTTATGAGATTTTGTATATTTTATCAATTTAATTTATATTATAGTTTCAAGAGTTTATGGGCTGTTGCAAGTTGACGAAAAAAAAAAGTGAGTGATAGTGAATAGTGATGGACAGAAATTGCACAAAGTGAGCAGAAAAGAAGGGGAGGATGCCCTTTAAATTCTTTTAAGTATTGGAAATTGATCGTCACCTAATAAGTTCACCATTATTTTTGGTTCTTACATTTTATCAGTGTACTAGAGACATAGCATTACTATATTTATTTGTCTATATATGAGCTTAAGCGACTAAAAGTCGATGTATATAAGCTCATGTGTTCGATTCTTCTCAATAATTAAGATAAGTTCACGTGTTCGATTCTTTCCCTTCAATATAGTTTTTATTATAATTTGTATATACAAAAATGACAAAGGAGACGGGGAAATATAAGGAAAAATTACTTTTATTTGTTGGGTGTGAAGATGGAAAGGTTACGCACGAACCAAGCTGTTGATATTTTGTCAACTTTATCCTTTTGTTGTGAGTGAGCGAGTGGTTTGAAGAGCCTTTGGAGGTGGAGATTATTTTTGGGTGGTGGACTCTGGTGGATTGGTTGGTGACTAGGCTGGGTTGATTCATTATGTAGAGTAGTGGACAGGACACCTGTCCTGGACCGTACCATGCACAAAAGGAATGTGAAAAGCTATGGTGATGGTGGAAGGAAGAAACTAGGTGGCCTGGCAATGGCCCCTCTCTCTTTCTTTCCATGATGGTGCTGCTGCTATATTGGCCATGGATGTCCTAATCGCCTAAGGACAGTGAACTTGTGAGAACCCACGTGGTCATTGGACCCTGGTCCTTGTTGTGGGGGAGCCTAATTGTGCAGAAAAACTTATATAAAACGGGGATATCACTACTTTATTATTTTTGATCAATCACATATTGTCACGTAGAAAAGTTATCACGCGTGATGTATTATGATTGATCGGAGATAGTAAAATAGTGCTATTCTCGTTTAATGTAAGTGTTTCTCTTATGAGAATGTGGAGATTGAGAAACTTTGCAAGGGCTTGTAAGGAATTAGACTACTCCATTCCATTACCAATTGGTTTTGGGGTGGAATTTCAACTTCTTTTATAGTATCAGAGCCATATTTCACGTGTTGAGCCCAACAGCCACATGTACTCTCACGTCACCCAATATACATGTTGTCCAAATGTTAGGCTTGAAAGTTCGCCATATGTGCGGGGGTGTGTTAAGAGTGTTTTGTTCCACATTGAAAAGTTAAAGGACTTAGCCTGGGGTTATAAAGAGTTGGGTTGTCCACGTGTGAAAGCCTAACGGCTACACGTGCTCCACATCACCCAATATGTGTTGCCCACGTGTTAGGTTTGAAAATTCGCCATACATACATGAACGTGTGAGAATGTGAATATTAAATTGTCCTAGGGCTCTAGTTGAAGCCATTGAAACCAAGCGGGGCCCGCTATATGGAAAGCTAAAGCCCACTTTAGGTACTGCCATTCACTCACTTGCGCACTTCCACATTGTTACTCACCCGGATATGCTTTCCTTGGCTAACCTTGTGTGTTTTTGGTTTCCTTGGCAACCCCTTTTTGCTTCTATTTCCTTTTGTTTTTATAGTTTGTCGAGGATGCTGTTACTTTTTATATTTTATATTTTGTATTTTCTCTTTGTTGTTTCCTTGTGTTTGCTTTCAATTTATATTATATTTTAGAATCTCATCCAAATTTTACTTATTTATTTATTTATTGAAATGTTCATTAAAAAAAAATAACATAACATAAACATTCATGAACACAAAATAAGTTTACAACAAAAAAATTTAGCATGTAAATTACAAAATTAAAACATTTAAAGCTCCAAATATAGAGCCTCCATTATAGAAAAGATTCTTTTAAAGCCTGAAAGATTCTATTGGAGCTCTAAATAGGGAAAAAAACTTCCTTGTCATAGTGATTCCACTGTCAACATCCACATCAGTATCCCAAACCAATCCAATTTTGACAGCTGGCCACAGACTTAAAAATATTTTATGCCTATTTTCTTCCTCCTCTCGTCGGCATCTCTCTCTCTCCTCTCCATTCGTAGTTCTCTCTCCAATCACTTATCCTTCATCATCAACACACTAGGTATTGATCCTTCTACTTTTTAAATTTTAGTGAGTTATTTATTAGGAAATTCTGGAAAAATTAGAAATGGACTTGAGAAAGTTTCGGTTGGCTTCGAATATGTGGAAGAACTAGGTACGGTTTTGGGGAGAAAAAATTTATCCGGTGTCACTGTCTCTCCTCCAATATGAAGTTTTTATTTTCTTTTTTTTTTTTTTTTTTTCTTTTTTTTTTTTTTATTCAAATTTTTATATATTTTGAAAAATTATTCATGGTAGAAGCTAAGAGAGACTGTGTTGTTTCAATTTTGTCAGGAAACATTGAAGGTGTGGTTTGGGGGAAAGCTTTTCGGCATTGCTCTCTCCCTTTCAGATATGAGGAATCCATCTCCTTATTCAACCTTTTATTTTGGGTTAATTGGTGATTTGCTCCATGAATTGTATCTAATAATCAATTTACCCCTATCCTTTTTTTTTATTATTTAGAAAATTAAAGATATGAACCTTTTTTTTTTGTTGCAAATTTCTCCCTTACCGTCTAAATCCTAAACATTTCATCCAATTTGTCATTAAATATGAGGACAAATTGGTCATTCCATATTAAAATAAAATAAAACAATTTAAAGTTTAAAATAATAATTATAGAAATAAAGTTTTTTTTAAAGGCCACCTGCCACCTGCCACCTCTCTCTCTCTCTCTCTCTCTCTCTCTCTCTCTCTCCTTAAGCCCCACAGATCCGCCCTTCTTTAGTCCACTTTCTCACTCTCCCATAAATCCTCTAGTGAACCTCCATTGTTGCCTCTGACTGAGACGATAGAAAAACTGAGAACAGAGTTGGATACTGAATTTTATAGGTAGTTAAAGCCCTTGGCTTGAAAGACAGATTTGAGACATTGCATGACTAATTTTTAAAAGTAAATGCACAAAACCAACTCATGCATCTAGCTCTTGAAGAAAAGCTTGTTACTATTTGGAACATAGTAGAATAAGGGAAGAGATTCTCGAACGAGGAAATGATCCAATGACTTCAAAAGAATTGAACGAGGAGCTGTATGAGGTGAAAATCTAATGTACAATTCTGAAAAGCTCAAGGAGGAATTCAACTAAGAGTTATAATTAAATCCTAATTATGAAAACCTAAAATATATGTTTGTACCATATCTGACCCCTCCACTCATATCATGACACGTGGAAAGAGTATGAAGCTAGGGAAGACCTTGTGGCCCACTAGTAGATCAGTTAGGTATGAATCGGCATCCGCGACCGATTCATCCAGCATAGCTGTTAGCCCCTCAATCGACAAGCGCTCCCTTAAGCTCATTGGACATACAATTGGTGCGCCTTGCCGATCCTACGAGACAACCTCGAAACCCATACTTAGATAGTTCGTAGAGACTCGTGTCGACCTCATAAGGCACACCCACAAGTCCCACATTGAAACTAAGTACTAAGAGCATACCAAACACTCTCTATAAATAAGGCATCTTGCCCTAGACACAGGGTAAGACTTTCAACTTGACTTTTATGCTCTAGCATTTGTCAATAGCAAAGCTCTTAAGAAACTTACTTTAGCATCGGATGGTCTCTGGCTGGTACCACACCGGTGCTCTAGACCTTATATGTTGTTTCTCTCATTAGCCTAGATCCAGCATTGCATCCCAAGGAAGAACGTGTTCATACTGAAGGCTTAATCGGTCATTTGACCATCCACGTAACCTGTAAGTAGTTTCTATTTCTATATGTTTAGTTTTAGCGCAAACAATATAAACTTGACATGTTGAAGGAATTATGTCCCACCTCCGAGATTTCATCCATCCCCTCCAACTTTTCTCTCAGCTACACTCAAGGAACAAAAAAGGCAACAGATATATGATATATGATACACAAATCCCAGTTTTATTTAGTTGCTTTTTGATTGTTTTTGTTGTAAGCAATGAGGGTTTCAACTTCCACAATTCAAAAATATTGAGGCAGAAGAGAAATAGGGCGGAGATAAAGATTTGTTTGTTGTCGAAGAGAGAGAGAGAGAGAGAGAGAGAGAGAGAGAGAGAGAGGGTAGGTTTGGTTGTGGTCGAATGAAGGAGAGAGAAGAAGGAATGGTGGTTGGGTAGGGGGAAGACAATGGGGGGGTCTGTGGGTGGGGATATGTTTTTTTGTTGTTGTTATCTTTCTCTTTAATTTTTGTAAAACATAAATTTATTTTTAATGATTTAACATAAAACTGGTGAAATGTTGAAGATTTAGACGGTAAGGGGGAAATTGGCAAAAAAGTTCATATCCTTAATTTTCTTTAAAAAAAAGTATATCGGGTAAATCAAAAGTAAGATACAAGTTCAGGGGGCAAATCACCAATTAACCATTTTATTTTTTATGAGCTGGGGGGCAAATCACTAACTATCATCTTTTTTCATCTCAGTTTAAATATATTAAAGATAAAATGGGGAAATTAATACATGATGTTGCACAAAATGGGAGATGGAGTGACAGAAGAGGGAGAAGAATAAGAACAAAGTTGCATAATTTTTATGTACTAAAAAAGGAAAAGAGGAAAAGTGGAGGGGAGAGAGAGAGAGAGAGAGAGAGAGAGAGAGAGAGAGAGAGAGAGGAATGCCAATGAGGGGAGGAAGAAAATAGGTGCATAAAATATTTTGAAGTTTGTGGTCAGCTGTTAGAATTGAATTGAATTGATTTGAGATACTGATGTGGATGCTGATAGTGGAATCATCGTGATAGGAATTTTTTTCTCCTAAGCTTACCATTGAGCTTGCCCTAAGAGCAACTCCACCAATTTGCCCTTTGCCATGGCAAAAGAGGAAGAGGGGGGGTGTAGGCACTAGGGTAGCCACAATTCACGTGAATAATGGTTGCCCTTACAAAAAGCAATGAGTGTTTTCACCCGTCGTCATGGCAAAGGGCAATTACTATTCATTTTTGTGTTTTTTTCACAACTTTTTTTTACCTCAATAATTAATTTGGATAATATTTTCGGATAAGATTTTTAGGTTCCTACGTGTCAATATTATTCATATCTCATAATCATATAAAATTTTTGGTTTCAAATTTCTGATAAATTTTTTTTAAAAAAAATTTGGCTGGTATTTATAGAAAAAAATTCATTAATTTGTGGGTATTTTTTTTAAAAAAAAATTCTGAATTTTTTTCAGTATTTTATTGCAAAAAAATGGGCTACCCTTGGATTGGAGGTAAAAATCCGATCAAAGAGCCTATACGATGCCACGTGGCAATAGTAGAAAAAATTTAAATGAGTGGGCTAACGTCAGCCCCAAACTCGGGCTCGCGCTCGGGTTGAACTCCCCCTCGGCCAGCCCAAGTTCACGGGCCTCACCTCCTGCCCGGGCAAACCTTTGCTGCTGGAAACGTAATTTGGGCTCAAAACGCCCCAGCCCGCCTCCTGGCTTCTCTGCTGGAACTGCTCTGAGGAGTTGGGCTGATTGAGACCCAGAGAGTAGGGAACTTGCTTTCGCGTCTTTTCATGGTTAATTCCAAATTTGGATAAACATCAACTCGGTGGTGTCTTGTGACTGACTTTGTAAGAATTCCTGTTCGTGGATAATGTCCCAGTCACTCTCCTGATTAGTCAAAGAGTTACTTATTTTATTTGGATAAAAGCACTATTGATTGGGTCATTCACTCACTCCCGCTTAGCGTCCAACTTTACCTTTTCTTTAGGCAAAAACTAGGAATCGAAATTATGTCACACTTGAGGCTTGACCCCATGTGCTTCTAATTCAAAACTTTTCATAATTCTTGGCCCCATTTGATGGTCCAGTTTGAATTAGATTGAAGTTGTCTCCAAGTCAATTTTTATGAGTCTCATCCTGTAAAATACAATATGTTGAATTATTGTCCAATTTAATAAGTCTAATCCCAACACACGAAACAACCATAACTTTTATCTATTTTAATTGAAATAATCCAATTCAGTTCCACCCCAAAAAAAAAGGCACGAATGAATTCAACGAAGTCAAGCCCGAGTTACAAGTGAATGTGAAGCTTGACGTTTACGCATGCAACCAAAAAGCTGAGATCATGAGCAGATAACCCACATAATTCATCATTGTTTGTACAACAAACTAATACAGGCTACAGCACTAAATTTTCTACACAAACGATTCAAACAGGTCATGCATACAGAGAGAACAATATATAATACAAACACACAGGTGTAGATGGTGTCGTACAAATCTAGTCTCTAGGTGAAGGATTGAACTGCTGAAGAGGTGGTGACCAATCCTGATAGAAGGCCAACGATGAGAGCACTATTGTATGTGCTTGGCTCCCCTTGCCTCGAGTTGTTTCGGGCGTCCACGTAAGTTTCATTTAGGAATGGCCCACCAACAAGTGCTCCAACGGCTACATTAGGGTTGGGATCTTTTGTATTTAGATACTCGAAGCCTTCACGGCAGTTGGGCTTCTTATTGGCTGGGATTGAAGCTCCTCTATGGTGAACGTATTTTGGATATTTATCCCCATATCCAACAAGATAGCTCATTTTCAAAGGATTCTCTCCCAACACATAATTAGCCTACAAAGTAAGTTTAGGAACACTTTAGTAAAGGAATAGCAGTTTCCTAAGGGTTTACACACATAATAATACTAGTCTTACCACATTTCTATACCACAATTTTATACCACATTATGTGGCAGTTGGTGTGTACATACCACATCAGCTAATTAATGTGATTTTTTTTTTTTTTTTTTTTTTTATTGTGCATTACGATATGGACATGGCCACATCATGTGGTTTAGAAGTGTGGGATAAAAATGTGGTAAGTATAGCATTACTCTTAGGCACAATATACTTCAGCTGCCGAATCAGATAGCATACCTGAGATCTAGCAAATTTCCGAATATCTGATGCCTTATAGGAATCTCCATCACACTCTAGTTTTGAAGCCCGAGATGTAAGCATGTAGTCACTATAAAGAGCAGCCAGGAAAGCAGAAGAAACTGGATGCTGCAGAGCATTCCATTCACTCACCCATATCAGACCATCTGCAACCATGATGGTAAGGTAAAACCAAGAAGAATGAGAGATGTCAGAAATAGAACTGAATAATTCTAACTCAAAATGATTCAGATCCTTAGGAGCATACTCAAACTAGCCTAGGATAGATTGAAAATAAAATAATGTTTCCAACCGTGGATATGCACTTGATAGCTTGCAAATGTTCACACATCTTTGCTGTTCTGAGCTTCATCTTTGTCTAAGAGAAATATATCTTTTGCATAATAGGACGCAATTGTGTTAATCACTCCCTATTTGATTTAAAGCCGCAAGTCAGATACTATGTAAAAGGTAATGGAATTTGTCTGGAAGGGAGGCTATTGAATTTGAATGTTGAAGAAGAGTTGATATATTTCTGGATAACTAATCTTGAAGCTGGGCAGCAGGTGGAAGTCTCTTACTCTAAAAACCAACAAGGGAAAGATATGCATGATAATCCAAGTAATATGACAATAAAGAAAAAAAAATTACTCTCTGTTCTGCTGTTTGTGGCTGTGGGAGAGTTTGGCAGGAGGCCACACATAACAGCCTCAGCTGTTTTCCTGTACTTCTGAAGGCCAGAATTGCCCGAGGTGTCTTTCCCACCAAAGAAGCTCAACCTGGATAGCAAAACCTGCACGAAAATTGCAGAGTGCTCACACCACTAAGAGAAAATTTTTACTTACAGAATAATGGTACAGTATCTTGCAAATGGACATCCTACGAATATAGCTATTAAAAACAATACAGGAAGAGCAACACATTGTCAAATCATACGTTTAGCCCATTACAGGAGTTAAGGAGAAGCCAGCACACAGTATCCCAATTGAATGGCAGGTTTCTCGGGTGAGTTGCATTTTACTGTGGCATATAACAGTTTAAATCACAGCATGCAGATATCTTAATTCAGGAACCTCAGTCATGACTCATGAGAAGACAAAACACAACCCCAAAAAAGAAAAAAGAAAGAAAGGATAATTCTCAACATACCTGGGTTCCTGCAAGCTTGTTATCCCAACTGAACCATGTCGGTTTCCCAAATTGAGCAAACTCTTCTCCATTGTCCCCTGTGACATAATCAAGGTATGACTGATCCCCTGTTGCATGGTAAAGCCAGGCAGCTGCCCACAGAAGCTCATCTCCATATCCTGTTGAGTTGTAAAATTCCTGGACCTCGGGGATGCTTTGACTGTAAGAGCCTCTGTTTTTGTCGGCAAAAGTAAATAACTGTTTGGCATGCTTAAGAAGTGTGGCTGAATATGTGGCATCGCTTTTCTTAAAGACCAGAGATGCTGAAGCCATAGCAGCTGCAGTTTCAGCTGCAACCTCTGTCCCTGGAGAAGACGAGTTTATCTGTGTGAGTGGTCGCTTCCCGGTCATGTCTTCTGGCCTATTCCAACAATCATGGTCCTTTTTAGGGTCACCCACCTGCCCCATAGTATAAATTGGTAAAGAAGACACACTTCAGAAGCATTACTTGTAATGAAAATGGTTCAACATTAAGCACAGTAGTTTATCAGATTGTAGGTTCAAAAAGGAACATTCCCCAATTTATTCCACAATAAACACTAATATTCGTAACTAAATCGTCACCAAATTTGGAAAATGATCAAGCAAATGACCTTTTTAAAAATCCTACTGTTAGCCTGGAATTCAGTATCACAATACAATGCTGAATATAAGATGGGAATGGGCAAGCATAAGGAAGAAACAGAAATGGGAACGGGCAGAATGGTTGGAAAGGTGTTTGAAGAGTGGTAGACGAAACCTGAATATAGAGCACATTGTCTTTAGGATGAGCATTAACAAGGAAGTCAGTGATCCACTTGAGGGAGCCTTGAGCAGTTTGTAACTGATTCACCGCATCCATTTGATCCCCATACTCAAGAATCGACCACGACAACACCGTGGCAGTAAATGCCATTGGAAAACCAAACTTCATGTGATCCCCAGCATCATACATTCCTTTGGACAAATCCAATTTCTCATCGCTTCCATCTTTCAGACCCGAATCCCCTCTCCATGATATCTTATTATCTACCAACTTACCCGCTATAACAATCACCCACAAATAAAATTTAGTTAGAAAAAACAAAATAAAGATCAAGGACTACAGTCTATACCAACTTTAGCAATTGGGTATTGGTTAATAGTAATAATTTGAATCAATTCAACAGTTACTAAGGAGGTTAATGGCATGGGTAGAAGAGATCAAACACTAAACCAATTTGAGCAATTGGGTATTGGTAATAGTAATAATGTGAATCAACAGAAAGGTAAAGAAATTTAACACATTGCAAAATTTCAAAATGTAGAAGAAGAAAGAAAGCAATACAAAGATCAAACACTAACTATACCAATTTTAGCAATTGGGTATTGGGTGATACTACAACAATGTGAATCAAGTGGACAGTTAGTAAAGCAATTGAACACATTGTAAATTAAAAATAAAAAAGAAGAAAGAGAGAGCCTAGCGTACATTTCTGAATGTCGAAGAATTGCACAGCGAGTTTGAGAGCGTCAGAGTATTTCTGGGTAATGGCGCCTGGAGGGCCGGGGACGGGACCGTCGTCATCGTCGGAGCTGTTAGATTTTTTCTTTACGATTGCGACGACAATGGCAGTAACAACGAGAGCCAGGACCACCAGCACCAGCAGCCATGCCCAACACCCCTTGGACCTCGATTTAGCTCCCATTGATGTTCGAGCTACAAACAATTAACCAAACCAACCAAAACACTAGCGATAAGTAGAGAAGAGATCTATCTAGCACATTGTGACAAACAATAATCGAGGTTTTGGTAGAAAATGTGGTTAATTAGAAACAGAGACTCTAATTAAGCATCCCCTCGGATCGGAAACGCAGATATTTGTTTTTCTTTATTGTTTGTTGGACTGGGCATTGCACCGACAATGCAACAAGGTTAATTTCACCGGCTTTTTCTGGGTTTTTTTGGAGTGTGGGTTGGGTTTCTCCCGTACAATGACGGAAATGCCCCTCCAGGCAGGCTGGCAAACGAAGCTTGGGTTTGGCATTTGTGGCAAGCTGAGATGCCTAGATCTGTGTTAGACTAAGTCAAAGGTGAAGAAGACTCGTGCCCGCCGTTGATATATCACCAAAGGAAAGGACCAGATGATTTTAACTGGCCACCGACAGGACGGTGGAACAAATTGACAGCGGACCCTAAACCCTGGCCTGGTGGTTGGGTTGGGTTTAAGATATCACGTGTCTGCCATCCGCATGACGTGGCTAAAGTGGGCCAAATTCTGGTGCAACTGTGCAGTCGGTAAGAGCGTTGTGGCGGGTCAAAATATTGCTTCATTGGACCAGCAGTCCAGTCCAATCATTTTCTTTTTTTGTTTTTGTGGGAAAATATTTTCTAACACTAGTTTGCATTCTTCCAAAGAGTGCATGTAATATTTTGTTGACTCGAAGAACAAAAGAATGCATGTAATAAATATTTTAGGAGGGGATTATGTTTTCTTCTTTATTTTTTCTTTATAAACTCAAATATTTATAATTTAATTGGATTTAATCTTGATTTCTTACATTGGTGAACAGCCGAAAGACGGTGGACCGTGGATCCCTCCCTCCCTCCCTGTGTTGCAAATTACAATCAATGAAGAAAATAACATAAAAAGATAAAAATTAAAACCAAAAGTTGTGCGTTTTGCCTAAGAAACCCGCTGCTTTCAAAAACCGTACGTTTATTTCATAAACGCATCAAAAAATTAACCCTCTTATCGTTCTCGCGTTTTTAGTTTCACAGTGTCTTGTCTTGTACTAGTGTTTTCTTTTTGCCGATGAAGTCTTCTACTACAGTATCGGGTGTTCTGTTTGGAATTAGTATTCATCATCAGTTGTTTTTTTGCTACACCATATATCTAATTTGACGGCCGACATTTCAAGGCAGAGACAGCTCCCGATCATCAAGAACCTCTTTGATTCTTTTCAGGTATGTTGTTTCCGAAAATTCTCTGCCTTTGATCAATGCAACATTTCGATTGCTGAGCGAACGATTCAAACACTAATTTTCTGTTCCACCCTATTTCAAGATTTAGTTTCTTGGGGTGACTGGAGTTTTCTTTTCATTTTCTGATCAACGCAAGTGCAGAACAATTTCTAGTTCTTTTTAAAAATAAATAAATAAATTTTAGGTATGTATTGGGGAATCTTATAATTAAGTCAATGTAATCAGTTTTGCACCGTCGGACTGTTTATATCTTGGTCTCAGTGGTTGTGCATAGTAAAGCTCTAAGCTTCCAAGCAATATTATATCATATATAAGCTGTTACTAACTTGATACTGAGTGAGTATTTACAGTTGAAGTAATTAACTAGTTCAATGACAATGTGAAGAAGCTTGGAAGATTAAGTTCATCGTCATTGCCGTCTATCTTCTTTGTTTAATTGGTAGTGATAAAAAAAAAATTGGTCTTGCTCTGGTTCTGAAGTTTCTTTTGATATAACACAGTGATAGGGGTGTGTTTATCGAATAAATGGTTGTGTGTCAGTCGGATCAAGACCAATCGAGGGCCAAATGGACAACATTTTGCACCAAAATATTTGCAGATTTGCTGGTTGAGCAAATACGGAAAGGAAATAGGAGTAGCGGTGCTTTTTCAAAGTTGGCTTGGAAGATTATCCGAGATGAATTCAATAGGCAGACTGGTCTCAAGTTTGATAAACAACAATTGAAGAACCATCTCGATGTTCTGAGGAAGAGATACAATTCTGTGAAGGCAATTCTTGATCACCCTGGCTTTACTTGGGATGCTTCTCAGTCTATGCTCCTAGCTCAGGATGATGTATGGCAAAAGTACATTGAGGTAGATTTTCTTCCCCCTTATAACTTCAATGTTTCATAAATACTATAAGGCTTGTAATGCCATCATATAAATATATATATGCATAGGCACATCCTGAGGCTGACACTGTCAGAAAGAGGGGCTGTGATATATATGAACAGCTATGCATTATCTTCTCATCAGACTCCGGAACCAATGTAAATCATGCCTTTATCGTTTTAGGAACAGCCGTGCATCAGGTACTTTTGTTCGTTTTCATGGGTTTTCTATGTCAACATCATACATCATTTCCTTCCTCCTGCCTCAGTAGAAGTAATTAATACTCCCCTCATTTTAGATAGATGAAGACCCGCCCAGGGCCAAGTGGACTCTGCCTCTTGAGAAGATATTTGTAGATTTGATGCTTCAGCAGGTTTTTCAAGAGAATAGGTCGAACAATGCTTTTAGCAACAAAGCTTGGAAGTATATACACCATGAATTTAATAGACAAACAAAGTTAAATTATGATAAGCAGCAGTTGAAAAATCATCATGGTGTTTTGAGAAGGTGGTACCACAGTGTAAAGTCACTTCTTAATCAGGATGACTTTAGTTGGGACAAGTCTCGATGCATGGTAATTGCTGAGAATGATGTGTGGGCAAAATGCATCGAGGTTAGTTTCACTCTACATGAATTGCCTCTTCATTTTCCATAGTATGTTTCTCATCTAGTTGGATTTACAGAAGCATCCTGAAGTTGAGGCAATAAGAGTCAAAGGATGTCCGCATTATGAACAGTTAGACAGGATATTTTCAGAGTCAGGCAGTTCTGGAAATTATGCTTTCCCTGAATCACAGACGGCTGCTTCAAAGGTACTTGTTCTGTACATTTCATTCTTAATCGTTGATGCAATGAAATTATTCACCAGATCTTTTAACTTGCACGGGTTTTGTTTCTTGGAATATATTGTAGATGGATAGTCCGCCTAGTGAAGATCAATTCAAGCAAGATCAATCAAGAGCAAAGTGGTCAGCGCCACTGGATAAGATACTTTTAGACTTGTTGATTGAGCAAACTGGGCAAAATAAAATGTCCAACAAGAAAGCATGGAAACATATACGGGAAGAATTCAATTACAAAACAGGTTTGCAGTTTGATGGTGAACAGTTGAGGAATCACCAAAATGTTCTTAAAAGGTTGTACAACAACATAAAGTCGGTTCTTGATCAAAGTGGTTTTAGTTGGGATAATTCTCGAAATATGGTAATGGCTGATGATGAATTGTGGGAAAAGTACACCATGGTATGCCCTCTGCATATCTCATCTCAAGTTAATTTCCATTACATTGTCATTGCAATGATGAACATTGCTTGCGTTATTCTACTTGCAGGCACATCCTGAGGCTGAAACAATTAGAAACAAGGAGTGCCCAATTTTCAAACAGTTATGCGCATTATTTTCAGAGTCAAAAGCTGAAAAGACATACATTCTCTCAAGTCATGATGTGAAGCTGATTCAACAAACAGTCAATGTGGTGGGCACTCCAGAAACTGCTAGTGTTTCTGCTGAACCTGAACCTGCAGTCGATGAGGCATCATCGCGACTTTCTGAAGAAGTGAATATGTCTAGTGGAAGAAATAAGCGGCGGATTAAGACACAAACGCTCAGCTCAAGTCGTCAGAGGAGAGTGTGTAGGGAAACTAGTAACACAAACGTGGATGCTGTTTCCCAACATGAGGAGGTTCCCTCAACAAACAAGAGAGCAGCAGGAGCAGCTGCTGTAGCGCATAGTGGTGATCGATTCTCAATATCCAGTTGCATTGAAGTATTGAATGAGATGGCAGGGGTTGATGAAGAGCTTTATCTGGCTGCTTCAGATTTGTTCCAGGACCCTGACCGGAGGGAAACATTTATATGCATCAAAAGTGAGATCAAATTGGCATGGCTTAAGGCCAAATGTAAACATCTTTTGTAGTTGTAGATTATCAATCATAATCAATGATACTTTGGTAGTTATATGTTGCAGCAATGCTTGTGTTATTCAGTTTGCATATCCTCTACTAGTGTTGTAAGCTACCGCATATAATAAATATTTTTATTAAAAAGAAAAAACTGTCAGTTTGGTGTTTTTCCGATTATTAATCCTCCGGAAAATTGTTATTATTATTTACGAAATATGTATCACATCACATCTCTGCGAAAAAGGAAAATTGGAAATATCAAATATTCATTGCCAGAACGCACCGTTTAGCGCACTGCGTCTCTCAGAGTAACTGATGCACGAGCGCGAACCGAACCAATCACGTCCTGCCGTGTCCTCCGTCTCAATACACCTTGAACGTTGACCAGAAGCCCCTCCCACATTTTTCTCCTATAGAACCCCAAAAAAAAAAAGAAAAAGAAAAGAAAGAGACTGGGAAGCAGAGGCTACTCTTTCAGGCAATTTCACGGCGATATCCCGGAGACAGGTAACCTCTTTCTTCCACTATTGGTTTCGTCGTCATTGTTTATTACATAATCTTCCTCTACAGTCTCCACCCCATTTTGTATTCTGATTTTTCTCTCGGAACGTAGGATTCTGATACTGAATTCTTCAATTTGTTTAGCGTTTTGTATATAACATGCATAATATGTATAATCTGATTGTCTGGGAAAAACTTGTCTTTTGATATTAATAATTGGGATGTTTTATTCTTGGGGCATTGTAATTATTGTTTTTAGGGTTTTAATCTGCCTACATTCTGGTTGAATCAAGGGAGTTTTACCCAATTTCAAATGAAGAGAAAGAAAAGGTTTTAGTTTTCAATCAAGGCATGTAAGTTCACTCATTTCAATGCTGATTGGGAAATTTCTATGATACAATAATAAATTTATGATCTCTAGAGTCTGTATTTTCTAGGGTTTAGGATGATCATAGCATACTAATAAGTGGAATGTTATTGATTGCAGATGCACTTTTTGTAGCTGTAGATGGACAATGAAGGCAGTCATCAACCCAAGCAAGAACGTTCAAGGACTAGGTGGACAGCTTCCCTTGATAAGACATTCGCAGACTTGGTTGTTAAGCAGATTCAATTGGGAAACAGACCCAACAATGTCTTCGACAAGAAAACATGGAACATTATTCGTGACGAGTTTAACAGGCAAACAGATCTCAACTTCAACAACAATCAATTGAGGAAGCACTTGGATGTTCTAAGGACGCGCTTCTACGGTCTCAAGTCAGCTTATGATCAAACTAATGACTTCAGTCTGGATGATTCTTGTTGTATCGAGTTTGCTCACCTGTGGGAAGACCTTGGGGTACAGCCTAGGCCTGAAACAATTAAAGTCAAGGACTGTCCCATATATGATCAGCTCTGCACGATATTCGCAGACTCAACCGCCGATGGGAAGTATGCCCAATCTAGTCACTATGAGGGTTTGGACAAGTCCGCCGGAATAGACGATGCAGGTTTGAGTTCCTATCCTGACAGTGAAGCCCCTCCTCATCCTGAAATCCCACCATCCTCAAAGCCTGTGCAAGGAAATGCATTATCAGCAGAAAAGGTGGCCAAGGTTATAGCAGAGAGAAAAAGGAAACGTCCATCTGAAACACACTCTTCTGAGGATCAAAGAAGCAGAAGGGATCAAGAAATATGTGATACCATGGCACAAGCCATGCGAGAGATGATTGCTGCCTCAAAGTTGAGGAGGGCCACAGCAATGCCTAGTGACAAATTTTCGATAACAAATTGTATTAGAGCACTGGATGAGATTGAAGGCATTGGCGAAAAGCTCTACTTTCCGGCACTGGACCTGTTTGAGGACCCTAATTTAAGGGAGACCTTCCTCTCTTTAAAAGGCAATCAAATACGGTTGACTTGGTTGCAAGCCAAGTGCAGTAAAACTACCTATGGTTAGAGGTTAGGAGATGAACTTTTTGGCTAGAGGATAGAGGTTAGAGGTTAGAGGTTAGGGGTTAGGGGTTAGGGTGTGAACTCATTGCCCATGTTCATAATATGACTTTTCCTTTTAGTGAAAACTTATAAAAAGGGCACCTCGTCTTCAATGACATAGCCAGGTTTTTATTATGATTTCAGGATTGTTGGAAATTTGTTCATCCCTTGGAACTTGCAAGCAGCAGAATTGGGCATATATTTAACAATATAAGGAGTGAGTTTGTCTTCAAAAAGACCTCCTCGACCGCAAGTTTTGGGACTAGAACCATTTGGGTACGGCCCTAAGTTAAACAAGAAGTCCCATATTTTCATATACCAAGTAGTTGAACTTGAGGCTCAACCATATCAACGAATTGAAAGAAGCATTCGCATGAGCTTGTATGCCACATAACATCTGGTTTGGTTTTACCATTAATGGGTTCCAAATTAGCAAGTCTCATTTTATCTCTTAATAAGTATACAAAGAATGAGGATCAATATCATGACAACTATATTTGGCTCAAAATTCAAGATAAGTGAAATTAATATGGCACATGAAATGTGTATTACAGCAACTTGACTAAACTCATTACAAAATTAATCGGATTGTGCAGCATGACTTGGAAGCTGGTAACGGAACCAAAGACAGATGGCAAGTGGCATCCGCAACCATTTACTTCTGAACTCTCTTTGACGCCAATTAAGAACAGCCTCCTCTTCTGTCTCTGCTACAAACAGTACATGCAGTACTGTCGAAAGATAGATCAGGTAAAGTCCATTTAGTTCTTGAATAAGCGTTTTAGAACCAGAAAGGGCAAACGAATGGACAAATCATAAATCCAAAACACTAACTTGCAAGTACAACTGCACCTTCCAAAGATACAATCATACAGTGCCACGATCGTTCCCTTCCACATTCTGTTTTTTAAGTCTGTAAAAATCCAGCATTTCTTCCTCCACCGGATGGGTCTTGCCTACTATGACAAGACAATGAAGAGGTGCTCCAAAATCAATCAACTGCAGTTCCTTCATTGTACCAGAAACTATCTTCTGATCCTCACTTCCCAGCCGAGCAAGCCCAACACACATGGTGTTTTCATCATATGCTGCAAGATAATGCAAAAATCAAAACTACAGCAACTGGAAGTTGTCTTAAGTTGTGTACAAGCCAGACAATAGATAACATTTATGTTAGAAAAATTTGGGACCCTTACCAGATTCTCCTCGATTGTCCTCAACCTCCAAAAGCTGCTCAATTGCAGTGTTTATTGACATATATCTAGGTGGTTCATACTGCTTCCTTCCTCTGAAAGATTCAAGGGGGGCAGAAAAACGTAAATAAGCTTATGCAACAGCTGAAGCAAAACACATAAAAATAAGACACAGTAAATCCTTCCAAGCTAAAATCAAAGAGAAGGCAGTCAATCATTTGAACACGGACCTGCACAATGATTCCAGAGTAGGTTCCTTCACTCGTATATCTACATTGAAAAATAATTTGTGATGAAAGTTTCTAGCAGGATAAGCATTGGTCTTGTCACTCTTTAAATGAGGAAGTATGAAGAACCCAACCTAACAAGCAGAGAGTATGCAGTCCAAGCCCACGATTTTTTTGAATCTTCTCGTAAAAGCTATCAGGTCTCCAAGTTTCAGTAAAGAACGGAATTGAAACTGTCTCTCCATAGTGGTAGAGTTGTAAGCCACAGATTCCAACTGCATTCATCACTGATGCATTATGTACCACTTTGACATCAATCCCCAACTTCTTGGCTCGAACAACAAGATCAGTGTGAGTTGTAGCTCTGTGTTCCAGATCAAATTATGCAAGAAAATAGTGCAGTAATTAGCGTACAAAGATATTCCTTATTGCTTTTGGATTGTATATTCAGAAAAACTTGATTGATCAAATAACTCGCCCATCATTTCAATCGTAAGTCCAATATTCTACTTCTTCAAGTGATCAAATAACTCAATTAAAATATAAAGTTGTTGGGAACCAAATTATAATTACTTCTCAAAAACAATTCTTTGGAAAGAAATATATAACATAATAAGATGCCATTCAAAAGATAACCAAATTGAAAAGCCAAAACAAGGAGAATGCTCCACTTGTACACGTAGGAAGGAAAGAGGACATACCCGAAAGGATCTCCAACTACAAGGAAAGCCACGTCAGAAGCAGCAGCTGCACTTAGAATTTGGTCGGCCTTCTCCTCCACCGTTTCTCTATCTGCAAGTGTGACTGGTTTTCCATACAAGTTTTCCTGTCCATTGAAATTTCTTCAGAAATCGATGACGTTTTGCAAACAAATAGAGCAAGAGAGAGAGAGTGCGGGCAAAAAGTGATACCAAAGTGGAAAGGCCGTCGGAAGAGAGACCAAAAGAGAGGAGGGATGTGTAGGCTTCTATGAAAATCTGGTCACATTTCTTCACTGCTTCTAAGCCTCTCAAAGTGATGTCTTTCTCGTCCCCCAATCCCAATCCTACGATGTACAACATCCCTCTCTTCCCAAAACCCTCGCCTTGCAAAAACCCTAGTTGGAAAGCCAGGTACCACCACCCACACCAACGTTTCAAACTCTCACTACTGCTCAGAGGCGGCCAGAGGAAGACGAGTTAGCTGTCCAACACAATACGCATGGGCTGGGCCGTCCAAGTTCGGGCCTGGACAACAAAATTTATTAAAACGTGGACGAGTTGGCTTAAGCCCAACCTATTTTTTTTTGTTATTATTGTTGTATTTCTTTTAGTTAAATAGCAAGTCAAAGTGGGATGGCAATTTTCCCCACTAGTTAGGGTCTTCGTGAGATTTTGATCTTAATGGGAAATCGGCTATGGAGATGGGTTTGGGAAAATTTTCGTGCATGATGTTAGGGGCGAGGCAGAGATGGTATTGTAATCTCCAACTCGAACACACCATACTAGAATATATATTATTATTTTTTAAATATAAATATATTGTTAAGTGACTTCTAGTCGCCTACTACGTCTCCTCCAAAATTTTATATTGCACATATTATATTATATTTACATCTAACGGGCACATATTATATTATATTTACATCTAACGGGTGAGTGACCACAAATCTTTTGGACCCCTGTAGTTCAAGAGATCAGGACTGTATATATATACAGTTTCAATCTCTTGAACTACATGAGTCCGAGAGATTGTGATTACCCATCATTGGATATTAATCCAATGGTTCAAAAAAGTTTCTTAAAATGAGTGCAAGAGTAAGTGAACTATTGAATTTACATCCAACAGTGAGTAACCACAAATCTCTTGGACCCCTGTAGTCCAAGAGATTGTGATCATCCACCATTCGATATTAATCCAATTGTTCAAAAAAGTTTCTTAAAAGGAGTGCAAGAGTGAGTGAACCGTTGAATTTACATCCAACAATGAGTGACCATAAATCTCTTGGACCCCTATAGTCCAAGAAATCAGGACTGTATATATTATATATATAAGTCTAAAACAAAATTTACCCTAAATATGCTCTAACTTTTTTTTTCTCATTCAAAAATCATTTTTTGCAAGGAGATGGAATGAGGAACTTGCTCCCCAATAAAGACAAGGCTGGGAATCCCCAATTTGAATATTATGCATATAAAAGCAAGAATGGGGAAGAAAACTAAGGATATGTTTACGTATCAGTAACGGGTATAGGAAGAAAGGGAATGATTTCCATTCCTGACTTCCCTCGCATTTCGTTGCAATCATGAATGAAAAAATGTGTGGGTCCCACTTTAAAATCCATAATCACATTCCCTCAAAACTAAAAATCATATTAATTAGGAAATGGTAGTTGATCCAATTCCCATTCATTTTTTCCCTTACTGCCTTCCCAATCATGAATAAAAACTCACATCACTTTAATATTATCAAGATTATGCATAGGCTATTATTATTTGATTTCGTTCAAATATTATTTGAAATTGGTTAGTTTAGCACCACAATCTAGGGGAACATGGACATAAAACAAAAACTATTGACACTTGTTAGTTTAGCACCAGCTTTCCCTGATTGATGTAAATTAAGCAGAGCATAACAAAACTAGTTATTGTTTCCTCTTATTCAGAAATAAAACAAAAAGGAAGAGAATCAATCATGCGTGGATCAGATGAAGGTATGAAAGCAATTGGACACATCAATGTAGAAAAGGTGAGTAGAGAAAAGAACCAAAAACACTCGAGATTTCTTCTCAATATATATAATTCCTCTTTTAAGTATCCCTCAACTTGGAAGAGAATCCAATATCCCAGTTCTTCTTCTTCGCAGACTTCAGTCATCGTCTTTGAATTCTCTGTTCAAAACAGAACAAAAGAACACAAAACATAAGTTAGTTGCCATTTTTTAAGAATCATATGCACAACAAAACCTAAAAACAAAAAATTGCACATGAAATGATCCCATAATAATAATATTATTATTAATACCTGCGATCAAGGTAGCGAGGTTGAATCCCAGAACCTTGGCATGTGGTGCAAGTAAACGAACCCACCCCGTCACAATTAATGCAGTTAGACACTTCTTTCTCATCCCCACCAAGCTCCACTACGATTGTGCCAGTTCCCGTACAAAACCTGCATTTTTCTGCGACAGAGAGGACCAAAACTACAACTTGTTTACAAACAAACTCACCGTTCATTTCTATTTTCACAACATTTGATAAATCAAAAACACAGCTACTACAAGGAAGGTAAAATGGTTTACTACTTGTATATATATAACTCTATATATTTAAACAAAAATTAAAGAAGAAAAAAAACAGTTTCTTTATTACTTACGTGCGCCAGTTCCACTGCAAGGGAAGCATGGCTGAGTGTTGTCTCGCTTTGCCTGCAATTAACACTAACCTTAATTAGAAGCTGCAACTAGTATCTATTAAGTATTATTAACACACCATTTTACTACAAACTTGATTAATTAATTATAATTTGATACATAGAGCAGAGGGGAAATTGCAATTACTCACAGCACTGTCAATTTGGGTTTCATAGAAAACCGGAATGCCAATCCCAACTGCAACACTCACCAACCCAACTGAGATTGCCACAACCTGAGATTCATGCTAATTTCAAATTCCATCGAAAACTCTTCCAGAATTTAAAAGAAATGTGTTCAAAATTGGGAAAGTAGTAGAAACATGATTTCGAAAGGAAAAGAGTGGAGGAAAGAACCGTGTTTTGATCAAGATCCAGAGCTCTAATGCATGGATACGACCTGGGCGACCGTTGATTTCCTGCAAATTTGTGGGATATACATAAAGTAGAAGGAGACGTGGAGAGCTTGAGGGGGCAGCAGAGGAAGGGAGAGTGAAGGCGGGGAATTGAGGGCGCTAGTGACATTTCCAGGTCAATTTTCTGGTATACGAACTACAAACAAATTAGTAAGAAGTCCACGAGAAATATTGCAGCATTTTACTTGAAACTCAAAACTGAACTAGACAGACAGAGAAACATAACGCAATGGTGTGATGGTAGAAACGAAACCAAGGACCAAGCGCTAGTGGATTTGGATATGTGGGGTTCACAGTTGGCTCTCATATCAAGTGTCAACCACCAGACAGCCGAGTGGAGAGCTTTATCTATCACAAGTTCACAACACAAGCTCAATGTTTTCCTCTACGTGGCTCCATCCTCGGCTATGAAAATGTATTCTTTGGAATTTTTGATGGGTTAAGGAAGCCCAATAGTCTGGCCCATCTCAATCTTGATGGGCATATAACCAGCAAATGTATGGGCTTTCAACATTGTCAACAATACATACCACGTCAAAAGTACAAGAAAAATACCACCCCTTGCCCTTGGTTAGATGTTCGTTATATATATCAGAAATGACAATGGCTGAAATCCACCTGGAAAATCAGACCTGAGAAGACACAGCCAACAATAAGAGTATGTCACTTTCAGTTAGGTGTATCTTAAACTACGCTTACAACCCAAGTTTACATACATCAGTCAACACCAACCGGATTCACCTTTCAACCCAACTCCAACTCTGATACCAGATGCGACTTCATCACGTTAATTCTGAGAATTGTTAAATCAGAACCCTTTATCTGCTGAACCGCGTTTTGAAAGAACAAATGAAACAAATGGAATAGAAACTAGAGGGCCACAAATTTACATCAGTCTACTACAACCATTCAAGAATCATCCCTTGGTCCCACCTACTGTTTATAAGCTGGCTTCCCAAGCTAAAAATTTGAAAAAGGAGCTGCTTCAGCGGCCTGCAGAACGAGCTTTCCTCAACCTTGCACGTGTAACCCGAATGCTTTCCTCCATGACTGTCTCTTTTGGGGGAGGGTTTGTATCTTCAGTCGATGAAGAGGATGCCACTGCTTCAGTCTGCATTGGTTCAACCTCCTCAGCTGGGACAGATTGGCTAGCAGATTCAGATGCAGCTGCTGTCACTTTTTGAGTATTTGAAACTGCTGCTTGGGGGGCGGCTTTAGGCTTTGTTGAAGGAGCTAATGCTTCGGCTATCTCCCTTTGGTCCTTACTTGAAGTAGTACTAGAAGTGGGAGATGGCAGTTCTTCAGGTTGCAATTGTGTTTTAGCAGCTGGTTGTTGATTTGGAGATGGAGGGGGTTGGCGAGCAGCAGGGGGTTGACGAGCCCTAACACCTTGTTGTGGCTGCAATGTCAAGAGTAACAACTTTGTCAGCAGAGGCAGTTGAATAATATATAATGCAGTACAGCCGATATAGTAACGATAACCAATAAATATCATGCAATGAAGGTGCCCAATGCAGGGTATTAAAGAGATGCAATATGCAATCAATAACTCATGAAACAACACAGCATGGACTAGTCAAAACTTGAAGGAAAAAGCAATTTATCTAAGGTAGGATTACTCTGAATCCAGCACCACTCTAACCAAGGCAGGAACAGTCCACTGTAATTCCATGGAAGAAATTTATAAACGATATCCCCAAGTTCAAACCAAAATAGCTTTTAGGAAAAGAGCAACATAAAAGTTGGAAAGACATTCATAAAATAGCTATTGAAAAGGGACAGCATAAAAATACAGAATTAAGCAATTATATTCAACACTGCCTTAATAATTCAAGGTGCACTAAAAATCAATAGCCGGATGAAAACAAAAAACAATAATTTTATAATAACTTGTTCCAATTGATTGGATGCCCAGAACAGTCATGTTGCATTTCAATAGTGACAGGAGTTAACGGTAAAATTGAACATACCAAGTCGGAATCATGTCATCGTACCTGAGCAGGGCGAGGCCTTGGTGTCGACTGTGCAGCAACATACTGCAAAATATCAAATATTCTCGTCTGACCATAGCTTGCAGCTCTTTGCCAATACACAACTGCAATGTCACCCGCCCTAGTTCTTAATTCCAGCAAGTTCCTATCAATTTCATTCTCATGCTTTGCAAGATATGGTCTAAAGAAGGAATCATACACATAGGTCGTTCCCTGCAACACATAGACAGTAGTGAGTATGAGAAAAGGAGTATTAATAATAATAAGGGAGACAAGCAATTAAATAAGCTGATAGCCCCTATAGAATCCTATACCTTTGTTTTAGGAAACCACAGATATATAATGAAGAGCAGCTTAGCTTCACTATACATTGGAACCCTTCAATAAAAAGAAAAGCCAGAATGAGACAAAGAAGTGGCACAACAGAAGCATATTTAAAATCCCTCAATATTCAAATACAAATCCCTACCATGAAACAAAAGCATCGCCAATTCTCTCACATACAGTCAAAACAGCCACCAAAATCCTGAAATTCAAAGGGGAAAAGAGTGTTATAACTAAGAATGATTAGGAAATGTAAAAGACTATTTCATACACAAAAAGCAATTTATACCAATACTGGCACCAAAAACGAAGTTGTTCAATCTCTGGCTTGTTCTTTTCAACAGTTTTGTAGCACTCGTAAGCTGGATAAGCATAGCCAAGAACCATCCTGACAACGCATTAAAAGGGGAAAGTTAAAATTTGACAATAATCATAAGTCCCTTCAAAAGAAACCAGAAAGTGAGGGTCAATTGATGACATACACAAGTCCTCTGGTAAGAAAGGATCCTATCATCTTGTAGACCTGTCATACACAGAAAATAAAAGCTGGGTCACACAAACAAGTCTGGCAAAATAATAATAAAGGTGTGAAAGTAAAGAAACACAAATAGCTCAATTCAATAAGAAGCAACTGCAAATTTTCAAAGCCAACATAACTAGCAAACGAAACATCCTTCAAGAACTTTCATAGCAGAGAAAATGAAATTGCTTCTTTTTTTTTCGGTTGTAAAAATTGCCATTAATAAAAATTAAAAGCAAAATAAATTCACAATTGATATGAACCATAGAAATGGCCCCACCTCTTGTTGTTTTCCTAAATCAGAAAGATGCTGATACTCAGATACATTTTCGTTTTGGTTTACTGGAATTTAGCAAATACCAGACAGAGATTTACCAAGAATCGGAGGAGAAACGAAGTATTTGGACTGACTATAATTTAAAATCGTTTAATTGTTATCCTCCACAAACAAAATCCCCATTCAAATTCAACTGAGTACAACAACAGATTTGTACAAAACAACACGCTCAAGCAGATGATCGCACCATACGGAAATTAATTTGAAATTTTTTGGAGTCAGCATAGAAATTACCAGCATTCATTACCCCACAAAAATGACAAATTAAAACCATTTAAATTTCTGAAACAAAAAAACCACAGAATGCAATAATCCGATGCTGAAAAGAGCCGAAACATTACCCAATCTCATTTTTCATGAAATAAAATAATACGCTGTTAAAGAAAAGAAATAGTACCAATTAGAGTCTTAAAGAGAGAGAGAGTGTGAGAAATAAATGAGTACCTCTTGACGACTATTTTGAAATTGTTACGGATTGAAAAGAAAAATACTATATAATGAGAGTTATTCGACGAAGTTGAAAGAAAGCGAATCGGCGAACTGTTCGGGGATCGCCGTCGGACGAAAACGGCGCCGCCGAAAGGCGTCGACGAACCGTAACGATGTCGGCGGCGGAAGAGAGAGAGAGAGAGAGAGAGAGAGTGAGAGAGTAGCAGTGTTTGTGCCGTTTAAATTGCCATTTGTTTGTTGGGTTTGCTCCTTTGGCTTCGGATGAGATTGGATTTGATTCGGTGAGTTTTAATAAACACGCTCTCTCTCTCTCTCTCCCCTCTCTAGTCTCTAGAGAGTAAACATTTTGCTTTTGGGTTCCGTATCGGTATCACCGTATCATCACGGAGAGCGAGTTTGGTGTTTGCGTGTTGAAGGCCTCGCCATGTACATTAGGGCTTTGATCACCGTTAAAGTTGAAACACACGGGTCACGTTTCCCTTGGCCTTTAAATCTTGACACCTCAGCTGCCGGGCCCGCATCTCTGCTCTATGAAAATTCCATTTAAAGCATTTTTGGCTTTACGCCCTTTTCACCATTTGAAGCCTAAACAACATGTTACAATAATAAGCATTATTTTTCCAACTATCCAGTGGCAATACGTGATTGAGTGGCCAGGCAATTTCACCACGGGGTTAGAAAATGTGTATGTTAGAGAAAATTACATAAAGCGTTTGACCAAACAGAAAATTAGATAAAGTGGGGTTGAGATTCTTGTCGAGTATAAAGTATCCGATGAAATGGATTATGAATAATGATTAACGAGCAAAAGATTAAAATAATTAAATTTAAATATGTTGGGGTGGGGTCTACGGAAGTAACGGTAACATATAACATCCCTGGTGTTTTCGAAAATAACACTGGACTGGACTGGACCCACACATTGTCCAGCTCCAGTCTCTTTTATGTACAGTATTTATTTTGCTATTTCCGTAGTCTAATCCCATTTGCCATTGAAGCTTTTCGGTTATTTCGCATCTGATATTCAAGTTCTCCTCGTATGAAAGAATTGGAGATAATACAACATTAGAGCATTTTCTTCTTATTATAAAATTAAAACATGTGAATTAGTTTAGGTGTCAATCGCTCAATATTTACCTTGGGATCCTAAATTCAAACTAATTATTTATTATATATATATAAAAAAGCAAAAAACAAAACAAAAACAGTCTGACTCTGTATGACGGTGGGATTATGGGCTATGTGGTGTGGGCTCAAGATCGGGGTTGAGTTGGTAAGGAGCAAGGGGGCATAATGAGGTGTGTCGCAGGGCCCACTGTGACTGAGAATCTGAGATGGAAGGGTTGGTTTGGGCTATACCTATATGACATGAGATGAGAAAGGTCATCATCCTTTCCTCCTTTCCTCCTTCCTTTTGGCTGTTTTCTCTAAGAAAGAAGAAGCAAGCAAGCAAAACATCCGACCAATAAATTAAAGTTAAAAAAAAGTGTACGATAAATGAGATTCTCCCCGCTCTTTCTTTATTAATGTGGCCACACCACATGAGAAAAAGAGACTACATTTACACGTTAAGCCCTAATAAAATCAAATAAAACCAAAAGGAGGATAGAAAGAGAAGATTATTGTAATTGTAATGTATCCTTTTGTTTGGTTAGAGGACCTTCTTGTTGTGAACTTGTGAGCAATGAGCATTGATGATAAGTATAGATTATCGTGAGTGCATCCTTACATTACACCCTAACAGACGGATGGATCATGGATATGCAGATATGATAAATAAAGCATGCTGAGTAAATGTGTAAGAAGAGAGGCCATCATATTCGTATACGGGTCTGTCTTTGTCCTTGTCTTTCCTCTGTGTGTGTGTTTTTGTCAACCACAAGCCTTGGATTGGATAAAGAAAATTTAGATAAAGGCGAGGATGAAGCATGTGGAAGTGGGGAAGGTTCCAAAGCGTTGGATTCTCAAAGTTAATTACTACTGGAGACTTCCCATGCATATGGCTTCATCATATTCAGCTCTTTCCCCTCATCTCCTGTCCTGCGGCATGTGCTTCTTATTATTTCAGTTTGTTGCCCTGTCACTCTCAACTCAATGCCCTACCCCCACCCATTTTTCACTCACAACTCAGTGCCCTGTTTCAGTCTCAGCTCAAGCATGTCTTGGATCCTTCCTTGGACACACTCAACTCAAATGATGATGATGATGAATGCATGTTTTCGTCATGCGTTGGTTATAATTACTAATGATGTTACATTACTATATTCGTATCGTATGTATTCTTCCTTAACCCAAACGTAACGTTTCTCTTTAATTTACTAAATCAAATTACTCTTTTTATAATAAAGTGTAACTGGAATTACTGGTACTGAACCAAATTACTCTTTTTTATAATAAAGTGCAACTGGAATTACTGGTTATTTACCATTCACATGTCATAATCCTAATCCAATGTGTGTGTGTGTGTGTGTTTTTTTTTTTTTTGGAAGACCTTTTTTATTGAGAGGGGTGATAACATACCAAACTCACACACATTATACGGATACTAGGACTCGAACCCATAACATTTCATGAGGGAGCAATTATTCCAAACCACTAGACTAGTGGGTCATTTGCCTAATCCTATGTATTTAATTTGACTAAACACGGCTAGACTACCTACCTACCTACCTATCCAATCCAATTCAAGTATTCTATGTGTTACTTAATTTTATGGGACTCTTCCCACCAAACCCGATTCTTTCTAATCCATTCCATATATAGGGAGCCCATTGTAAATTTTAAATTTAGCTAAAGAAGTAGTTTAAGAAATTTATTATGGATGTTTTAAGTTGCCAATTTAAATTCTACCTTATGGTATTTAAATTCCATCATGAATAACAAGTCACGTGAAAGAAATTACGGCCACGCTGCAAGTGAGTGTTTGTGTGTAAGTTCACATTGCATTGTTAGTGGAGTGGAGGAGCTTTGTTCTACATTTGCAGCACAATACAATCTTTTTAATTAATGATGCCAACTGGTGGTTGAATTATAGATAGATAGATAGACTCATTGAATAATGAGCCCACTAATACATACACCTCAATTATGGGAGGCACAGCCAAGCCACCCCACCTACTACTTCTAATTACTAAATGCCTTGGTGACAAATGCCAATCATCCACCCACTAATTCTATTATTAATCAACGTAGCAGGAACAAAGAAACGTCTCTTTTCATTTTAGAGTTTTGTTCTAATATTCTTCTGCTGAACGCCACAAATGCAATAACCGTGTGGTCGAAATTGGGTGGACCAGACATACTAACTAACTAACTAACTACAGTGGTAGGTAGTAGTGTCTGCCATATCTGGGCCGTCAATTCTAAAGCTCCCGTCCACCTACGGGCTCAGATCGACTATTTCTTACAAGTTGCAACCCAACCCAGGACGTTGACACTATACAGTGCAACAGACCAAAATACTCCATCTCATTGACTTGATTATAAAGACAAACGCAATTTTCAGAGACAGCACTGATGCAAAATCCTTGAACTGAAAATGATGTTGCCAATTGCATTAGCAATTTTTATTCAAAGTGTATGGTCACGTCAGGTACGGGGTTTTTACCTCAAAAATTAAGACAGAATCCTTGACCTTATTTCAAGGCTTGGTTGACAAATAATCTCAACAAAGCAAAACTCAAAACACGTATTTAGAATAGCAGTTACTTGCATGCACCCCCCACCAGACTCCCCCATATATCTGCCTCTCCGCACGTCGCAAGCCCTAAAATTGCCAAATGAGGGTGTTTATCTCTGGTTTGACTGAAACCGGTTATTCGTCTGCCTTCACATGACCCATATAGGTTGCATAGATTAGATGGTTATAGGCAGCCATCCAAATGGCATCCTCGCCGTACATTGTAACAAATTTCCAGCAGCAACTATGGATTTTACTATAAAAAAGATATATAAAATAAAAAGGTCTAGCTACACAATTTCATATCAAAACATGAAAAGAATATAGCACCCTTCGTGCCATCTGGAGCAATCAACCACCTGATTCCCATTTACACTACGGTCAATGTCCATTGGCCAATGCTGCACCACTCTTCCCAGAATTGTCTTGAAGGAGAGGTTATTTGCTCTGGGCCCAGTCCTAATTCGCTGTAAGTTTCAGCAAAGAAGGCCGTTAGTTAATTTAATCACATACAGGTTTCTTGATTGTGAAATAGGTAGGTCTCTAAACAAATTGTTATGTAGTTTTTTAAGGAACAACTTCCAGGAACATCCTTTGTTGCTGTTACACAAATGCTCCATTTCCTTTTTGCATCAAGGAATAATTGTATAAGATTCGGAACAAAACAGAGAAACTCAAATGGAGAAAGGATGTATGCTAACCCCACAGATCTGTCAGGCTGACTTCAGGCTCTGATCTAAACCAATAATCATCATTGGCCTGCAAACAGAATTAGTATACACAAATCAGTAAGGTTAATTATGACCAATGACAGAAAAGTAAATACATTAATAAGTAAAATGCTGGAAGAAAAAGAATACTAACATTGAAGTGTGAAGGAATAATCTTCTGAATCCCAGAAGATGCCTCCGAGCCTGGTAAGCTGAGAATTTCAGAACTGTCCTTTTTATTACCCTGATGGTATGAAGAAAGCCCTCCGTCTTCCACTCTGGAATAATCACTACTATTCCAAGAAGATGAACCCACTGATTTAGCTTGCTTAACAGCAATATTCTCACGTTGCCCTTGGTATTTGCTACAATATTGAGAATATAAAGTGTCACACCAAAGTATGAAATCGTAATCCGCACATGTGAGAGAGAGAGAGAGAGAGAGAGAGAAGGGGGAGGGGGGGGGGTGGTGGGGTGTTGTTGGTAAGGATGGGTCAGATAGCCTAGCCTATGCATGTATACAGAAAAAATTACCTCAAGAGGTACAAATGTATAGGTCCTATAGTGCTTCTGACAATCATTCTAAACTGATTTTGGGGAAAACAAGTATCCTCCTGATCAATTAAAAACCAAGTTAGATATTATGCGATTTACAATACAAAGTCTCAAACCACATCCATCTAATGTACCCACCTCATCATCAGGATCAATAACTTCAATATAACTAGCTTGGGGAGCTTTTATTGCAATAAGTGTTTGATTCTGTAACAACAATAGCAGTAAGAAAACATTGGGATTGATCAATAGTTATAAAGCACAAAGTAATGGAAGTTTCAAAGATCTAAAGTCAAAAAATGACCTGGAAGCAACGAAGGCTCAAAATATCTTCCTCCGTCAAAAATAGGAACCTAAACAGTTGATTTTAGCAGATTATAAAGTTAAAAATGGGAAAAGAGAAAGGGAAAAAAACACCAGGACTTAGAATATACTTTTATTCTTTTCATCTTCCTCCAGGGCCCTCAGACGCTCTAGCTTTTCCCTGAAAAAATAACCCCTTTATAGCTCAACATACCAGACAGAAAAACATCTCAATGCGTCTAATTCTAAACAACCAACCTTATAGCATCATCAAGCCTGCATTCTTCAGCATATAAACTTTCAACTTCATTCTGAAAGAAAACAAAATGTTCTTCGTGGTTAGAGAGAGTACAAATACTTCAAGTTTGCAACATGATTATAGCAACAGAGTAGAAAGCCTGACTTTTGCTTGAAACCAGGAATGGCATTACAATATATCACCACTCACGACCAATTTCAATCATCCAAACCTCAGTTAAGATTTGAAATTGCTTGTCCACCCAAACAAATAGTGCATTAAATTTAGGATAAGATAGCAACTCATTTTACAAAATAGTTGGAGGCATTGATAACCTTGAAAACCGACAGATCAGCATCACTATTTGAAAGGATGTAATAAGTCTCGGTAATGTTTCAATAGTCTTTCAAAGTTGGCATACACGACACAGGCACACATGCAATGAGCAAGACGTTGAATTATGAACAAGATCCCAATGATTAATATTCTACATGCACCTGTATTCTAGAAACTTGATCATCTAGCTCCCCTGGTGTTGACCCATCATAACACCTGCCATTAAAGTGCTCTGGTCATATCAAGTCATACATAAAGTACCAAATAAAGGAAAGTGAAGATTTATATAATTACTTCCAGCGTATATGATTCTTTGAAGTTTTCTCTATCAAATTTATTCCTTCAAGAACGTTCGTAATATCATATATCCTCCGCTTTTGAACCTGCAACAACCAATATGTAATAAATTCAATAGGTTACAGTTCAAACATAACAGCAAGTGCATGCTACAGTCTGACTATGGACTCTGATATCAAAGACATTTGATATACCTCCAACACCTCTGCTGTTTTGTTCAAATCAAGGGTTCTATCCTTGGCCTCCTGAATTAAACTAACAAATTTCTTGGTTAACAAGCCTGCAAACAACATATTACACCCCTTATTAATCTCGATATGCCACATCCATGAATGCCTGTAACAAAGTGAGTGCTCTAAAGTGTGTGCAAAGTTAGATAGAAGGAGAGGGACAACTCCTAATGATTTTTTTTCCCCTTTTTTGATCCTCAACTTACCTAAAGAGCTGTCATAGCGGCAACCAATAGCTGGATTCAGACCATTATGAGAATCCGCAGTTGATCTTTGAGTCCCAGCTTTTGTATGCTTAGGAACCTTTAACTTAGGGTTATGTTTTCTACCCGTGCAGGACTGTGGAATAGATAACGACGGATCATGAAGTACCTTGCTCGTTCCAGCAGCAGCTTCATGCCCACCAATCTGAGCCACATCATCTATTTCCTTCTTTGGTCTCAACTGCAGCAATTATTGTTTATAATAAATATGAGAGATGTGCAAAAAGAAAACATATCAAGCATGCTAAAATCTATAGTGCAATTAATTTCTAGGAATTACACAATTTCTGATGATCCCAATTGTAAAACAACCTGACTTCTGCCATCATTGTTGGTAATCTTGAATAATTTAACTAACAGCAAATTAGTAAGACAATAAATTAAAGAGAAACAATGCCAACTTTGCATAACTCTAAAATGTAATTCTCTTGGACTACAACTGACTTTTAATCTCTGTCATTTCTTCTTTTTCTTCTGAATAAGTTGTGAAATTCTATAGTTTGTATCATCCACGAGCGTGTACGGAAAATTATTACTAAAAAAAATTTTAAATTTTAAAAATCCGTGTAAATTGTAATAAAGACGCAGATTGTGCAGTTAATGTGGGAAGATAGTATGACCATTTGTTAAGAGAAACTATTGCAAAGAAATCACGAATTGACCACTATAAGCAGGATGCGAAGTTAATGCCAAACATGCGACTCAATAAATTATAAGGAAACATCAAAGCCACCGACCAATAAAATCCACAACTAATTATCAACAACAGAGAAGAAAAGAAATCATTAAAGCAGTAAAGCCTCTAAACTTTTGAAATCCTATCAATCAGAAACTGAATGTTTTATAACGAAATAGAAGAAGAAGAAGATAATGACGATGATGATGGATTGCGGTGATCGTATCAATACCTAACAGGAAATTAATTCCGAAACGAAAATTGAAATCGAAAAAAATACGACGATGAGGAGCAAAAACTCACCGCCAGCTTAGCAAAAGCAGAATGGGCGTCCGCGTGAGAAGCAAAAGCGCTATCGGAGAGGCGGTGGTGGCCGGAGTCGATGGAAGGAGCGAAAGCAGGAAATGAGTGGGGAAGAAGACGTTGAGAGGAAAGCAAAGACGGAAGCAGATAGCTCGGATGGTTCTGATGATTCTGAGTCTGTGAATGAGAGTGCAGCAGCTGGAACTCGAATTGAGACGGTCGAAGAAGGCGATTCGGATCCTCCATCTCCATGGGTAAGCGGGAGAGAAGCAGAATTGAAGAATGTGAGAGAGAGAGAGGTAGGTTTTTGAGTGTTGGAGGGAAAGGGGAAAATCGACTGGGATGGATTTTGAGAGATTATTATATATATATGTACGTGTTTTTAATTACTCTCTAATTTTGTGAGTGTGTGTGTTTTAATGGCATTTCAGAAATGGAGAAGGAAACCAAACACAAATCAAACTCGAAGCGCAAAGCGAGAGCGAGAGAGAGAGTAAGCGCCGTCAGTCAAGTGACGCAACAGCGGGAAACGTATGCGGATGAGTTCGAATCCCCTCGCCCCGCCTTTCGGCTGTCACCGTCACTTCGGTTTTTATTGTAATTATAATTTGCATCGCCTTAAACTCCGGCTCGGCCTTCTTCTTCATCTTGGGCTTGGGCTTCGTAATGGGTCGATGGCCCAACGTTCCAAATTTACCATGTCCGCTCAAACATAGTGCCGGTTTGGCATTGCTTATTTTAGTTAATAAGTGATATTTTAAAATTTTTGGAAAACCCAGCCAATTTGGTAAACTATGAGAAAATCACTTATTGTTAAAAATTGTTGTGAGAAAAAACTATAAGAGAAAACAACTAATGAGGTGCTTTTATTTTTTGATTATGTAAGAATCAGTTTCGAAGAGGCATTGAGTTTAATGATTATGCGAGAATCAATATCAACAACACTTTTAACAAAAAGTTTACCAAACATCAAATTGCTTTCTTATAGCTGGTTTCTCTCAAAACAAATCTAACGAAGATTATTTTCACAGCACATCAATGCCAAACTGACCCATAATAGGCTCCAATTAATTTTTTTCCGGCTTTGATTCTTTACAATATACGAATGTAAAAGTTTGCTCACATATGAGGAGCGGGTTCAAACTAGGTTGAAAGGAGGCAAGCACATTGCACGTCAAATATGATGAAAGTCTACGACAGAAATAGGTTTCTGGTAGAAACTTTAAAATATAAATTCGCAAGAAAAATAGAGCACCATCATTATTCTCATTAGGCCCAAAAAATAGCCGTAAAAATACACAAGGGCCACAATCCACAGATTGCAAACCCTGCAAGAGAAAAAAAGAGCGCTGTATTTGCAGGTTTACAGATAAGTGAAAAATGAATAGCTAGTGTACATTTTGGACGCTGTGAGTTTTGCTCACGAACATCCATATAACAGCAATTCACTCCTTGTGATTTAGTTCTTTTAGAGGTAGAATCAGTTGGGACTTATCTTGGTCCCGCTGAGAATGTAACCACCGAATGCATTCATCTGCATGCATGGATGGGTTCTTGAGGGAAGTACCTGCATCAATTTATTCAAAAAGAAAGGAACATCAGTCGATCTTTTCATCACAAGAATCATCATACAAACACTAAAACAACCAAACAGATGCATTAAGAAGACCAAACCAACCTGATATTCGCGTAGCCAAGGTTCTGAAATTTGCATGCCAATTGCCATTTTTCCCAGTTGTAAATTGTGCATGCATGTTGCAAGAGGCTGCAATTTAAAGACAATAGTTGTTTTAATTTAATCTTCCACCAAGAAGTGAAGAATCCGTATACACAAATCATTAATTTGGTATGATAAAGCATTTGATGCTAACAACCTGAAGATACTGATGATAAATAGCAAAAGGAGCTGAATTTGACATAAGTGGAAAGATCTCCTTAACTAAGCTCCAAGTATCCAGCTCTGGTGCTGCTATTATTAAACTGCAAAGAGAATGTGGACCTTATCAACCAGATGCTTCTTTCAACTAGTAAACTAAATATGCAACAACAATACTTACCAAGAGAAACCATGCTCTTTCCACGAGCTGATGATTTCCTGTGGTGCTTTTTCTCCCAGTTTTGCAGGTTTGGACATTTTGATTACTGGAGAACTGGTAGACTCAGGAATAACATCCGAGATCACATTTTCAGATGCAAGAGAGACTTCTTCCATGCTGACTGGTGAAGAAATTCGGTCCTGTTAAAAAAGGATATCTGACACAATTAAGAAACTGCAAGCCCACAATTGTGCACACAAAAAATGAGGAGCTGCTTACATTTGACTGACTTTCCATGTTACAAGAGTCCAAATCTTGACTTACTGGTTTTTGCAGACCATTTTGCACAGAGAAGAGATCAGTGAGAGGAGACCTCACAATCCTGGAACAAAAACATACATATAAAGATATCTCAAAAATTGGTCAAGTATGAAAAATTAATGCAAACCGAAGTGCACATGGAGTAGGTGGGGTGGGATCCATGATAACTTTGGCAAATCAACTGAAGAATAAAGAATTTTCACCCTGGTTATCTAGGCATAACAATCAACACCATAACCTAGGTTTATAATGCACTAGTATGAAATCCATGTGATGCACAGGTTCTTTGGAAAAAGCGTAAAACAAAGCAATTAACAGAAATTAAGATTCCAGGAAGAGACGATCAATAATAACATTAACATTTGTCGATAGGCTAATATAATTGGGAAATATTGTTTCAATTTTCAATATTTTTTTTTTTAAACTAAGAAAAGAAAAAATAGTTTATTTTCTTTAATTTCATGAAACTGAAATTTGCCTCCAATTTCTTAATTCAATTTGCAGTCCTCCAATTTCTTTAGTTTCTTTTATGGCACAATGCCTGCATACATAAAGAGTAGCAGGATTTCATCTAACTGTATATCCTATAATAGTGCAACTCATAGGCAGATGTACCTCTTGCAAATTTCATCTCCGAAGTTGAATATCCTCGCTATATCAATAGGATAAGGCGAGCCACCAATGTATGTGTTGCAGACATAGCCCGCCCCTGTCAAACATACAGAAGCATTCAACATCCAAAATGTCATAAACAAATAGTCGCATTTGCACAAAGTGGCCACAACAAACAGATTTCCTTTTTTACTCTGGATATGGTTATACTTCATTTCACTACTTCAACACCCATAGATCTTGTTTACATACTTTAATTATAAATTGAAACCAACACATAGTAAAGGACACTTGGGGAAAAAAGAAACATATAGCAAACCTCCTAAACGCTCTGCCACAGCACCAGTAAGAAGTCCTCCAACCATATCCACTACGAGGACATCAGAATTTGCAGAGACATTAGCCATGGAAAGCAGAAGAGATAATGTATCCATTCGCAAGAATCTGAATCAAAGGCAAACATGTAATTCATAAATTCTGAGCAGAAAATATGAGGAAGTCATTTACCAAAAGTAAAGGAAAATTCATAAGTCGCTATGTCGTTACCCAATTCTAGTCGGATACTTCTTTAAGTACGCCTCACATATACTGAGAGAAACAAGAAGAAAGACAAGTCAGTAAAAAGAATTTCAGATTCTGCCATTACAGATGCACATCCAGAACCCACCCAAACCAATGTTAATGCAGATAGTATGGCTCTTCATAACTCTTTTAGCTTCAACTGCTTGTGGCAATGTGTCCTGTTTATTTTCTAATTCCACTTATTTGGAAATTCCACATCTTATATGGACCTCTGAATCATATAGCTTTAAATCCGAAACAACTTCATCATTAGATGATAAAATAACCAATTAAATAATAAACACCCAACAAGAATTACAGGAAGAACACTCCAGTCTTACATTAACCAATATCCCAAATTTCCATAGAAGTGTCTCTCAAATTGTAACTATGACATATTTCGGAGAAGCTACTGATTCAAAAGTAAGAGGTAACCTTCTAGTGAAAGGGCGCCTCAGAAGTACAATGGGAGCATATTTCTTTTGCTTCTTAAGCCTATATTTCTCCTGCAGACAACAGACAGACAGGAAATTAGCTTATCTCAAATAAATACGAAAGTAGCACTCACATAGTCTAATTTTACCTGTGAGAACACAGTCTTTTTCTCAAATGTCGCACTGTTTGCAATGAGAGCTTCAACAATTTCATCACCAGTTGCACCCAGTCTGCATAAAAAAAATTGTCAGCCTCAGTCAGCATTTCTCGGAAGGAAGATAATATGCCAGGATAGTGAACACAGATAGAATAGTATTTTATCCCAAAAATTATAAGGCAGGTGGTGCACAAGTTTTAAGAGAGCTGCATCAGAAGTGTGCAAAGATACAAATTAAATCCTTGAACAGTTTGTTCTCACCGTCGCATCTCGTTTATGTCTTCACCAGTTAGGCTTTGCGCTTTATTGTTATCAACTAATGCTCGATTATCTCTCAACTCATCTATTGACTGGCCATCACCTTTTTCTAGAACATTATTACCTGGAACATGAAATTTAAGATGAAACTAAATTTTACAGTAGAACACACTGCCATAAACATGCAAAATAAACAAAGAAAATAATCTGAAAATTTTGAAATAAAAAACAAAACCTTCTGTGGACGGAGTATAGCGAGACAAATACGGCCCTTGCGCTCCGTTTTCAACGCGAAAGAAAGAACCAAAGGGGCAGCCAAGCAAGGGTTTCAGAGAACAATTCTTATTCCCAATCTTCAATGTCCTGCACATCCATTACACATTTAGCTGTGCTTATTTTAACTGAGCATGCGTGTGAATTTCCAAGACTGAGAGCAAAAATTGAGAGCGAAAGACTTACGCTCCAGCGGAGAGACGAGCGAAAACCAAACGGTCGCCGTCGTTGATGTCAAGCAAGACACTGCAACCTTCCCAGGTCGATCTAGGGCTTTCAAATAAATCGCTTTGGGGCTTATTTTCCGACATATCCAGTCTTTTATGTTATATTGAATATACACTCCCCTTATTATAGTCTTACCGCGGATCCCTTTCTCAATAAATTGAAGAACAGACTAGGAAGAAATTTAGTTGAAAACACAAATTATTAATATACAGGCATCAGAGATGCATTGCTGGGACTAGAAGAGTGTCTGAGTGACTGACGGGCTCGGATATTTCAGAAAGACAATTTGAAACGAAGCCATCAATAAAACCTTAAAAACCCAACTCCACTCGACAGTTAGCTAGGGTTTAGTGGAGATTATGCCTTGAGGAAGATTTTAAGTTTAACAAGTGGTTTTTATCGAAATCCCTACAAAATTTCGTCGCGACACATGTTTGCCTGGATCGTGGGATGGAAAACGTTCGTTGGGTAGAAAAAGGTCTGGTTATGTCGTACTAACCTAAGATTGATGTTGAAACCTTAATTGTAAAGTTATACATCAAGTTACGTGAGTATCCAAGCCTGATCGAGTCATAAGTGCCCTAAAGTAAGCATACGGTTAGGATTCGACACTTGAGAACGGTTTTGGAACAAGTTTGGAAGCTAGGGTTTTTGTTCAAGACTTGGATTTAGTATTAAAGTCAGGTTCTCTTGTGACACGTACTTGCATTCTCCTTTCAGTTCAAATGCTCTCATCCTCTCATCCTCTCATCTTCAAGGGATGGGGGGGAGTGAAAAGGATATGTTCATTGACGTCCCATTACCTTGACATATAAAGATTTTGTACATTTCTTAGCTCCAACAACCCATTATCTTCAGAGGGAGAGGGGGAATGAAGAGAAGTTTCCATTGAATTAGAAGGAATTCTCTTTTGTTGTTGTTGATGTTGTTGATGTGTTTCAATCCGTCTATACAACATAAAAAAACCCTAACCTTTACCTATTTCTACTGCACTATATACCTAGCCTATAATCCTAGACTGTCGTCATTGTCTACCTTGTCATTGTTGCCGCTATCTACCTTGTTACTTCCGCCGCTGCCTTCATCCCGCCATCCATCACCATGCCGAATGTTGATGCCTTTATTTCTTCACTTACTACTTCTCTTACCCTTATAGTGACAGTTCATACTGAATCAAATTATATGCTACTTCACAAGGATAATTAGGTTACCTGACTAGTGACTTTGATGCCCCATATTCCAAAGATCCACAAGTTGGAAAGTGGAAAATTGTTGATGTTATCTTAAAAAGTTGGATGTTGCGCACTATGAAACATAGTTTGTTGAATATGTTTCATACTTACCTACTGTCATGCTCATATGATTTTTGTGTTCTGCTTTTATGTGTTCTGCTATGTGCCCTATTTGTGAAGGTTTGCTTTTATGTTTTTGCTGCGAACTTTGATTTGGTTTGTCAATTGTTTTTACTCATGGTTTGCAACAAGACATTCTCTTGTGACCTTCTCTACAGTTGTTCGATTGGGTTGATGTTGAGTATGGTGTTCTATTTCTCGCTTGTTAAGTTGGGCACGTGAAACATCTTTGTGCCAACAGTGACATAAGAGTAATTTCATGTTACTGTCGAACTTCAATGTTACTGTGAGACAATGGCATCATAGTAATTTCATATCACTGTCGGATTAGACATCTCCCAACGAATATAAGTATATGCTAACGAATTTCGTCAAGATAGGTTATTTTTTCTTTTTTTTAAAATATAAAATTAGTTTATTTGCTTTCTTTTTTTGCACTTCTTTAGTTTAATATATGAAATTAAATAATATCTTATCCTTCTTTAGTTCATGAAATAATTTAAAATAATTAATTACTACTTATAAACTAATTTATGAAATTAATTAAAATATTTAAATACTAATTATTCACTAAATATCAGGTATTTCAATTGTTGTTTGATATTACAAGTTATTCCTTCCACTTGAATGATCAACATGTCATTTTTATCTTGTTTCTTGTTTCAAGTATAATTGTATGTATTTTTCAATAATATATTCGTGTTATACACACGTCTTAAAGACTCGACAAAATTAATATTTTTAAAAAAGCAATGTACAATACTCGTATTATACATGCACATACATATTTTCATGTTTAATACCTGTATTTATTACAAAATTTTTAATAAGATACACAAAATTCATATATTATACACAAAATTCTCACAGATGATTGAATCAAAATAATATAGTGGTTGAACATTTAAGTTGTAATTTGCCAAAATTTTGCCGAATAAAAAACGTACGTATTTTATTCACATTTTTCCAGTTCTGTATTTTACTAACTATGAATGAATGTATAGCCGTGCGACTATACTTCGTTTTTTTACCTATACTCATTGTTTATTAATTTTAAAATGTTTAAATAGTACAGTCTCGTGGCTATACTCGTTTTTTTAATTGTCGTATAGCCGCATGGCTATACGATTTTTCTCTAATTTTTCTTATAAAAAAAAATTGTATGGCCGTGCCGCTTTACTGTTTTTGACATGTGGTGCCTAGGCTAGGCGGGTCCTTTAAAAAAAATATATATAAATAGTATAGCTGAGTGGCTATACCATTTTTTTTAAAATTTGTGCTTAAAAATAGTATAGCCTCGATGCTATACGTGGTTTTATTAATGTTTCTAAAAATAATCATATAGCCACGCGACGATACTTATTTTGATTTATAAATACCACGCGGCTATACTTTATAAATATATTTGTTCAACAAAATATTTTACATTAACTTCTCTTCAAATTGTGTCGACAAAAATTTATCGGATTTTAAAAATAGGATAGTCGCGCGGCTTTACATGTTTGACACGTTATACCTAGGCGCTAGGAATGTCTTTTGTAATATATATATATATATATATATATAGTATAGCAGCGCGGCGATAACAGGTTTTTAAAAATAAAAAAAAATAGTAGTGATGGACAGCTATACTCTGTTCTAATTAATGTTTCTTAAAAATAATATTATAGCTACGCGGCTATACTTTTTTTGACACGTAGGATCCTAATTGTTATGCATGTCCCCTTTTGTGTTTTTATAAATAGTGTAGCCGCGCGGCTATACTAGATTTTTATTTTATTTTATAAAATAGTATCGCCAAGTGGCTTTACTGGGTTTTTTTGTTTTAATTTTTTTTAAAGGCTTAAATGTTAAAATAGTCCATGTGTTTTACTCAATTGTTAAATTTAATCCCCTTGTTTTAAATTTGGCCAATTTAATTTTTATGTTTTCCTTTGTTAACCAATGTTGTACATTTCATTAATTTCCATTAAAAAATTCATTTAAATGTTTAAAAATTATTAAGTCCTATTTACAAAGAAAACAAATATGAATTAAAATAACAAATTTTTTTAAAATAAAATATGGAAACCAAACAGCCTCTATATCCTTCTCTCATGCCACCACCACCGCCTTATTCTCTCTCTGTCTCTCTGTCTCTCTGTCTCTCTCTCTCAGAGTTGTCAAATCCCAACATGGCAACCAAGTTCTTTAGTTTCTTTTTGCTGATTCTTTTGCTCTGCTCCACATTCATTGCAGTAAAGCGCTTGATCTTTCAATATCATGAGTACAACAATTGGAGGTTTCCTTGATGGGTTATCTCTTGGAGAAGCCATCAAAGAATCGGACCCTAGCCCAGGTGAGGGGCACAAATTTACGAACCAACAAACCCTTGAAGGGATAAAGAAATCTGGCCCGAGCCCTCCCTTCCCTCTCTGATCCATCCCACCCACCCACCCACCCCATAACTCTTCCATCTCTTTTTCCTCTCTCTTTCTCTCTCCCTTTTTCCAAAGATTCAACATCAATATTGGCAGGCAACTGATGGTTGTGGTGTTGGGTTGGGTGGCGGAAGCAGCATGAGAGAAGGATACAACCCACACCAACAAGAAATTATGGAAACCCAACACGGCTATACTCCATTTTTTTCATAACCAATACTCATTGTTTTTTAATTTTTTAAATAGTACAGTCGGGCGGCTAGACTCGGTTTTGCTAACTGTTCTTAAAAATAGTATCGCCGAACGACTATACTATGTTTTTCCTAATTTTTTAAAAAATAGTATAGCCGACCGGTAATACTCCCTTTTCCCTTTTTTTTAAAAATGGTATAGCCGCGTGGCTTTACGTTTTGACACGTGGCGCCTAGGCGATATGAGGTCTTTTTAAAAAATATATAGAATAGCCGGGCGGCTATACCATGTTCTAATTTTTTTATAAAAATAGTAGAGCCGAACGGCTATACCACTTTTTTTATAAATAGTATAGCCATGCGGCGATATGCAATTTTTTATTATAAAATTGTATAGCAGCACGTCTATACTATTTTATTAAAATAAAAATGGGCTATACTCTGTAGATGTATTCATTCAGTAAAAGATTTTAAATTAACTTCTCTTCATATCATGCCAGCAAAAATTTACCAAATTAGAACTCTTTCAATGAATTTAATTCTATGCAAGCAAGATTTCTCGAGATAGTTCAAATCTGGCAATGTCTTGCCGGCATAGACCTTTGTCGGTGAAATTTTGTCAGGATAGGTTATATTTTTTTTAAAATAATATAAAATTAGTTTCTTTCAAATTTTTTTGGCCAACTTCTTTAGTTTAATATATGAAATTAAGTAATATCTTAGCCTTTTTTAGTCCACAAAATAATTTAAAATAATTAATTACTACTTATAAACTAATTTATGAAATTAATTAAAATATTTAATCTATATATATAAAGCAAAATGCAAAGAATTGTGAAACATTCAAAATACCAGAAAATGTCCTTAGTTAATTCAAACATTGAGAATTAAATGAGGATAATATGGTAAATTCATATTTTTTAAAAATTACAATTAAAAACAAAATCAAATAATAGGTCATACTTTTATGGAATATAACTCCCAATATTATATTTTTTTAATTCTAAAAATAAAATTAAAAAGAAAAAGAAAACCAATTTGCACATGCATGAGCATGTGCCAAGGGGCTAGTACTAATTATTTAAATACAAATTTATAAATAAACCAAATCCTAGACATGTATTTATAAAAAAACCCAAGCACTATTTAAACATAGAAACACACCCAAAATCAACCCCAAAGTCAACTTTTTGGGTGTGTTTATAAATGGGTTTTGAGTGTTTGTAATGATGGATTTTAGGTGTGTTTATATGTTTAAATAGTGCTTGGGTTTTTTTTTATAATTTCAACCCCTATTTTAAATACCAGAATGGTGAAATATTCAAAATACCAGAAAATACCTTTGGTTAATTCAAATATTAAGAATTGAAATTATTAATTAAATGAGGATAATATGGTAAATTCATATTTTTTATATTAAAAAAATTAAAATTAAAATTAAAATTAAAATAAAATAATCGATCCTATTTTTATGGAGCACAACTACCCATTATCTTTTTAAATTCTAAAAACTTTAAATAAATTAAAAAAAAAAAAAAAAAAAAAAAACTTGCATGCGTGGAAGTGCATATGAAGAGTCTAGTTATTCATTAAATAACATGTATTTCAATTGTTGTTTGATATTACACGTTATGATTAACATCTCATTTTTGTCTTTTTTTTAAGTAAAATATTTTACATTAACTTATCTTCAGATCACACGGCTATACTCTGTAAATATATTCAAATATTTTAAAAAGTAATATCTCAGTCTTTTTTAATTATTTTAATTAGCAATTTTGCCTTAATTATTATTTCTTGATTGAATAATTAATAATTTATTAATTTCATCAATTACTTAATAAATAGTAATTAATTATTTTAAATTATTTTGGTTACTTTGTTTTTATTTGTTGTACAACATTGTTTATTTAGATTAATATTTTGCAATTATGTAATATCTTAGACTTTTTAAATTATATTAAATATTATTTATGTTTTAATTATTATTATTGTAACACCCCGACCCCAAATTATCCCATGTTTTAATTTATTTAAGTGGAATTGAGAAATTACCCGTGGGATAGGGGTATTTTAGTCATTTTCTTGCCCGGAAGGAATTTGGGAATTCCGGAAGTACCGTTGCGTAGAGCATGGCGAGATGAGTTCGTAGACATGTAGTGGGCTCGAATCGGAGTTGTAACGAGAGAGATATGATCAAATGAAGCTCAGTGGCATAATCGTAAATATTTTGAAGTGGGATTTTTGGTTAAAAGACGGAATTGCCCCTGTCTCTCTCACACACTCTCTCTCTCCCGCGCGTCGCTCTCTCTCTCCTCTGGTTCGCGACAGCCACCGTGGCCGACCACGTTTTGGCCGGCCGTTCGCTCATCCGGCCACCAAAGTTGACGGGGCCGGTACCAAAATGACCGGGCCGCCGTCCTCTTCCTACCCCAGCCAGGTCTCGCCGTCAGCCGTCGAGATTTCGCCGGAAAATCGAAGAGAAAAGCTCGGTTTCGCCCGAAACTTCGCCGGCTTCGTTCTCCGTCGTCCGGCCGCCATTTTTGGCGATCAAGGTATGGAAATTCATCCCTTCTGCATGATCTAGCTGATGGTTGGGTAGGATTGCATCGATTTTGAGTGTAGGATATCTGATTTTCGAGTTAGGGTTTGGCCGGATTTCGGGATGAGATTCCGGCCACTTCCGGTCAGTTTTTGGGGTACGTCCAAGAACAAAAGTGACTCCAAATTAGGTGTATTACCTAGGGTAGGAGTCTGGGCTCACGATTTGGAAGTTTTCCGGCGATGGGTATCGCTTTGGACACCCACGCGCTGCCGGAGCGTGTGGCGGCGCGTGGGCACTGTAGCTGAGGGGCATTTTTGTCCCATTGTGATCCTCTCGATGTCACGAGCGCGCAGGTGTGCTCGGATCTCAATTTGGGTATCGTTAGAGTCCCGAACGGATATCGCATATCGCGTATTTTCCGGGTTCGCTGGGTTTGGACCGTTGGATGGTCCTGATATTATAATATGTTGATCTAGGTATTACCAGGATCGTGTAGGATTCGACGGATCGTAAAACGGAGTCCCGGATACTCCGGAAATGCCAACCCTGGGGTTAGGGTTTAAGTATCCGTCCGATTGTACGATCGGGAGCGATCCGACCGTCCGATCTGGACCAAACTTGCAGGACATGTGTCCTAGAGCCTGTAGAACCTATAGGAACTTTCGGATCGGAATTTGGAGGTTGTGGGCCCCGCAGGCTCGTTTGACCCTAGGTTGACCGTGAGACTTCCGAGATAGTCTTACCTTTCCTTGAGGGTTAGGATGACCTTAGTGACAGGTCTTGAGCGTTGTTGAGTTAAATGGATATTGTGGGTTTAGGATATAAATTGGTGGATATAAATGTGGGAATTTATGAAATGTTTTATTGGTTGATGTTAGTGTCGGATTAGAAATTCTATGATATATTTACTTAACTGTGCGGATGTATAAGGATATATAAAGTGATTGAATGTTAGTTTACAGTGCTATACGCACTACTCCACGTACCCCCCATATGGTGATTATGTTGAGGCCCAAATGATGGTATGAGGGCTGGTGAGAATGTAGCCAGGCCCAGTGTGAGGTCGCACGCGTCTTTGGGTTAGCCGGCGTATTGACAGACCCCGTACGTGGCCGGGTGCGTCCCGACGTATGAGTGGGAGATATGATTGTGTGAGGGCTGGTGAGAATGTAGCCAGGCCCAGTGTGAGGTCGGACGCGTCTTTGGGTTAGCCGGCGTGTTGACAGACCCCGTACGTGGCCGGGTGCGTCCCGACGTATGAGTGGGAGATATGATTGTGTGAGGGCTGGTGAGAATGTAGCCAGGCCCAGTGTGAGGTCGCACGCGTCTTTGGGTTAGCCGGCGTGTTGACAGACCCCGTACGTGGCCGGGTACGTCCCGACGTATGAGTGGGAGATATGATTGTGTGAGGGCTGGTGAGAATGTAGCCAGGCCCAGTGTGAGGTCGCACGCGTCTTTGGGTTAGCCGGCGTGTTGACAGACCCCGTACGTGGCCGGGTACGTCCCGACGTATGAGTGGGAGATATGATTGTATGAGGGCTGGTGAGAATGTAGCCAGGCCCAGTGTGAGGTCGCACGCGTCTTTGGGTTAGCCGGCGTGTTGACAGACCCCGTACGTGGCCGGGTGCGTCCCGACGTATGAGTGGGAGATATGATGGTATGAGGGCTGGTGAGAATGTAGCCAGGCCCAGTGTGAGGTCGCACGCGTCTTTGGGTAGCGCGGTTGAAAACCCCGTACGTTGGCCGGGTCGTCCCGAGTATGAGTGGGAGATATGATGGTATGAGGGCTGGTGAGAATGTAGCCAGGCCCAGTGTGAGGTCGCACGCGTCTTTGGGTTAGCCGGCGTGTTGACAGACCCCGTACGTGGCCGGGTGCGTCCCGACGTATGAGTGGGAGATATGATGGTATGAGGGCTGGTGAGAATGTAGCCAGGCCCAGTGGTGAAGGTCGCACGCGCTTTGGATTAGCCGGGTGTTGACAGACCCCGTACGTGGCCGGGTGCGTCCCGACGTATGAGTGGGAGATATGATGGTATGAGGGCTGGTGAGAATGTAGCCAGGCCCAGTGTGAGGTCGCACGCGTCTTTGGGTTAGCCGGCGTGTTGACAGACCCCGTACGTGGCCGGGTGCGTCCCGACGTATGAGTGGGAGATATGATGGTATGAGGGCTGGTGAGAATGTAGCCAGGCCCAGTGTGAGGTCGCACGCGTCTTTGGGTTAGCCGGCGTGTTGACAGACCCCGTACGTGGCCGGGTGCGTCCCGACGTATGAGTGGGAGATATGATGGTATGATGGCTGGTGAGAATGTAGCCAGGCCCAGTGTGAGGTCGCACGCGTCTTTGGATTAGCCGGCGTGTTGACAGACCCCGTACGTGGCCGGGTGCGTCCCGACGTATGAGTGGGAGCTATGTGATTATGTTGGGTGTGTTGTGATGGATAAACCCGAGAATGTATGAATTTATATGGATGTGATGGTTTAATTGATATCAGGAGCCAGGATTGATAGGAAAGAGCTACGTGTGGCTTGATCCCTTAGTAGGGTACGTAGGCAGCCTGGGATAGCGCCTAGGTGCAGCCACGACCTAGACACCACTTAGGTGGTTTTATCGAGTATGATGTGGACCTCGTGGTTGGTCCCGAAACTTGGTTGAATTGAGGCTTGTCCGGTGGACTGAGTGAGTGAAGGTGTGTATGGATGGATTTTGAATTGGTTATATGCATGGTTGATGCATGAAGTTATTTTGAAAACAGTGTGGGCAGTCTGCTAGAATCATTTGAAGGCCGGAGGCCATTTATGTAAATTGCATGAGATTATATTGTGCGTGCTGCTGGTTGGGTTATAAAATGAGTTTTATGCAGGTGGAACTTTTGGGGAATATTCAATTTACAGGGGAGACTCTGCCGAAATTTTCGGCAGAAAGTTTCGTGCCCTTAATCCTCTATGGTGAACGAGGACGTAGATTTAAGGAGTAAACCCGGCGTGGGTGTGATGCCGGGGTCTCCGCAGGGTTCGTCTCGGGTTCCGGGAAATTCGGGACGGGTCCTGTCAATTATTTAATGAATAATTAGTATTTAAATATTTAATTAATTTAATAAAATACTTAATAAATACTGATTAATTATATTTAGTTATCTTAAACATTTTTATGGATTTTAAAATTATTTTTAATATCCGAATATATTTTTAAAATAGTTTCAATTATTAGAAAATTATTTTAGTATTCCAAAAATGGTTTTAAAAGAGTGCCCTAAAGTAGGTTTATAGTTAGGTTTCGACTCTTGAGAACGATTTTGGAACAAGTTCATAAGATAGGGTTTTTAGTTTGGGACTTGGATTTAATGTTTAGAATCTAAAATTCATTTTAGGGATACTAAAATAATTTTCTATGATTTTTAGATAAATGAAACTATTTTCTAACTGATATCGAAAATTAAAAATAATTTTAAAGTCCACAAGTTGGATGGGGGAAATATTATTAACCACTTGAGTACAAGCCCATTGTTGTTTTAATTTTTTTTTAAAGTACGATAGTTCGAATGAAGGAAAATAACATTCTCGACATTTGTTTGGATGAAGCAAAATAACTGGGGATTTAGTTAAAAGTTAGGAATTGAAGAGGAAAAATTGATATTTCCATTGGTTGGCATTTTAAGAAGGGAAATTATTAAATGACATGAGGAAAAAATCATGGAAATTAGGGATCAAAATTGTTGAGTTTAATTTCCGCTAAAAATGCCTCATTTTACAATTTCTATTGAGCATATCAATTTGTTTTTCCTGTAATTTCTGTTATTACAAAATTTGACATACATATAAATCTAAATACTGAAATTGTTAATTTTCAGGAATTTAAATGTTGGAGATCTAAATTCCGTCATTTAAGAATTCTTTGTGATTTTCATATCCTTCATCCAAGGTTGTAGGTTCGGTTTCCCTCACTCAATATCAATTGTTTAAAAAAAAAAAATGGTGTCCTTTGGCCCTAAAATATTGTTAATGGAGGCGAAATTACTTTCAAAATAAAACTCTCAATTGAAAGACCGGCCCAATATCGACCATTAAAAAAAAGAAAGACCGGCCCAACCAAATAAAACTTTAAACTTTCAATTGCACGTGGCGTTGTATGAGTACTGGTTCTATACTTTTTGGAATGGAACCGGCCGCACCCAACTAGTGAGCTTTCTGAAACTCATTAGGGTTCTCTACTCTACTCTCACACCCAAAATTTCTCCTCTCTATCGCCGCTCAGGCCGCCGCACGCATCCGCCTCACTTCTTCTAGTCTCTATCATAATCTTAGCGTCCTCGAATCTCTCTCTAATCTTAGCCTCATCGCTTCCCTCTATCTCATCCGATCATTGGCGTCAGCTCCTTCGAATCTTGGGGCTGCGGCGTTGTCAATTTCCAGTGCTTCATCCAACTACATTCGGTATGTGCTTGCCAATTTTATCTAATTTTAGGGTTTGTTCTGTGAATTTTAACTTAGGGTTTTTTAGAAAATTATTTTGGGGGCTTCGGTTTTAATTAGGGAGTTTATGTATTCTAAGTTAAATTCAAAGGATTCATAGCCTAATTTAGGGTTTAGCTATACTAAAAAATGAATTAGACTTTAGTTTGAAATTGAATTGGGATTTCGGTTTAAATTAGGGTTTTGAGAAAATTGAATTGGGGCTTAGCTGATTAATTGGGGTTTAAATTCGATCTGGGGTTCAGTGATTATTTGGAATGAAAAATTCAATTAGGGTTACGCTGCTGCTACTTCTGTTTATTTTCAATTGAGAATTATTATTGGCAATTGGTTTGTATTGAGTGTTCATGAGTGGTATGATGATTTACTATTTACTGATTATATGTAATTTAGTAATGTCTGCATATTTGTAATTGGGGGTTTATATGTAGATAAAGAAAGAGAGCAGATGTCTCTAATCTCTTGTTATATGTAATTTGATGGTTTACTGATTACATGTACTATTACCTAATATAGACAAAGTAAGAGAGCAGACGTCTCTTATCTCTTGTATTGCCAGTGTGCATTTGATCTTTTGCTTAATTTGATCAGTCGATTTACTGTGGATAGAAGAAGATTAGGAGATGGCAGATCGGTTAACCCGTATAGCAATAGTGAGCTCCGACAGATGCAAGCCTAAGAAGTGCCGCCAGGAATGCAAGAAGAGCTGTCCTGTCGTCAAGACTGGTATATTATAATTCCCTTTCTTTCTTATATTATTTCTTGTATTTGATCTTTGCAAAAACAAGCATATCTTTTCTTGTTGCTTGAGATATGATATTGCTATTATGTATATGTGTGATGCACAAATCCTGATTACTTGGATTCCTCAGCTGGTTGTTTATCATGTGAACTGTTATTTATCCCCAAACATAGTATTCCTTTTGAAATCATTATGAAAGCTACTTGTGATGGGAGTATGTCTTGATGATCATGTTAAGTCAATATAAGGAAATAAAGGAAATAGAATGCCTCCTGCAAGGAGAAATACCCAGAAACTTTATTAAGCTCAAAGCTAGCTATTCAGAGGGATTACATCGTATATAAAACCAAACAAAGATTCTAAGAAAGGTTACTCAAAATACAGACATGAGCTCCTGCATATGGTGAGGCGGCTCCACACACACAGAGAGAGATAGATATATATATATATATATATATAATATTTCTGTATTGACGAGTTCTTGTCATGCATTATTGTAGCGCTATGTTTACTTCTATATAAATGAGCTGCTTTTTGAATTATCTTGTGTTGACTCAGACTTGATTTAAATGGTTGACCTTTATACAAATATACGATCTTATCTGATTAATCTGCAGGTAAACTATGTATCGAGGTTACCCCTGCATCCAAGATTGCTTTTATCTCAGAAGAATTGTGCATTGGGTGTGGTATCTGTGTTAAGGTCTGTAGAAAGTGTTGTTACTGTCATTTTTCTTGTTCTATACACTAGTCATGTTTTAAAGGCATTCTTTGGACTCTATACCATCTGATGATGCAGAAATGCCCATTTGAAGCAATCCAAATTATCAACTTGCCAAAGGATTTAGACAAAGATACAACACATCGTTATGGGCCTAACACTTTCAAACTACACAGGTTAGTTCCTTATCACATTATATGGAAGTGATCACTTAAGCATTTGTGTGGTTTGGGATATCAGAAATTTACAATTTCAGGTTACCAGTCCCAAGGCCAGGGCAAGTACTTGGTTTGGTTGGAACTAATGGCATTGGGAAGTCAACTGCCCTAAAAGTTTTGGCTGGAAAGTTGAAACCAAATTTAGGTCGTTTCAATGTAATACATCTTACAAAACTTCCCCCTTCTCTGATAAGTATATCATTTTTTTTCAAGTTGGTTTTGGTGCATTCTTTGATTATGTTATGTTTCTCTTTTTTGGGCAGAATCCTCCGGATTGGCAGGAAATTTTGACCTACTTTCGAGGATCTGAGTTGCAGAATTATTTTACCCGTATCCTGGAAGACAATTTGAAGGTACCTTTTGATTTGATGCTCATAATGTTTCATATGGAATTGGAAATGAATTTAGCTTTTTAGACAAACGTTTTGGACATTTAATGCATGTTTTTCTTAGATAGTTATGTTTATTTATCTTTTTTTTTGGGCTTTCTATTTGGTTTGTGTTTTAGTTGTCTGTAAAGATCATTTTGGGTTGTCTCTGACTCTGGTTAATCGGGTTGAAGACCCAGATACCTCGAGTTGTTGAAAGAAAAAGTTAAAACATATTTATTTTAGAACTACGACTTTGAATTTCATTATGTATGAACTCAGTGGCCTACTTTATAGTACTACAGAGCTAAGTTGTGGTGAAATCTCCTAGTGCTTGCTATTCAAGATAGTTCATAGGCTGCTTCCAGTACTGGGTGGTTGATCTTAATGCCATTAATGGGATGGTCAAGATATAGTTGAACATAAACAATTTGGTGAATGGAAATATTATTTGCATCTCATGATAATGAATTTAAGACAGAAATGCCTAGAAGTATGATACTTGAAAAAAATGCTTGATGCAGTATATGAACCATGTTCAGTGCCTCTTCTGGCCTAATAATTTCAGATTTTTTTTATAAAAGGGTTTAGTCTAGACAAACAAAGTTGCATGCATTTCAATTTTTTGGCCATCATTGGTTGTGTCTAGCACTTATATTGTTTTATGTAATATTTTTGTCTTCCTGTTAATTGCATTTTTGTAATTCTCTTTTCATTTAACAGGCCATTATAAAGCCCCAGTATGTTGATCACATTCCAAAAGCAGTTCAAGGAAATGTTGGGGAGGTGCTCAACCAGAAAGATGAAAGGGATATGAAGGAAGAACTGTGTGCTGATCTTGAGCTGAACCAGGTTATAGATCGTAATGTAGGGGATTTATCAGGTGGGGAGCTTCAAAGATTTGCCATTGCTGTCGTTGCCATACAGAATGCAGAGATATATATGTTTGACGAACCTTCAAGTTATCTTGATGTGAAACAGAGGCTTAAAGCAGCCCAAGTTGTCCGATCTTTGCTCAGGCCTAATAGGTCTTTTATTTATTTATTTGACTTCCTTCAAATTTTCATTTGCACGTTTGTGTTGGATTTCTTGATTGTCTTCTTGCATCTTTAGCTAATAGTTATATATCCTTGTATTTTCAGCTATGTAATTGTTGTGGAGCATGATCTTAGTGTCTTGGATTACTTATCAGACTTCATTTGCTGTTTATACGGGAAACCGGGTGCATATGGAGTTGTAACTCTTCCTTTCTCAGTTAGAGAAGGAATTAACATCTTCTTGGCCGGATTTGTTCCTACAGAAAATCTTAGGTTCCGGGATGAATCTCTGACCTTTAAGGCAAGATTATAAATTTTGTCCATGAAATGCTCTTTTGACTTATCAGTACTTTGTGATTCACTTTTTTTTTCCTTTACTAGGTTGCTGAGACTCCACAGGAAAGTGCTGAGGAAATTGAGACATATGCACGATATAAATACCCATCTATGACTAAAACTCAGGGAAACTTTAGGCTTCGTGTTGTTGAGGGAGAATTTACGGATTCTCAAATTATTGTTATGCTGGGTGAGAATGGAACAGGGAAGACAACATTTATCCGTATGCTGGTATTCATTCCTTTGATATCTTTCTTTTTAAAAATTCAGTCATAATCACTTTGCAGCTTGAGACATTGAGTTAGCATACACTTGTCCAATTTGCAGGCTGGTCTATTGAAACCTGATATTGTAGAAGATTCCAATGTGGAGATACCTGAATTCAATGTTTCTTACAAACCCCAGAAAATCAGTCCAAAATTTCAATCCACTGTCAGACACTTGTTACATTCAAAAATTCGTGATTCATATACCCATCCCCAGTTCATGTCAGATGTGATGAAGCCTCTTCTTATTGAACAATTGATGGATCAAGAAGTTGTGAATCTCTCTGGTGGAGAGCTGCAAAGGGTTGCATTATGCTTATGCCTCGGGAAGGTAAATGCTTGGTCGAGCTTTTTCATGTTTCTCGGTTATGAATTTCAGAAGCCTGAAATTTTCAAGAAACATTATTTTTTTGATTTCCTGTTGTAGAAAAATCAGTAGTGTTGGCTTTTCCTTATTTTCAGCCTTGCAAGTATAGTAGGAAGGGAGATGTTGGGTTATTGATGTGAATAAATAAAATGGGCCTTTGTTTCTTGGGATGGATCCCTTTCAACACTTTACAGTACCCACCTCTTGTATTTGATGCCTTGGATGCATCTGAGTAGGCTGGAATTGACTGTGTTTGGAAGTTGGGAATGGGTTAAGGGTGTTCTCTTTTCTTTTTTCTCTAATGTAAGTATTTGGGGATTGCCATTGTCCCCAACTAAAAGCAAGTATCTGCCATTTTGTTTGAGTTTTTCAGTCCTCGAACAATATCATGACCGCATGTTTGAGTTTTTCCATGCATCTGTTTTGGTCCCTGCATTTGGTTTCGGTTTTTCTTTTTTATCATTTGACGCCAGGAAGGCGATTACTTGTAGTTTTGTGTTGTTCTAACTGGTGAAATTGCATGCGGATCAGCTTTAACTGATACATTTTATTTTTCTTAATGCAGCCTGCAGATATCTATCTTATAGATGAACCAAGTGCCTATCTTGATTCTGAGCAGCGTATTGTTGCTTCAAAAGTCATAAAGAGGTTTATCCTACATGCTAAGAAAACTGCATTCGTGGTTGAACATGACTTTATTATGGCTACCTACTTGGCAGATAGAGTTATTGTCTATGAGGGGAAGCCATCAATTGATTGTGTTGCAAATTCTCCACAGTCATTATTGACTGGGATGAATCTATTCTTATCTGTAAGTGTTGCAACTTCTTCTTTTCAGTCAATTATTTTGGCGTCCTACTATGAAGAGGGAGAGTAGTGTGTGATAATAGGAATATAATTTTGAAATTGGTCATTCTTTTTGCATAATCACAACTTCCTCCTGCTAACTGGTGTTATTTGTACCACCACTCTGAAAATGAGTCTTAAAAGGGATAAGCTGTTAGAAACCTAAATAGCATGTTATTGGAACTGCTCTCTCTCCACAAGTAATTTTCATTGATTTTTGGAATGCTGCATGCAGCATCTTGATATCACATTTCGACGTGACCCCACTAACTACCGCCCAAGAATCAACAAATTGGAGTCAACGAAGGATAGGGAACAAAAAGCTGCTGGATCCTATTATTACTTGGATGATTGATATAACCACAAAGGTATGCTTCATTCGTTACTCTGTTTATTCCATGTTTGTTTTGCCATCTTTGATATTTACTGGTGTTCTACTTTGCAGTTTTGGCCAAATTTAGAGGGCTTCAATGTGATCTAATAATGGAATCCCGGCTGAGTCATGACATGCTGACAAATGATGGGAGGTCCTTTGTCTGTGAAGAGGTGATGTTTGTTTACCAGTGAGTTTCCGTGAATGAGAGTTTCCAGGCCCTTCCATATTGTTGCTAGTTGAGTACATTATGCCCTATGTGTGCTTGCACTTATCCCAATTTTGTTAAAATTTGTCTCTGGGCGACGGAATCTAAATGTACAATGGTCTCTCATAGTTCCAATTTTTCTTTCCTTTTGATTAACTTTTGTGCTTCCAGGGTTTATGTAACTTTTGTCTCTGCCATTATGATTTTTAGTTTTCACACCAGAAATGCATGGGTGTTTTAACTCTGAATTAAAAAAAAGTTTGCTTCATATTTGCACATGACGGGTTTGATTGATGGGCAGGATTTGATGAACCACCTTTTCTAACTGCACAGAGGAGGTACCACTCTCCTGCCATGTTTGTTTGGTGAAGTGCCAAACAAAAAATCTGAAAAGATGAGGATAATAGATATTTTGTTGTCTTGTCTGGTGTGTGATTGAATTGGATTATGATTATATGGTTATACCTACGGACCTTTGGATTTAGATATTTTACCACATGAATTATGCTGATGCAAACTCGTTATTTTACCACATGAGTCCTGACTTGGGAGATTTTTATTTGTACCAACCAACAAGTATGTTGATTTCCCCATTTTAAGTTTTGTTTGTATTTTCTTATATATAAAAGTAATCTCCTAATTTCTTAAAATCCCCTAATTTTTTTTAAATCCTTAATTTCTTGAAATGGTCTGAGCTGGTCAGGTCAAAAAAATTCCTTCATATCGGAGAAGTGTTGTGTGAGTCCATCTAAAAGAGTCCGTGATCGCACTCTCCTCCTTGTAAAAGAGGCGTTGACAGAGCCGATGAGCATTTCCTTTGTAATAATCAGAATCTCTTGTCTTGTCCTCCAATTAATCTCCTGTAGTCTGGATATGCGATATGCAACAACTAAGAAGATGGAGGAGGAGGAGAGAGGGCTTCATCAACCATGCTCAAGTTTCTGTCCTTGAATAACAAATACCTCAATTATGTTTTTTTTTGGTTCGGGGGAGAGGGTTTACACGAACATTCTTGGATGCTTGGGGGTTTCAAACTTCTGCCCACAGAACTTGAGACCAAAGATTTAAACCAACTGAGCTATACCTTATTGGCGAATGTTAGCAATATTCTCTCTTCATTTTGTTTTTCTGCTGAACGCCAGCAATATTAATGTGCTCTTAGTTTGAAAGAAGAAGTGAACAATGTACATACTCATAGGTAGCTCCAACGATACTGCTACTTTTAATAATGTGTTAATTGTTTAATGTTTGTCGAGTTAGAGAGAGTTCGATTCCAATTTCCATACCATGATGGATTAATTGGATGATGCAGATGCAGATGCAGTCCTGACCTGAGTGAGTTGGAACTTGAGAACCGACATGGAGATGAGACACGGCTTCCTTCCACTGCTTATCTATCTTAAGGCAGTGGTTAGTTGGTTGGCCAAAACCATCTCACTTCCAACTTAACCAAAACCAACCACTCCCAAATTTTTCTACTAATTAATTAATTACTTGACATATATAGTGAATTACAGAATGAGGGTTTGCAATGTGAAAGTGACTTATGATTGATGAGACTTAGAAATGAATCAATCATTCCATGTGGTAGATAGATATATGCAAATTGCACTGCATGTGAGAATTGATAATCCATATAATATAAAGATGTGTATCATTATTTATCATCTTCATCATATGGCATTGGCACTGCTACCCTTAGCCTGTATATATATATATAAAAGAGATAGATAGATAGATAGGAATCTTAATTGGTAAAGTAGGCAAGAGTAGAGGACGAGCTGCATGCGACACGAATGAAATGAATCAGCTTGTATTGATGATATTGACTAGTCTAGTGACACAGGGTTCCCCTTCTTTCTTTCTAAGGCCAGTAAGCTGGCTGGCAGGCACACACATATCAATGATATCATGATTCTAGAGACACAACTTTGCATTGCAATTTCCATGGTGTTTCAATGAATCAAAGAATTCAGATAATACAAGGATTATTGTTAATTTCAGGGTCCCTCTCCCTCATACGAGTCATATTCATATATTCATTCATGTTACATATGCATGACAGTGGGAAACAAACATCGACGGTGGAATAAAAATTGGACACTTCCTATTCTTTCTCCGCTTGTCTCTTTGGCTTATGCACTTTTCCTTTTCGATTCCATCATCATTTTGCACACTTATTAACGGAAATATTCACCGCAGCTTTAGGGACAATATTTCCACTGCCCCTCTATCATCCATCATGATTCATGCACTTTTCCTTTTTGATGCTTGCTTGGCTTGCTTCCCCGATTTTCTACCCATGCAGTAGAAAATTCTTGACATGTTTCTTCTTTTTTCTTTTTCTTGAAAGACTTTCTGACTTTTCAGTGCAAAAGGAACTTGTTCACTCATAAAAGAGAATAAACAAAGGCACAAGAAAGCACAAGAGAATAGCTCCAATAACACACGCATCAGCAGCATACAATACAAGCACATATCATCTCCACAACCACGACAAGCCGTCTAACCAAATCGCACTCGCACACAACTTGTTGCATGTTACGTGTTATTTTATCCTTCCCCTGCATCTTGTGGGCCACCCCACTCGCATCACACACCACTCAATCAACCGTTCAATCCATGTGTACCTGCTCTGTGATTCAACCCAGTCAATCAAAAGGTCAACCCTCTTCTATACAGAGGAATACTAGCAACCTTCTCTTTAACATTCTCTTTTGGATTTCTTCATTTTTTGCTTGATATGTGTCATTCTCCTTACACTTAAAACAATGTCATTAATATATTATACAAGTTAACTTTTGCTTTCCAAGTTTACCCTTATTAAATGCATTCAATTTATCCAAAAAATTTTCACAACTTTCTTACCATCTTAATTTTTTTTTCAAAACGTCAATTATTTTTTTAAAGAAAATGTTTGCTTTTTTCAAAAAAGAGGAAATGTCCCTTTTTTCCCAAAGCACAAAGGACTTTTTTTTTCCTATCTAAACCCTTCGTGTTAAAAAAAAGGAAAATAAAAAAGAAAAGGGACATTTCCTCTTAAAAGCATATATTTTCTTCAAAAAAATAATTGACGTTTAAAAAAAAAGATAGTAAGAAAGTTGTGAAAGTTTTTTGGATAAATTGAATACATTTAATAAGACTAAACTTGGAAAGCAAAAGTTAACTTAAATAATATATTAATGACATTGTTTTAAGTGTAAGGAGAATGACACATATCAAGCAAAAAAGGGAGAAAGTCCAAAGGAGAAGATTAGATAGAAAGTTACTAGCATTTCCCTCTATATATGCCTCATATCAAACTCGCACATAAGACAAACACAGTAGCTATGCTTGCTAAGTTACCCGAAACAAAATAGAAAAATATTAATTTATTACCAAAAAAAGCAATAAAATAATGAAGTAGACCCACCACACTGGACGACCTCCCGCTTTGCCTTTGCTTATTATTAGTTATTTACCCACATCTCGAATCCATCTCTCCCCACTACACAAACAAAACCATCCCAAACTTAAAATATTTATTTATTTTTATGAAAAGAGCAGCAGAGAGCTTCTTCTTCAATTCTATTATATCTCTGCTTTAGTTTCTGTTGGTGATCTGCTTTTTTATGGCTCTGCTTACTTTTGTACCTGAGGCCACGGAGCCCAAGAACAAGAAGAAAGCACCACCACCATCAAAACGCAGGCAAAAGCAGTCGTCGAGCTCTAAAAAGCAACAAAACCCACCATCCTCATCCTCATCCTCATGGGACCAGATCAAGAACCTGCTCACCTGTAAACAGATCGAAGGTTCAAGAGTTCATGACCCATCAAAGAATCATAACATCGCCAATGGTGGCGCAGGCGCAGCTGCTGCCGGGTACTCGAAACTGGGGTCTTCTTGCAGCTCCATTTGCAGCTTCAGAGATGTCGTTCATGGCAACACCAGGGTCGTTCACAGAGCCGACAACTCGCCCGAGAGTAGCTCGCTGGGTCAGGAAACTGGGTTACTGGGTCGGAAACATGTGACTCGGTCATCAACTCGGTCTTCCTCCTCTAGATCCAACGCTACTGGGACTGGTGCTGCTTATAATACTACGTCCGCCTCCTCCTCCTCCAGAGGAATGCAATTCAGGAAGCTCTCAGGCTGTTATGAGTGCCACATGATCGTTGATCCTAGCAGGTATACATTTTTAATTTAATTTATCTCCAACATATAATATGCTCTCTACATTTCAGGTACCCAATTTATATATCTATAAATTAATGGGACATTTTGGAAAAAGCAAAAGGAGAGAGAAAAATTTTAAAAGAAGCAAAAATAGACAAAAATGCCCTTATTTATTTTTAGATTTCCTAAGGAATCCAATACATTTGCATGTCTTTGATTTGAAAGTTGTGCGGTTTTTTTGTCTTTTTTGAAAAAGCTTTGGCTTTTTCCAAAAGTGAAAATTTTTTTATGTCTAAAACCTAAAAAACCTTAAATTAATATAGAGAAGTAAATTTATAAATGTTCAGGTACCCAATTCCGAGGTCTAGTGTTTGTGTTTGCTCTCAGTGCGGAGAGATCTTCCCCAAGATGGATAGTTTGGAACATCACCAAGCAATTCGCCATGCTGGTAACTACTGTATACTATATACATGCTAATTAATATATATATATATGCTAATCTTTTTATTATTCATTTCATGATGCTGAATTTTCTTCATATTTCTTTTACTGTTTCATCATTACCAAATTTCTATTATACTATTGGACATTTTTGTTAATAGCTAAGGGCCGTTTAGTTTTTAGTTTTTAATTTTTCGCGCTATAATATAAAGAAAAAAGAAGGAAAATGAAAGTGAGAATGAGAGGGAAGATGAGAAGAATGAGTAAAAAAAGTGAAAACAAAAACTAAAAACTGAAATCTATTTGAAATTGTTTTTATTTTCAATATTTTGTTTTCACTTTTGTTACTCTTCCCTCTCATGATCTCATCCCCTCTCTCAATTTCATCCTCACTCTCATTTTTCTTCGTACTGTAGCACACACAAAAAAATAAAAATAAAATTGAAATGGTTATCAAACGAGCCCTAGAATTTATAGCCTAAAATCTGTTTATAGGTCTGAATACTCAGCTCCAACAATTTTGAAAGAAAAACAATTGAAAGATTTGTAAAGTTACCATAACGATTGATTGCACCTCATAAAGGCAGTCAACTTCATGAGTACAAACCTACAGCTGTCCATGCATGACCGAATAAATGACACTGATATGTAAGGTGGCCTGTCTTATTAATTCGAGAAGAAAGACTGCCCCACTTTTCTGACGTTAAAACGCAACAATCCTGACGCTACCTATATTTTCATTCATTGGGTCTTTTACAAATTCTATAAATTAGTTTTAATTAAACAAAGATTCCATTATAATTTATAAGAATATAAAGGTAGATTAAAAAGTAATAATATCTTAATTTTGTATTCGCGCAGTATCGGAGCTGGGAGTTGAAGATTCCGGCCGAAACATTGTGGAGATAATATTCAAATCAAGCTGGCAGAAGAAAGACATTCCCATCTGCAAGATCGAACGGATACTAAAGGTTCACAACACGCAGCGCACGATCCAAAGGTTCGAGGACTGCCGGGATGCCGTGAAGAACCGTGCGCTGGGCACCACACGAAAGAACCCCAGGTGCGCAGCGGACGGGAACGAGCTGTTGCGGTTCCACTGCGCCTGCATCTCGTGCACGCTCGGCGCACGTGGCTCGTCCAGCTTGTGCGGCTCCGTACCGGGCTGCGGAGTGTGCACGATTATCAGGCATGGCTTCCAAGGCAAAGCCGGAGGGGAAGGGGGCAAGGGAGTGCGGACCACTGCCAGCAGCGGTAGGGCCCACGACTCCTTGAGCTGTACGGACGGGCGTAGGGCCATGCTGGTGTGCCGTGTCATTGCTGGCAGGGTTAGGCGCATTGCGGACGATGCGCCGACGGAGGAGGATGCGTTGTCGTCCTTGTCGGCTCCTGGCTCCTACGATTCTGTAGCCGGATTCGCCGGATTATATTCAAATCTCGAGGAGCTGGTGGTTTATAATCCGAGGGCCATCCTCCCATGCTTCGTAGTCATTTACAGGGCTCTAGAGTCGTGATTAACGTCGTCGTTTTTAAACCCTATTTGGCGTTCCTCTTCATTATCTTAGTGTGATCAAAGGTCAACTGTACTGACTTGTCTATTTTTCGGGTTGATTCATGTGTTGGTGTATATAGATGATATTCTCTATCATTTTCACATGGTAATGCTAGTGAGGCCTACGTTTTTTTGTTTCTTCTGTGTTTGTTTAATGGGTTTAGTTCAACTACTCAACTGCATGTGTTTTTGTTAAATTAATATTAAACTGTTTTATCAATTGGGCAAGCTATAATTTAATTAAAAATGAGTGTCCGGAAGCTGTCTGTCTTCTTCTTTTTAATCTTCTTTCAGACAAGTGATGAAAACAATGAACATTCATGCGACCGATGAAGACGGTATATATATGATATATCTACCCAGTAGCAGTAGAGTAAGAGACAAAGCAACTGCAAGTTTTAAGAGGTAGGCATTGCTCTGTCATCATCTTCAATGGACGCCTTTCACTGTCTAAACTTGTAACTCTTTATTATTTCATCATTCATGGTGGGTCTCCTTAAGTCATGTTTTGATGAGAGGTCATATTCAAGCATATGAAAGCCAGTGCCACAAGCCCCACAACCAATATTTAGGCAACCTAGCCTAGCTAGCTGCAGATCAGAGGCATGGGTACGTAGAGAGATTTCCTCTTTCATACAATTTGTTTGTCATTTTTCTTGATAATAATTCAGCAGCTAGAAAGTGAAAGATTCTTAGAGTATCTCCAACCGATATGTCAAAAGTGTCACATAAACATTTAACGGCTAGAAATAACATCTCACATCACTTCAACTGATGTGTCAAAACTGATGTGGAATGAAGACTGAAGGTTGAGATGTTATTTTTGACATCCCAAAAACAAGATGTAAAATGAATATTTTATTATTTTTAAAAGATAGTTGGCTGTTATTTTCATTTATTATTTTTCTTATTTTATTTGTTTCTTCTTTATCTTAAATGATTTGGCTGTTACAATAATTATTTATTTGACATATCGGGTGGAGTGTAAAACTATGTAAATGCCAAATTGCCACATCAACTATCAAATTTAAATTTGATGTTTGATATTTGACATCTCCCTTAGAGCATCTCCAACCGATGTGTCAAAAGTGCCACATAGACATTTAACGGCTAGAAAAAATATCACACATCACTCCAACCGATGTGTCAAAGCTGATGTGAAATGAAGGCTGGAGGTTGAAATGTTATTTTTGACATCCCAAAAGCAATATGTCAAATGAATATTTTATTATTATTTTTCTTTTCTTTTTAATTAAAAATAAATCAACACTAAAATGTAATAAAATAATAATTTAATTTGACATATTGGGTGGAGTGTAAAGCCGTGTAAGATGTCAAATTGCCACATCAGCTATTAAATTTAAATTTGATATTTGGTATTTGACACATCCCTTGGAGATGCTCTTAGGCAGTTATCTATCTCTATAAGCAAAAATTTGTGCCCCCACTAAGCCAAGATTAACAGGGGCCACGTGAGATAATCTCTGAATTACTGCAAGTACATTATGACCTTAGACCCCAAAGAAAAAAAAAATCACCAAGTTGACAGATGACATATAATTGCGTGCACATGCGTCATTGTTTCTAATGTTAGAATACTGTGAAGAAAAAAAACCCTAACAGTTTAATTTATTGCATCAGCGATTCAGCGCAGTGATGGATTATTGCACTAGTTATGGAAGATAGTATATATAAGTAGAGAAGGAAAGGAAGAAGCAGCTAGGTTTCCCAAAAACATGTTTAATATGTAATCCCCGTTGAGATTACTGACAATCTTGCACGTAAAAACATGCTAATAGAAGCTCTACTGCAGGTCAGCCAGTGGCCCATGCTCTAGTGTAAAATTCTAATTAAGGCTCCTGCTAGCTTTGACAGCGCAACTAATCTTACTTAAACTTACTAATACATATATCTTGTTGAGGCTTATTACACAAACAAGAATCCTAGCGTGAGGCGGGCTCTCTCTTTGTCTGGTAACTAAATTGATAAATTAAATTAAACAGTAGCTAGTTAGGCTAGCAAAGCATGCATTGACAAATGGCAGGTTGATAAGTATTGGCAGTCTACTTACCAAATTACCAATCGAGGTCGCTCTGCGCTTCTACTTATATTTAGTTTAACGTAACTTTCTAATTATAGACAAGACACTTCGACACACACACCCCAACTGGTTATTTGTCTTTTATACTAGCCAGCCATTAGACTCCATGTCCATCAATGTATGACCAAAAAACACTCATTGATGAAGTCCACGTGAGATGTAAGTAGGTTTCCTTTGTCAATGTGGGCCGAACCTGTCAATTCATTAACTTCATCCATGCCACATCGACTGGATCGCCTAATTAATTTTGATCCTGTGATTGGGTGAGGCCCAAAGGCCATTCCCTTTTTATTTGCTAGTATTGTTATTAAGAAACTATAACACATTTGCTGCAAGTTGGTGGGAAGGCCAATTGCCCAAAGATACGCTTCAATTGACATTGAAAGAGGCGAATAGGAGGAACACATGCATGCCGCGTAGGCAATTAACGTAAATTTTGACGATGACGTTAACATCAGAATTATATTGCAAAAAATTAAGGTACATGATTGTTAAAATTAAGAGTACATAGACAAACATGGCTTAAGAGTAATAATTCAAAGTACTGAATTGAAATTAACCTTAAAAATAAAATAGAGATTCAGAAATTCCATCAATCCATCAGGGGTTGAAGGTATTATTATGAGTCCCAAAAGAAGAAAAAAAAAGAAAAGAGAAGAAAAAGGTTCTGTTCATGAACAAGTTATCACAGAATATGATGATTTGGTTACAAGGTATGAATGAACATCCAATAAAGAAGAAAAAAGGAGAATGACATCATAAGCAATTAAGGTGGTGAATAAAGAAATGACTTATTTATGACCAGGCTGGGCCCAAAAAAGAAGAAAACATTTCCATCTTGCAATTTGTTTTCTTTAACAATGAAGAGCACAATTATGACAGAGAATTTGGAAGTGATTTTTGTTAAACATGGGATGACTTCACCTAGTCTAGTGTAGTCTGGTTAATAAGTTGTTGAGACAGGTGCTTACCTCATGATGAATACATTTTCTTTACTTTAAGGAAGAAAGTACCAAGACACAATTATGATGTCCTACAAAAATCATTAGAACATGCCCGACTGACCCTCCACTTTTGATATGAATATAAATAAATAATTAAGATCGTCTAAATCTCTTCACAAGCTCATCATCTTTTCCTAATACCCATTTTTGGTTTTACCATAAACAAATGACTTGGCTTCTTTCAAGTTTTCCAGGACCATTTTGTGTTGCTACTGTCGAGATGCGATGTTATAAATTTAACGGGCCAGAGTGAGTTACATTATATTAATTTCAAGAGAAATACTTGAGTTGATGATAGGGTATGTATGGACCACCTCGATATGAACTCGAGCTATATCTATATATATTGATTCGCATCTTCAGTTCTGGTTGTGTTGAATTGACTAATGCAAAGGGCAATCATTAGGTTAAGCTTTCCTCAGCCAAGCAGGGTACCTAAGGCTGCCAGAAAAATGAATGGTAATTTTTGGCATTTCTCTGACTAATGACCAATCTCCATCTCCATGGGTCAAATAATCATTTAGGGGGTTTCTCATAATTTCACATTAGCTAGCTTTATCTTAGGCTTTGGATATAAGTTAAGTACAACCAAACCAATTAAGCATCCACTTACGTACCATCATATATAATTGGACCTTTAATCCAACTCCAAAATTAACTTCACAATTACTCACTTAATTACTACCCTAATACTTTGTTTTAAACCCAATTAATGACTTTTGCAAAGAATCATGAACAAGTTAGATATGGAAAATGTTCTTCAACTAACTAAGAAAGCCTTTTTTATGGTGAGGACAAGTGAAGGCCATGCAAATGATTTGAGCACATGGACAAATGCCAACATCCTTGAGAGTTTTAATTAGTCTCCCAAATAGAATAAAAGTCATGCCCTGGAAAATCACACCCTTCCCCCATTTTAAATTTATAAGATAGACGACACACACACACCCATGATAGCATTCCATTTCCCGGAGAGGACGAAAACAGAGAATACAATGCAGCCAAGAGAGAGAGACCACAGCTCCTCCTTTATTATACAAGTAGGTGATCATCAACAATTCCATCACCACCACCAATTTGATCCTCATCATCATCAACCTCCCAAATTGAACTTGTCTGCCATGAAACTCTTCAACCGCTTCCGGAAGATAATAATGAGACTCTTATTTTCTATCCCATCTCGATCAGCTACCGCGTCTTCTTCATCTTCCTCAGGAGCCACGAGCAGCACCCCAAGGCAAAGGAACAGCACCAGCTGTGACAGGTTCTTTGAGCCCCCAAAGACTTCATGCAGTTCCTATTATTCATCTCATTCGCATTATAACGAGGCCATCGCTGACTGCATCGAGTTCTTTAATAAGTCCTCCTCGTCTACCCAAGAGGACATGTTGGATTTTGATCCACAATCCGGCGTTATGGTTTGAACTTTGATATAAATGTTTCTTTTCGCATGCACATCACACTTCACATGCTCCTGTACTTATGTACTTATCTTTTGGCTCACCGTTCGTCTTTTTTCTTATTAATTCGTGATCTTGTTTTGGTTTCAACTTCAAGCACATTAAGCATGTACTTGGTGCAACTATGCATTCCCTGTTGGTCTCGATCCTCCTGTTCAAACTATTTTATCTGTTTTGCTGTTGTTGTCTCTTACTTTATGCCTTATTTATCATGTACATATACATTGTTGAGAAAATTAAAACGTCATTGGATATGACTATTTATTTATTTGTGAATGCATGCATTCCTTCTGTTTGAATGATTCATTTACTTATTTTTCTCTGAAGCTGGGCCGAATTTTGAACAAGCTTTCATGAAAAGCAAATCAACTTGAATATCGTCACTCTCTTTCTTATCACAATTTACGTTTTATGAGGTTGGACTATGTTGTCAGTGTCAGTGTCATTGGGTTGTTGCATTTGTTGTCGAATGATGTTGGACTATATTTAAATGGCCCATTATTGTCAATACGCATTGCATTAAGGCCCAAAGTAAAACAACTACCCTCAATTAAATTAATAAAAGAAAAAAAAGGAACAAGAACAACGGCAAACCTTAAGGAGATCGGGCACACTAATTTATTGGGTACTTCTTTCAAAGGCTCTCTTCTTCAAGTGTTACAATTTCTTATTATCCCGAGCAAACTAATTTACCGGCAAGACTTGCATACATATATAAAATAGAACTGAAACATACAAAATACGATTACACAAATGGGGATGGGAAAAAAGAGTTGGCATGCAAGCGGCAGTATTATTGGATCAGAACCAAGATGAAGATGTATGTATGTGTGATGCAGAAATGCAGCAGGGCTGATGATTTTTATGAAAGTCATCAAGGATCAAGGATAGGCTACTTGTGGGCCTCCTTTCTTCTTAGAAAACATCCCAGCTATTAGAGGAATGAAATGCTTGTTTTTCTTCTTCTTGAGAGAAAGAGAAGGGTGTCTTTGCAATTTTTCATCTACACCTAAACCTTGCGCAATCTTTACTTGCGCAAGGGAAGGTGGATTTGCAAATGTCACATATCTTTTGTTATGAAACTCAAAGCTTCCTTCTTCCTCATCAGATGTCTGTGTTTTCATTTCAAACTTGGTTGAGTCTGAGTCTTCAACGATATTCCTAACGTCTTCGATGATCTCCGCTTCTACAAACTGTTTCTCATATTCCCTTTCCTTCAACTGATGGAGCTCTCGCTTTGTCAGTTCAAGCTCCTGTTTTAGAGATGAAAGGCAATTTTCCATGAGCTCGCTTTCTTCTCTGGCTTTTTGGAGGCTTTGTTTTGTCTCCTCTAGCTCCGCTGTCACGCTTCCAATTCTGGATGCAGGGCCATGCCGATGCCCATTTTCATGTGCTCCATTCTGCATCTTTCAAGAATACGAGAAAATCAATTATTTAGTACAATTATATTCTGGATGCTTGCTTGCTTTGTGACCCCTTCTCTCCTCTCCTCTCCTCTCCTCTCCTCCCAACAAAGCCAAAATTAACATCTCTTTATTTTTCTATAGCATCTCTTCACTTGAAAGCCAAGAAGATTAGCTCCAGATTCCCTCCCTAATAAAGCCGACCATTAAGGAATTAAGCCTAGTGATGATTTAACATTCTTTATTTTAAATATTTAACAGCATAACCACAGCTCAGTCACATAAACAGGAGGGCAACTTAATTTGTACTCAGCCACAAGCAAAGCATATATGAGAAGATCAAACTACATTTTCATTTTGTGTAGATGGGAAGATTAAAGTTAAGAGATGTAACCTTTAATCCCAACCCAAGTAGTAATTAAGTAAGTAGTGATTAAGGTAATTATGAATATGATGATGATAAGTACCTGTTTGAGCTGGGTGGCATAGAGTTCCCCTGCAAGAAACTTTTCACCGAACAATGAAACAGCTTCTTTGACAGATCGGAATGGTTGCCTTGTATCAATCTCCGCCCTCTTCATCCTCCTCACACCTTGCACTTGCACTCCTGCTGCTGCTGCTGCTGCTGTTTCATTATTATTCTCCATCTTCCTTTCTCAATAAAACTTTCACAAATATTATACTGCTTGCTAGCTACTACTAGAATCAATCAAAGGCCCCAACCAGAATGCCCAATTTACCTAGTCTTGAAAACACAGAGAGAGAGAGAGAGAGAGAGAGAGAGAGAGAGAGAGAGAGAGAGGCTGGCTGGTTATAGATGGGGCGAGGGGGACAGGGGGGAGCTTCGTTTCTTCGCGTCCACTTCACTAGAATTCTGTTAATATTGTGAATGTGATTGTGAAAGTGAAAGGAAGGCGGTGGGTGGAAGTAGTTGGTCACTTGTACTCTTATCTTCTATTTTATTTGTTTTCGTCTCGTGGACTGGGGCAAAAGAGAGGGACTCTTTGCCAATACCCAACACCAACCAATTCCCTATTACCTTTTTTCATAATTATGGGTCTTCTCCTGCACTCTTGCTTATGGTCAAAATCTAACCCAGACTCAAATCCAGCCCACAAACTGGCCTCAAACTTGGGCTAGGCCGAAACTCACAAAATCAGACCATAATGCACATGACTCGTGGGCCTTCCAACTACACATCCATCCATGTAGAGAGAGGGAGAGAGAGCAACCACAGAACATGGGACGGAAAGAGCAATGGTATGTATGGCATGCCGTTTCTATCAAGTTCCCAAAGTAATCAATACAGAAAATGCCAATCCAATCCAACTATGGTAATGGTAGGATAGGATGGCCACAACTTAAAAAGTTGATGAAAGTCTCAGAATTTAAAACCAGAATCATTAAAAAGGATTAAGGATAAGAATTATCCATCTTCATCAATCATTACCACATTAACAACAAAATAACATGTTAATAACCTAGTCCAGCCCTGAACCCATCTTAATTTAGCATCGTATTTTACGAAGATTGATGCGATGATTGTATAAAAAGGAATTGCCGCTGCTGCTGGCGCTCCAAGCATATGAATATTATTACTTGTTTTTATTTGGTAACTATTATGGATATACTTTAAAACGAATCGAAAAACAACAACATGTTGCAATCAGTTCGAGCTATAACAACACCAAAAGCACAGATCTTCGCTCTTGTGTCCCATCTACAAGCCTCCATCGTATTGTCCGCCCAATCCCAACCTCTGTCCAAACCCTCAGCTTTGTACCCAATCGAAAAACAATAAAATACCAAAACAACTGGCAGGTAACGATGACTAATCAACGGGCGCATCAAAAACCGATGACTAACCAACGGTTTAATTCCAGTTAGCTTGTTAACTGCCTGTCATGTCCGCTACCCAAAACCACGTCGTCACGCTTTCTTTCTGAGCATTTTCGACTTTTTATTATAAAATATTAATAAAATTACAGAACCTAAACAAAACACAGTTGGGAACCTTGCCAGTTGGTTGAAATCGACAGAAATAAAGACCAACAATAGTACCACTATGCTCCCTCTCCGTGTCTTGTTCACTATTTTCCCTCTTCTTTCTTTTTCATAGATCTTGCCTTACTACAACATGTCAGTTGCAGCCACGTCCCCAGCCGTTGGATCTTTCTACCTCAGGCGCCGATCACCTAGTACGGCCATGTCCATGCCTCGCTTTAGGATGGCTGTCCGATCTGCTGCCGTTTCTGTCACTCCGCTGTTGACCAAGCTGCACAACGACTCTGCCACTCCTTTGCCCCTCCTGCGCCACGTGGCAGAAGCCATGGCCGCCGATATGCGAGCCGGGCTTGCCGTGGAAGGTGGGAGTGACCTCAAGATGATACTCAGCTATGTTGACAGCCTCCCAAGCGGGTACTATTCACACTTCATACGACGCCGTCAAAATTATACCTTGACTGTTTGCTTGTTTTTTTTTAAAAATAATTTTTTTTTATAAAATTAATGGCTAGTACATTCCATTTTCTACTAGTTTCCTTTTGATGTCATGATTGTGAGTTGTGAAAGGTGTTTACTTTGCTATGCAAGGAAACAGAGTATTTTGTTCTGTATCTAAATGATCATGAGTTTAGTGTTTGATGTCATTTCAATATGTTTTGGAATTGGAAGGAATGAGGAGGGGTTGTTTTATGCACTGGATCTTGGAGGCACAAACTTCAGGGTGCTGAGGGTACAACTAGGCGGCAAACAAGAGCGTGTGATTGCCACCGAATTCGACCAAGTTTCGATTCCTAAGGAGCTTATGTTTGGCACCTCAGAGGTCTGCTTGTTTTATCACTAACTAATTTGCTACAGCAATATTAAATGTTAATTTGTCACATTTTGTATTCAGGATAATGCATACATGAGTTAAAACCAGTTTTGGTTGTTCACACTGCAGCAACTGTTTGATTTCATTGCTTCTGGGCTGGCAAAATTTGCACAAAAAGAGGGTAATAAATTCCACCTTCCAACCGGTACAAAAAGGGAGATTGGATTCACATTTTCATTTCCTGTGAAGCAGACCTCCATTGACTCTGGCATACTAATTAAGTGGACAAAGGGTTTTTCTGTTTCTGGAACGGTTCGTACTTTCCTTTTCTGCATTTCTGTTTTCATTTTCCTAGAGCTCTTCATTGGATTGGTTTCTGCTTTTTGGGTTTATGTTAATGGCTTTAAACCTTTTCCTCTGTCATTTTCTGATCATAGCTTCTTAACACTCATAACAACTTGCCAACTTGGCAGGCATAATCATATTAAGATATTCAAACTTTTACAGGCAGGGAAAGATGTGGTTGCTTGTTTGAATGAGGCTATGGAAAGGCAGGGACTTGATATGCGGGTGTCTGCCCTGGTATGTTCATCTGATGCTAGCATCCTTTTTCAAAAGGTTTAATGAATTAGCTACCAATCTGACATAAATCCATGCGTACTAGGTTAATGATGCGGTTGGAACATTAGCTGGAGCAAGATATTGGGATGATGATGTCATGGTTGCTGTTATTTTGGGTACTGGAACCAATGCTTGCTATGTTGAACGGGCAGATGCTATCCCGAAACTACAGGGTCAGGTTTCTTCTTCTGGCAGAACGGTGTGTGAGAGATGCCCCAAACTCATTTCTCTCTTCTTTATGGACATAGCTTAATTTTATTTCTCAATTTGCCCAAAATTACCTTTGGCTCAGATTATTAACACTGAATGGGGAGCATTCTCAGATGGTCTTCCTTTGACTGAATTTGATAGAGAAATGGATGCTGCTAGTATCAATCCTGGTGAGCAGGTAAACTTTGTTTTTATTTATTTATTTAGTAACTCAGTATCAGCACTTTTCTTTAGCATGCTGGTAAGGTAACAACTAACAAAAAGACTACATAGTTATTACTTGTTCGTTCCTCATATTACATATGCAGATATTTGAGAAAACAATTTCTGGAATGTATCTGGGTGAAATTGTACGAAGAGTGTTAGTGAAGATGGCTGAAGCAGATGCTTTGTTTGGTGAATCTGTCCCAGAAAAACTATCAACACCTTTTGCACTCAGGTAAGATAAACTTCCATTGTTTGCTGAGTCTGGTAACACTAGGAGTTCAGAATTAGAATTAGTTTGAAATCAAGTTCCTTTTTATGCTGAAGTGTGTTTGGAATTGATTTTTATAGGACCCCAGATATATGTGCTATGCAGCAAGATATATCTGATGACCTTCAAGATGTTGGATCAATCCTATACAATGTAGCAGGGGTAAACTTCCGATGTTTGTTCTAAATTGTTCATACATACCATCCTGATGCATGCCTAAGCAAGTATTGTGTACAATTTAAAGCTAGTTTCAGTTTTCAATGTCTTTTCCTAATCAATATTTCTCATTTCCCCAATGCTGGGATCAGGTTGAGTCAAATCTAAGTGCGAGAAAGATTGTGGTGGATGTATGTGACACCATTGTAAAGCGAGGTGGGCGCTTAGCTGGTGCAGGGATAGTAGGGATACTTCAAAAGATGGAGGAGGATTCAAAAGGTCTCATCTTTGGCAAGAGGACAGTGGTGGCAATGGATGGAGGGTTGTATGCAAACTATCCTCAATACAGAAGATATTTGCAAGAGGCAGTGACAGAGCTTCTTGGGACAGAGATTTCGAAGAACGTGGTCATAGAACTTACGAAAGATGGGTCTGGCATAGGGGCTGCTCTCTTGGCTGCTGCAAATTCCCAGTATGCATAATGAGAATGGGTTGTAGGGCAGGACAGCACTCTTGCTGCCAAGGTAATATGGTAGTACCATGTAATTAGCCCCTGATTAAAAAGGGTTGTAATTAATTTGCAATTTGGTTGAACTTGGCATTGTTTTGGCGAATAAGATAGTGAGTGAACAAGACAATGATGAATATAGGATTCGCGTCAGAATTGTAATTCAGAAGTAGACTGTACAACTTTGAGATCATAATGCACCATCCATCTGTATGGTGCAATTTTTGTCATTCAGTTCATCTGTACGAAATATTATGAAGTACTTTGTGGCTCGTAAGTAAATATTACTAGTCACTAAACTTTAGTTAAAATGCTTAATTTGAAACCATCCACAATCACAATAGTGTTTGTGACAGGAACAAGGAAGTTTCCAACATTCTGGAAACTCAGTCCAGCCATCTTTGATTAAATGTCAATTTATGCTTATATTTCATCTCCTAATTTAGCAACGAACAAAGCTAAACATATGTTGTCAATTTAATAAAACTGTATATATCACATTATTACAAAAATTAAAGAGATAACTTGATAGATTTTATTATTTGGACTTAATTGTAACCCAAACTAAGAAACATGACTAAAATGATGAAATTGAAATAATATGGCCCAAAACTGAAAAATGAATCAAAACTATGAAAATTTGCATATGTGGCAAAATTGCTAAACGCGTGCAACTGTTGTCGTATCCATGTCCATGTGTGAAGAGTTCAAATTAGCCGTTGGATAAATCTGTTGACCAATAATTCAAAGGAGACAAGTCTCCTTCACCAAGCACACCGTTTTTGTCTACATCATTAATAATACGCTAGTAAAACTAGCTGGCTCTCCTTCTCTTCCCTTTCTCTTGGGCTTTACCCGCGCCGCGACCCACTGGAACTGCGAAACGACATCGCAAAGTAAACCCCCCAAACAAAAAAAAAAAAAAAAAAAAAAAAAAAAAAAAAACGTAGTTTTCGTGCCGAAGTTCTGGGTGTCTGCTCTCTGCTGTTGTTAGCTTCACTTTGAATTTTGCTTTGACAATGGTACTCACATAATTATCAGTTTTCATTTTGGTTGATTAATGTTTGATTATTTCAATATTCTGAGCATGATCTTAAATCTTCCGTCTGGCAGATCCGATTCATATTGTTACAAAACCGGCAGGGAAAGACCCGTTTAGCTAAGTACTACGTTCCTCTCGAGGATTCTGAGAAGCATAAGGTCGAATACGAGGTCTGATCCACATAATTCCTCTTTTTATTTTCTTTGAATTTTTTGTTATTTTATTTTGCGCATAAAGTATTCAAGGATTTTTGAATTCGATGGTTCTGCAGGTTCATCGTTTGGTGGTCAACAGAGATCCCAAGTTCACAAATTTCGTTGAGGTCATATTTTCTTTTGCTTTGAATATTTATTTGTTCACATGTTTTATTGCTCCAAAATCTTGAATTTACAGAACTTGTAAGTGTTTTTTATTGGTAATATTTGATTGTGAGCTGATTATTGTAACATTGCTTGCAGTTCCGTACGCACAAGGTGATCTACAGGAGATATGCGGGGTTGTTTTTCTCACTGTGTGTTGATATAACAGATAATGAATTGGCATATTTAGAATGCATTCATCTATTCGTGGAGATTTTGGATCATTTTTTCAGCAACGTTTGCGAGCTTGATTTGGTCTTTAACTTTCACAAGGTCCGTTTGCTTATTTCTCACTGTTCTTTCATGTACTACCCGAACCCCTCTTATATGATTATTGCATTCATGTTTAGTTACTGAGTTAGGGTAGCATTCAACCCACACTAAATCATTTGCTGAACTTACCTTCGATAGTGGTGGCCATTTATTGGGATCATGTAGTGAAAAGAGTGGAAAAAGAGTAGTCTATATGTATGGAAGAATGAAGCAGACGTATGGTATTGAAAGCCGTTGATTTTGTCGAATTTAAACCAAAAAGATAAAGAGTGGGTTTTGAATGTTAATCTAATTTCTTTGAATGCATGCTAGCATTCTTCTGTGTTCTCCTTGTACATTATACCATACTTAGAATTTCTTGTTGTCAGTTAGTGTTGGGCTTTAACAAAGTCATTCTGCCTAGTACATGCCAGTACTTCAGATCAGCCTCTCCAAAAAGTAAAAGGAAAAGCGTATATAAATGTGTATCTTTATGACAATGTTTGTTGTAAATACTAAATACCTTGGTGTTGTCAGTTCATTAACTTCTTATCCACTCCCTTTGTATGTGTATGGTGTAGCTGTGTGGGGGGTTATGATCATTGTAATATATATTTTTTTTGTTATCTTACTGATTACTTATTTTCATTTCCATTTATGGAAGGTCTATCTGATACTTGATGAATTCATTCTTGCTGGAGAGCTCCAAGAAACAAGCAAGAAGGTGAGAACTATGGTTTCCATCGTAGTTTTTCCTCTGTTGTTGCTGCTTTTTGTGTGTCTTTGTTGTTTTGGATGGGACAAGCAAGAGAGACCTTGGTTTTTTGTTTTCCATTTTCGCCTGGGTGACCCTTTCCCTAAAGTGAATTTGTCCTACTTTTAGTCTTATTTCTGATTTATCTTTAATTATGTATCTGGATTGTGTGAAACAAAGTCTATATGCCTTTTCATGGTGTCACATATAGATGGCGAAGTTGTAGTATATGGATGGACTATGGGTAACCTTGTCTATTCTTCATGTTCTTTCCCCATTTGACACTGGGAAACCAAATCTTCACTCTTGTTATAAACAATTTGGGTGGTTCGCTCTTTTCATTTCACAGTTACTATCTTGCTTTGGTGCTTGTAGTGTTTGGTCCTATGTTAGTGTAATAATTGATTTCTTTTATGGTCTGCATTTGGTGTGAGGAAATCTAGTTTCATGACCTTTTTTGTGTGTTGTGCTTGCAGGCGATAATAGAGAGAATGGGGGAACTGGAAAAACTGGAGTGAGATTTCATCTGCGGTGACAAGTTTCAAGGATGCAATATGGTTCTGTGTTTCTGCTGATTGTTTCAGTTAATTCTTGTAGCCCACCATATTCCTTGTGTGAATTCCTCCCGTGTAATAAAAGTTAATTGCACTAGAAGATTTTGTACCCCCGGCTTTTCCTCATTTTGCGATTTGTGTTTGAAATACACATTCATATAAATGAAAGGCGTGCACATGAACAAAGTTGTCTGTTCTGTTCAGGTTGAGGAGTAATATAATGTCATGTCAAAAAACTAAGCAGGACTGGAGAAGGTTGTACAGTGCAAAGATCTTATACTCGGTTGCCGCCCAACCAGTAAAGAGGATTAAAAACAAAGTATGCTTTGGATAACTTGACCTCAAAGCAAGTGGGCCATTATGGAAAATCCTTGTAAGAGACCAAATTGCACCAAAAATACCAAAATCTTCAGAATTCAGTCAGATGTAGCCAAATACCGAACTGCACGGAATTTGGGCGTACCACCAAATCTTTCAATTGATAATTGATTGTTGGCTTTGTTTCGATTCGGTACATCTCTGCCGACTATGGTCCAAAAGTCCAAGTCATTTTTCAGACGCAAGCTTGGTTAACACTTCCACTTGCTAAAAAAGTAGAAAACTATATATACCACATTCTTTTTTTCTTCAGTTGCCGATGAGAAGAATGGTAGGCAACTTAGCATTAGGATAAGTGCTGTGTTAGATCCATCCCAGTGTACACCAGAAGACAAATTGAAAAAGAAGATAAAAGGCATATGGTACAATATGCCTTTTACTCACTTTTTCATTGAATTTGCCTACTAAAATCAGAAACCAAAAAGAGAAAATGGAAAAGCGTCTCATCTTCATTTTTTGTTCTGTTTTCATCTGCGAACCTTGAAAGGGCACAGCGTTTACTCACTTTTTCATTGAATTTGCCTACTAAAATCCCCACTTAAGAGTTTGAGAGTTTTAATTGAATAAATGTTGGATCTAATTCTTTACCCTTTTTTCTTCTTTTCTTTTTGCTTTCCTCCTCATCCTTTTACTATTTACTGAAAAGCGAGTGAAGTTTCAAAAGGACCATGTATATACAGAATGAGTACTTGTAGAGCAGAGGGAGTTGAAAATTAACATTTATATTATCTTCTTTGTAAAAGATGAACAATGTACTTGAAATATGTCTGAAAAGATTACTACAAAACCTCTGCGGCCCAATACTCCAGGGCATTTTTCATACAAATCGAAAGCCCCAACTGATCAAGTTATGGCAGCTACACCTTAAACCATGTTCATCTCTTATTGAGTCATGACGACAATGTGAAGCAGCAAGTCCCATTTCTGAGCAGAAGAAAGAATGAAATAATGTATGAACCAGCTACTTTCCAATAGAAATTATTAAAGGCGCTCGCTGCAGAGTAACTGCAGTGGCAGTGCACTTCCAGCGCGGAATCCACCTCCAGACTCCTCATACACAGAAGGTAGATGGTGGTCTTGTCGTTTTACCCTACCAGGAGGAAAAGATGAAGTAACAGCCATTAGCTGCTGCTGCTGTTGTTGAGACAGTGGTGCATACTTAGGACCAACTAGGTCAAGTGTTGAAGGGGAAGGAGACATAACGGCTTGGCCGCATGGAATCAGCATAGTCTCCTGCCTTCCATTTTGCCAGCTTGGAAAGTGAACTGCAGGTGCTGTAGTTCCCACTGGCCTGTACTGAGCCACCATGTGAGCTGCCCAAAGCCTTTGCTGCTGCTGCTGAAGCTGTAAATGTTGCTGTTGAGGTTGCTGCTTTGTCAAAGCTGTGGGACTTGCTTGAGGACCACAGAATGGGTTGCAATGATATGGAGGTAGCTGCAACTGGGCCTACAATTTAGTGTTATTTCATAATTTTAGTACTTAGCATTCAATGTTTACGACCAACATTATTATTATAATAATAAAAGCTCCTTTGTTAGAGTTTAAGGTGGTCAGGAATGCCAAAGCCACATAAGGAAGCTAGCAATACTATTGGTAAATCACCCATAATAACTTTCCTAGCTCTCTATCAATTCAGAAATGGCACTCTCAACCAACCGTTGGATGTATTGGATTAGTTGGATGTACTGGATTGAATCCTGGTTCTATCAAATGGACCAAAGCTTCACAGCATAATTGAATATTAAAAAAAGACAATAAGGAGAACTGAAAAACCTGCTGGGCCGCTGAAGGATTGTTGGGGCAGGAAGAAGAGCTGAAGTGAGACTGGGGCAAAGATAAAGGAACGAGTGTGTGATGCTGCATGAGAGAATGGATATAAGGAACTTGGGATTGTGATGATGGCTCCATTCCGTTTCTAGCTCTACTAAAGCTATCATTAGTTTCCAAACCACCACCTCCAGCTGACAATGACAGGAAATCAAAACTCTGCAAAAAACGAGAAACCAGTTAGAAAATTTTCAGCAATAAACCAATAGTAAACACAATATTAAGCTTTACCTGCTTTGGTGAAGGGTATGCCCGAGATCCCATAGCAGACCCTGGCTGGTCTTGATAAAGCTTCTTCTGCTCAAGAATACCGTTCTTAGCTTCGTTTGGCCTTTTTTCAGCACTAGAAATATCTATGCTACTAGCAGAAACAATCCCATTTTTAACTTTAGTATAAATATTAGCTCCAAGAAGAGCCACTTGTTTGGATCCTTCATGTAGTCTCATTTCATTAGGCTGTAACTTATCTTTGCTCTCGGAGTTTTGTAAAGCCTGAATCAAATGACTTATGTAGACATGAGCTGCGCACTTCTTCCACGTCCTTCTACCATTTAGAACATTAGTAACCTGTATAGTTGATAGTCCACCATACCCTCAATCAGAAGATTCACATGGTAAAGACATTTGTGAAGAAAATGGCAGCACATATCGAGATGTTAAAAATGCTGATTATCATAGAATGACACCGTTAACAAATTAATAGTCCTCTTCACCTTTCCAAAAGAAGAAACATTTTGAACTGAGGCTCTGGAAGTAGACAAGGCGGCATCCATCCAGGCCGGAATTTTAGCAGCAGGGGACCTATAGAATAGCTACAAACAGTGAGGAATGGGAAAAATACAGAGGAATATCCAAAAGCTTATCTAGAAAAGTCTAAAATTATAAGAAAATAAGATAATTACTGCGACGATGATGATGGACTATCATTCCTAGCACCGTGGGAGACATTTGAAGACAAGCCAGGCCACAATACTGGACCTTTCAATCAAAGAACCAAAGATCATGTCATCTTCAAGAAATTGACATGCAATGTTATATGAGAACACAGCGTTTCACAACGAAAGTGAAGTTCCAACCAATATTGAAGAAGTCTTCTGAGCAAGCATGAATTATACCATTTTTCTTGGACTCCTGGACCATATTTTGCACTTCAACTTGACTCCCCATGGTTTTTCCCTGAAGAGTAATCCAAATCCTAAAATAAAAGCTAGCTCACAAAATAGATATTTGACTTAAGACTGAGTTAATGCATACCAGCTCCAGTGCAGTTCCTGGTTTTCTCCCAGAAATTGAGGACTCTTGCACAGGCTGCTTTAACCTGCTGGAAGATTAAAAAAAATGATAATGGTTACAAAAGAAACAGACACGCACACAACCTGAAATAGAAAATAAAAATACAGAAGCTGGAATTAAGTTGAAGAATTACCCACCGACTATCAAGGCTTAGATCAGATGGAACAGAAAAGTTGACAACATTGGCAGTAGGCTTTTCATTGCACTCTTCAACTATTGCTGAGACTGACGAAATGTTTAGATCATGAGGGACTGAATCATCTGAGGTTATACAGAATTTCCTACTGTTTGGTAATTCAGGTTCACTTTGAGTACTGGATTGGTTCAAAGAATCAGCTTGATCAGTTTCTTTAGCTAATCTTTCTACACTAGATGGACTGGAGGCCTCGGTAGCTTTCAAGGGGCAAATTGAACCCGACTTATCATTTCCAACTGCAGAATCCAAAACGACCACATAAATTAACAGTCTGCCTACCACAATGGCAGAATTATGAAAAAGAAGATTTGTGAGCAGAGAATAATGGATCAAACCTTCAAATGCAGGGGTCGGAGTCTCTTTAGACTCTGGCAAAGCTGAAGGATTTGCATCTAAAGATTCAGTGTCTAATTTACTGTTATCATTTGCATCATTGTTAGGGAACAGTCCGGCCAAAGCATACAATGTCTCCACAACTTCTTCCTCGTCTTTTGTGATATCCCCAGAAACAGTTTCTCTCAGGGATCTATCTGAGCCTCCTTGTTTCTTCATAAGTAATTTCAAGTATATGTATCAAAGTTCTGAACAGAAAAGGCAAACCTAAAGAAGATGTTGAAATAGAAGATAGAGATGACTACCAAGTATGGTTTGGGTTTATTTACACCGTCCCTTTTTGGGGATTCGATGCCACTAATTGTATGGTTCAGCTTCTTTGAATTTGGTATAGATGGAGATGCAGATTCACGATTGCGCTTCTTCATTGCTGCAAGTGTAACAACAATTTCAAAAAGCCCGAGATATTCATACAATAGAATATAACAAGATTTTAAAAATTAAAAAAATTAAAAAATTCCCCAAAATCCAAATGCGTCAGAATCATTGAAAGCTATTAAAGTATCTCTTTTGGAAAAGTAAACTACAGAATAGTAGGAGGCAAAACCTCAGAGCCAACTTTCACCAAAAAAAACAAAAAACCTCAGAGCCAATATAATAAATAAAATCAAAAGGCATCACTGCATCCTCAAAGTGGCAGCATCATATTAAATTGAATTAAAAGTCAGGAAAAAAACTGACGGAACCTTGCGTCCCGAAAAAGAAAGAAAAAGCGAAAGCTTCAGTTTTGCTTCACTTCTAATCCAGAATTAAAACAAAGTAAAACAAACTCGAAAACTTCCCAGAAGACCACCAAACAAAGGAAATTCCAAATCCAAATCCAATTAAGTAAATAAAAATAAAGTAACCCAAAAATGGAAAATTTAGACATGAGCATTGAATTTAAAAACAAAGATTTCCGTTCATAATTTAAAACCCACAAACCTGATCGCAACTTCCGCGGAACAGAGGCATGATCAACGCCATTGCAGTCATCAAAAAACTAGAAACAAATATAAAAAACAAAAAAAATGTTGAAAAACGAAACAGGGAAGATGCATAAATTAACATGACTCGGTGTGGTCGAAGATTGGGTAAAGAGTAACCAACCTTTTTGGGAAGCTTAAATCTCTTACTGGGAAGCTCATCTTCTCTGTCAGACACATCACAACCCATTTCGCAGTCTTGGAAGCTCGAACTCGCTGTACCAAGAGCACTCAATTTTCTGAGACGCTCTTTCTTTGATTTTGCCGACTGCACAAAGTCCCCACCAGCACCAGCACCAGCACCAGCACCAACACCAGCCAAACCTTGAAATTCAGAAGCACATATAAGCAACTACTCAAAAGAAATTGTGGTGATAATTATAAAGGAGGACACGCATTATCTGCAACTGCAACTGCAAAGGCTCTTATCAGAAACCAAACAAGAGTACACAGATAACGACAAGTACCATAAGCGTTTTTGTTTTCTCTGGTGAGAAAATTCCAAAAATGGGAAAGCGGTGAAATATTCTGGATTACAAAATTAGAAAAAGTAAAAGATGAAGCGTGAGATTAAGATTTACAAGAGAAGAGCTTGTGTCCAGAAGGTTGTTTGAAGCGAGTGGCTCCACGTTTCACGTCTCGAGGCTTGTCCATTTGTAAATGATCGATGGTGTTGCTAACATCTGGAATTTTGTAAATGAAGGGGGGCTTGTTGGGCGGCTTAGAATGGAGCTCAAGAAAGAAACGCCTCCAAAAGCTGAACCCAAACAGATCCTTCTTTCTGCAATCTGAGCTACTAGCAAGCTCTCTTCAATCACACAGAATGAGAAAGAAAGAGAATGAGGCAAAGGTGCTGAACAAAGTGAACGAGAACAACGTGTAGAGAGAGAGAGAGAGAGACAGAGAGAGTTTTCTTCTCCTTTTTTTTTTGGTTTTGGTTTTTGGGGTGTAGTTATTTAGCGAAACGAAAAGGTCGCCGGAAAGAAAACCGAAAAAGTTGGGTTTGGGTTTTCTTTTTTCCAAAGAAAGAGAAAATCAATTTAGTCGCTTGCGTTGCCAAATATCTCTCCGTTTTTCTTGAGACGAGTGTGACAGTTTAGAGCGAGCTCTCTACCTGCTCGGGCAATGGTAGCAGATCGACCGAATAAGCAAAAACAGAGGAGATTCAGAAACTCAGAGAGAGAAGACGAAGAAGACAAAGCAAAAGCGATCAAAGGCAAAATAAAGATGAAATAATGAAAGCAATAAAAAGTAATTCGGTCCCTCGTGTCCAGAGAATCAGGTTCTTCGACCTCCCTCAGTCTGTCTGTCTAAGAGAGAGAGAGAGAGAGAGAGAGAGAGAGAGAGAGAGAATTGAAAAGAAATGCAAATGAAAAATGGGAAATGAAGACGAAAGTCTCAGTCACAAGTCACAAACGTAAAAGGCTCTCCAGTGTGATGCACCCGTGAAATGTCAAGTGTAGATCGCATTCATTGAAATTTAAAGGAAAACAATTAATGCTCGTTTCTACGTATAATAAACCAATTCCTTCTTCACCCAAACCCACATAATAATTTCTATCCACCAAATTAGATCCAACAATGATCTCTTTCCCCTTCTCTCTCTCCCTCTTCCACTTCCAGGCCTCCACTCTCCTGCTCAATTATGAACCAAACTCATCCATTCATTCATAATCTTTCAAAAACTAAAATTTCAAGAAAAATCACATAAAAATTGAAGCTTGAATCTGTAAACCAGAAAGCAGAAAGCAAAACGGAGACACTAGAAAGCAGAAATGCTTCTTCTTCCTCCCAAAAGACGGAAAAACCGAAGCTTTTTTGGTTGCTCTCCGAAACATCGACTTTCAATTCAATCCATCACAGACTCGGACACGGTCACACTCTTCTTTTTTTCCCCCCTTCTCACGTCACTGCACCATCGACGGTTTATACACACTCTATATGAGTGTGCGGTCCTCCTCACAGCCGTTAGATCACTCGCCATCCGAAGCTGCATCAGAAGGAGACAAAGTTTATCCAGCGTGGCATCCACATCAGACAAACCCCACCCCACCCTCTCTCACTCAGTCACGATGATCTGTCCTGTCCTACTTAAACCTCCGCCACGCCTGGCCCTCCGATGGCTTTCTCTTTCCGTTTCTGGACTAGTCTTTTGTGGGCCTTCTTCCTTCACCTCTGGGCTCCAAATCCAATCCGAATCCAAAAGTAACCGAAATCTGATTTCTGATTTCTATAACATCCAACGGTTATTACAATACCTCGTGGCAACATGACAACTTGTCCGTTCGTACGAAAAGATTAAGATTGTGCTCTTTCTTTCTTTCTCAAAATCTGCAGTAAATCATGATTTTATTCTGTACCGCCCCATGCCTACCCTCCCCCACACCCACAAATTCTCATTTATTTCTCGCCCAACAATATGTACAGTAGTACCGTACAAGTACGTATTGTCTACGTTACTTTCACCGGTACACGCATTATACATCCATGCCTAAATGGGCTGTGGAGGAAAAACGATGTTCACAGGCAGAGACAGACAAGCAGCTGCTGCTATGTGTACGTGTAGGGAGGGTGTTGTATACACGCCTCTAAGGGAGCGTGGTGGAGGTTGGGGGAGTTAGTTTGTGCAAAATTTGTGTCTCTCTCTGAGTCTCTGACTGGGTGGCACTAAAATCTGCGATGTGCAAGTGCAAGAAGTTCTCTTGTGGACAAAAGTTACTTTTCGAGTCACGAGGAAGGGAACGGAGGTAGGGAGCGGGGAGTAGGAACTCGGCGATTAATTGGGAGGGATCCTAATTCCTTCCGATAATAATTTTAATTTTATTCTCTGGAAGTTCGAGTGGCAGCGAGAGAAGAGACTCACGTTTGTTGCGTGACTGACTCGTTGTTATTTCCAGGGAAATTACCAAAACAGGCCGGATGACTTCATTACTATAAAAAGACAATTAAGGCCCCGGGAGTCGATGCGCCAAAGAGTGAAACGGTGTCATTTCATGGTTGACAGACTGACAGAGTTTTCAGTCATGCCTTACATGTATGTCGTGTGCGCATTAGCATGCACTGTTAAATATGTTGGATCTTGCACTTCCGGTACAACATACATACAGTACTAAACTGGACTATTGGGCCTTACAATCTCTTCTTGAAAACATACAGCCCAAGTCGGTATCCTAGGAATGGGCCCGTGGGCCTTGCATTAAGAAAGCCCAACACTGTTACTGGACTTTTCATAACTCAGATAAATAAATTTACTAAAATAAAATAAAATCTAATTCTTGTTGATCCACTAGAATTAGGCTTTATATTATTTTATAAATCACCACGATCCAAAACATAAACATATATCAAGAACAAGAAACGTGTGTTGCTTGCTGGGCCCCCTGTGGGTGTCTCGAGATTTAATTAAGGGCATTTGTGTAGGCCCCTGTGGGTGGTCATATTGGCGTAACAAGGGCAGGTTTCATAGTGACCGGAAGTGCCTGGCGGAACGCAATTGCATCTCTCGCAGCACGTCCCGCATGCCCTCTTGCATAAATTCGGCCTTGACGATAATTTGCACCTTCGATTACATTCTCCATTACACTCTGTATGTAACACCATACAATATTAGTATCGTAATTCTTTTTTATATATAATTAAGTTGAGTTTTCTTAGTCTGAATCTCATACCTATTTTTGGAGGAGGATGAGGGCTTTCAACAGGAGGATGATGTGGGCTTTCAACAGGAGGTGTGGTCACCTGAAAACACGTTACGCTGTTAGTCATCCAAAGCAGCTTCAAATTGATGCATAAATTAATTAATTGGATTAAAGTGGTTTACCGTTTCATGAGAATCAGCGAGTTGGAAAATGAGAAGAGAAACGAGAATTACAACCTTCAACATCATCTTCTTGGCCATGGAGGAGGAGAGTGTAAGTAATCTTTGGGTTGGGGCTAAGAGAGAGAGTTGGTGGTGTTTAAAGAGAAAAATAGGTGTGGTATATATGGCCAAGTTCATGAGGAGGTCATTAATTATGAAACCTCATGAGTATGAGTGACACACACCAGACCAGAATGACAAAAGTGCTCCAACGAGGATATGACTCTGAGAACAACTACATTCAACAAATTTTGTAAATTTACATACTTGGTTGGTCTAATAATAAACTTTTTTTTTTTTTTTTTTTTTTTTTTTTTTTTTTTTTTTTTTTTTTTTTTGATAGTTAGTTTAAATTTAAAAATTTAGCATTTAGCAAAGATCTGGCTGGCTGGAGCCTGGAACCATATCACTTTACTTGTATTGTATGCCATATTGGTTTGCTGATGTTATTTCTTTTGAATATGAATGATCAATGAATGAGAGTTTATCACACACACTACGTACTAAAATGTCATGAAAGTTCAAAATCTCAAACTACGAGTCTACAAGTCAATACTCTTTTCTACTGTCGTTAGACCCTATTTGTTTTGGTCTCAAATAATTTATCAACACACTGTCCAATGTCTATGCATGCGTACGAGTCATGACTACTACTAAGGTATTATAACCGACAGACTAGATAAACTGAAGCGGTAATCTGGCTGGAATGCAAGCATTAAATTGTATATTTGTATCATGAGTGCGTTGCATCATCTACCTCCGGTTCAGACGTTTCGGTCGCGTTAATTTGTGATTCATTCGAATTGGATTTTAGGAAAGGCCTCATCCTGTTTAACAAAATGGGCTATGTTTATGTTGGCCCTCTCCCTCTCAACAATATCTACGACAATTGCAAACACAAAAGCCCATGCTTTTCTGTAAGTGGCGGTGGGGTCCCAATCACTTTCAACTTGGACGTCATGATTCACGAATGTGTCCCATGAGTCTATGACCCATTTCTTAAGGCAAGAAGAGGAGAAGAAACGACAGAGACAGGTAAAATCAAGAGCAGTCAAAATATGATGATATTATCATCTTTTCTCTCTCTTTTGCTGGCCCATAGATTAGAATTGAATTGAACTCCAAAACAAAATATTTTCATTGAAGCCAAAACAAAAGAGGAAGAAAAAAGACACTCCAAACCAAACACGCAATAAACAAAATTACAATAAGTACGTTTTCGTGTAGCTTTAATCATACAAACCCAGTGACATCCTTTGTTTTATTTAATTAGAAACATAACTTTATTTATTTATCTGAGTTCTGAACTGAACACCACCGGCAGATGAAGGTTGGTTGAAGTTTGAAGTTGGAATTCAAGGACACTTGCGTTTGCCGCCGTGGGTGGTGAGGGCAGCGTAGCAGGGGCAGACCTCCTGATTCCCGGCAGTACCCGGAGGAACACAGCTGCAGCGTTGGCAGCAAGTCCCGCATGCCCTCTTGCACAGCCGAGGCCTTGAAGACAAACGACATCGAGCAGCGCACGCTCCACCACAGTCTATATATTACATAATATTATTCATATTAAAATTGCCGTCAATCAAACAAGTATAATATAAGACAGACAAATATAATGTAATTAACATGTACCTATTTTATCAAGGAGAGAACTCTGTGCTGCATTTTTGTTTGCCTGCAATTGCAAATATATAAATCAACTTAGCTACATATACATATATATACATATAGTATCAAAATGAAAGAATCTTCCTTACCGTCTCATCAGCGTCAACAGGATTGAAAACAAGAAGGCAAACGACGAGTACTGAAACAAGAATCACAACTCTGGAGGAGATTGAGACTGAGATGGCCATGGTTTCTAATTAAAGAGATTTAATTTGCTTGCTTGCTTGCTCTCAAACCTAATTGAGAACACCTTGATAAATACAGATATCTATCAAGTTAACTTAAGTTGTGCGTAAGAATGAGATGCATGGCATCTCCTATTTATAGCCCAATAGTTTGCCAGCTGGCCGTGGGTCTGTGAGAGTGATAGAGAAGGAGAGTAGGTGCATGCCAGGACGGGACATTCTCGTGGTATGTGGTATATGTTATTAAAATTTATAAACAAATGCATGCAATGTAACAAAAATAGATGTAAAGCTTGAGGAATCGTCTGAAATGAGTAAAGCTATCTTCTTTATCTTTTTTTTTCTATTGCTTTTTGTGTTGTGGGGATTATCTTTCCAAGTGGTGTTAGTCTTTAGCCTTTAGCTACCCCATTCATTTGTTTTCATCTTCTCTTCTTTTCGTGTGAAACGGAGGAGCATAATTAGATAGACCCATATAGCTAGCTAGCTAGAGTGAGGCTATTTTTTTGTTTTGTTTGGAACTAGTGTTCATTAGAAACCCACAAGGGAAGGGAGCACAAATACACTGCATAAAAATGAGACTCAACATCAACGCTACAAGACCTAGGCCCAAATAATAGCTAGTGAGTCTATTAGAAGGTTTATAGAGTACTGTTTAATTTGACTCTGCTCAAGCTGCTCTCAAACTGTTACATGGAAACAACTTGCTACGTAGTCTGATACTTATCAAAACATTGACCAGCAAAAGCAATCAATTCTTCCATTTCTAAATTAACCAAGTCTTTTTTTGGGTTTTGAAATTAACCAAGTCTTTGAGTAAACGAATATCCATTAGAATAGTAGTCATTTCAAACACAAGAGAAAAAAACAAAAATCTTGGGTGGACAGCTTGCTATCTACATTGCTTGCTTTACAGATCAAGTGGCTGCGATTAATTGTGGAAATTAAAATAAACCGTTGGCTTTTTCTTTTGTTTTGGGTCGGCCAGAAAACTGAGACACATCTGTCAAAATCAAAGGCCAAAAACCTTAATTCAGCTTCAATTCCATTAGCTATTTATGCTATAATGGTCAAATGCATGTTTCTTTGTCATAAACAAATATGTTTGCTATCTTAATAGTATTATATGGCTGGATCCTGGTTGGATTTCCCCATGCTACCCAACTCCGTGGGACTACCAAACGAGGGGAGGGAGGGCCACTAAATTATACTTAAACAAGTGGTTATAATTAGTAGTGGATTATCCGCCGGTGGCTTTGGACAAAATCATTCGTCATCCATTTGTAATATATATATGCTGTAAGTAGGGTTTGGTTCTCTAGGGAACCCTAGCTAGCTTCTTAATTAATTATTTCTTCTTTTTTTACAATACAAGCCAGCCATCGCAAAGAATGAGAATTCAAGCACATGACCTCTGAGTGTAGGGTTATTAACTTGCACTACAAACCCCTTTAGCTCGCTTAACTTGTTAATTAGGAGAGGAGGACTGTGATTCCATTGTATTTGCTAGGCAGCACACCAAAGCCCCGCACGTGCATAGCTTACCCCACTGCCTACACGTGCACTTGGAGAAAAAGAAAGAAAAAGACGGTGGGTGGTAGAAGCTTATCCATCCATGAATGGTAGAAGCTTATCCATCCATGAAATGAATGAGATGAGACACACCAGCGGGAACCGGAAGAGGAGAGCTAACTAATAATAAGGGTAAGTAAGAGAGTGGGTAGTTTTCCACAGCTATAGGCTACAGCTGTAGTCTGCTCATACTTTACAAACGCCAAAATGAATGACAATTTGATGGGATTGGGATTGGCACTAGGAGCCTATGTACGACTAGTGTTTGTTACTGACCCAATTTTTGTCGACGTTGGCTTTAGATTAGAATTAGAACCAATTGGGAAGAAGACGCGCCAAATATAATTATTTGATTGATGAGTTTTGGACTTAGTCGATGATTGACAAGCTTTCGTTTTTGGGGTTTTGATCAGTAAAATTATGACAGTCTTTAATTAAGAAAGCAAAAAATGGAGCAGTTGATGATTTCTATAGTGTCACGCGATGATCTAATCATTTCGCAACCGACTCTAAATCCTTCTTTTCTCTTATTGGTTTAAATAATTGCGAGGGGCTTAGACTTAGTTCCAGCACTTAAGATAAAATAGGTAAGGCAGTCAACTTTTGAAGCAGTGTCCCTCTCTGCCCGCATCCAGGAGGAAGGACCATGAAAGAGAGAGAAGATATTTTCTTGTTTGGTTTTTTCCTTCTTTGGCTTTTTGTTAAAAACCAATACTAAAAAGAGAGTGAGGCTATTATTTAGTCGACAAAATATCCTCGTTCTCTTTTTAGTATTGGTTTTGAACAAAAAGCTAAAAAGGGAAAAACCAAACAAGAAAATAGTGAGGATATACATATAGTTGGGTTGGGCTGGGAGATTGGTTTGGTTTTGGTATGAATCAGGAGGAGCAGGACGAGTAGTGAGATGTAGTCCATGTAAGTGCGGTGCTGGTGCAGCTGTGCACAGTACATAAGTGCGGTGCCACGTCATTCTGTGATTGCCCTCTTCCTCCTACTGTATGCTGTTATTGTCTGCACCAGTAGTCTTCAATTTCATGAGCAGCCTGTGGTTTGTAATATTTCATGGGACAGAAAGTTGAGAGCAAAAGTAGCATCTCACGAGTCCCCTTCTATCCCCAAACAACACGGAGTGCCCTTGGCAACTGACAGCTCACTGTAGGGCTTTCTGCTGCCTGCCTGCTTGGGTTGACCCAAAGGAAAAATAAATATAAAAACTAGAATCCGACTGATAACTTATTAAAACCACTTGCAAACATGGGTTATGTCATTTGATTATGAAAGTGCCAATGCCCCCCAACTCCTTACACTATCGTTTGTATTAAAAATCCAGAAGGCGGAAACAAAACAATGAAGATAGCTTTTGGCAAGCCAAGCTAAGAAGAAATTTTTGTATACATCAAGCATCCACAGCTTAATTTAGAGAGTTCACTCTACAATAGTACATTCACAGCATATGCATCGAATAATATACAGATTTGCCGATGTCAAAGTTATAATATATATTATACACACACCGATTACCCGAAGAAAGTTAAACATATACACACATGTACAAGTAAATTATATAAATGTCAAGTCCTTGTTCCCAGCCTGATCCACTAACCCCTTCTGTGTGCGCTTTGGCACGACCAAGATGGGCTTGAGGGATCAGCAACACAGATCTGAACTCGCAAGACCTCATGAATGGCACCTCGATAAAGCACCGCAAGAACCTCCTCTTGTTTGGCCAAACCAACATCTATCAGAGTGAACCGACGAGAAAGTAATTCATCTCGCATTCTGAAGCCGTGGGACCATCTCCCAAGCTTCCACCATTTAACACAAACTTGCCGCTCAGATATCTTCCTACTCTCGAGTGCTTTCAGGACACAGTTGGCCTGCCAATTTTGTATTTTAACTACTATAAGTATCTAAAATCAAATTATTAGCAGATATGGGATTGTTATCTATTTGCCATACGGCTACCTAAACGTTATGCCAGCAATGGAATACATACATATATATATATATATATATATATCATCCCTCACCAGTACCATAGCCGCACTATTATACATGAAAAACAAAACAAACACAGAATTTCTAGCTTCCAAATGTTCTCTGTACTGTGGCTTTCAATGGAAGGTTTAAAGATTAAATTCTCTCTGTTTTCTTTGACAGAAACTAAAGAACCATAAATATCTCAATACGTTCAGGGTATGCGATTGTATAATTAGGCTAAGGGAAATCAATAACTCAATGCCACTGCAGTTCAGCCAAACATGGAAATACACAGAAAACTCGTTGAAAGGAAAAGAGAGAGAGAATTACAGAATGAATTGTATCATTAGAAGTAATTTTGAACTCACCTCAAAAGGTTCCCCTATAGTTTATACACAGCCACACAAGCTAAGATAGCTGAGTTTGTAACCGCTAACTGTCATATTTCTTTTTTCTTTTTCTTTTTCCGTAACAACCTTTACAGTCTAAATGACATTCAGACTGGTATTTGATTATATTAGCCTTTGTTCTTCAGATTACAACAATATAACCCTTTTCAAATGTAGCGCATGCTATAGCACATTTTGTAAGTTTAGCCATGTTTGAACAAACAGATGGTCTAAATTGTTGGCTAAAAGAGTGAGAGAAGACGGTGCAATTCCTCTAAGGTTATAACAGAGTACTCAATATATGGCCAACAACAGAGTATTGATGCAATTCGCCAAAAAATAAACAACTTTGAAACATAGATTCCTACAGAAAGTTGATCAGTAGACAGAGTGATAAAAGTATATACCGGCACTCTAAGCCAATTCATGCAGTAGTGCAAACCAAGTAGGTTAACCAGCACAGTAAGCTCTGGTTTGAAAAGAAACATTTGTACATCCTGATATCCAAATTGCATTGCGTGCAAATCGTGCATTGCCTTCTGATACTCTCCAACCTCAAGGGATACAGATGATGAGCATGTTTCCACAAACTGAACCACCAACGTAGCACGAGCCGCCTTCTCATTGTGCAACTCCATGTAAAAGCACCTCCATCCCTATACCATTATTAATTTCCACATAAGAATATAACAACATAAATTGACTAACCAATAACTAAGCAAACATGTAGCTAGTTGATACTCATAAAACTACAAACAAACATGATGGGAATGAAAATCTATCGTCTTCCTTTCTGCGAAATCATTGGATATATCATTAGGGATGGCAACACATGATCAAAATTATAAGTAATTAAATAATCTGTTTGATTGATTGAGAAATTAAACAAAATTCTGGTATAACAATTGAACATATTAGAAATAGGAAACTAAACGGTGAACAAGAACTGAGTTATCAAAAACTAAAGCGAAAAAAAAGTGTAAACAGAGGGAGAGTACCATGGACATGGGTTTTTTGATTGCAGAGGAAGAAGAAGACCCATCGGACAATTCAAGAGAAGGCCATCTGTCTCGTACCAGAGACTCCCATATGCAATCCGACCCACACAGCTCCCTCCATAACCGGGAACAACTGGCCAACGAACAAAGGTCCGGCACCTTCGTTTCCAAAATTGAAATTGAATAAATACATAAAATCAATATTCGTAGGTTGAAGAAATAATGATCGGAAATAATATGAAATGATCAAGCACCTTCAGCTCACCTGCAGGAACGAAGCAATTTGGAGGGCAATATCCTCCGGAACTGGGAGAGGGCTCATTTTGTTTTGCTTGGAACTTTGAAATGAGAATGCATTTGACTTCAGAGTTTGGGGACTTTCGGCCTTTTCCTCTTTGCACCTCGTTGTCATTGGAGTATCCTTCAAGGAACGACGCGTAAACTCGCGTTTCGGAAACCAAAACGACACGATTTAGGCATACCAAATTCTACTCGACGAGACGAATTTGTGCCCCAGCAGTAAGACGACGTTCTGGGCTTCCTTCTCGGCCACGAAACGACATGAGAGGACCTATGATCTGTAGTTTGAAGATAAATGAAGGAAAAAGTTCATTTTTTACGATTAGCTGGGTGGGAAGGATGCAGATGAGAAATGAAAGAAGGTGAGAGAACATATAAAAGGTAAAACGAAAAACAGGATTGTGGGTGTACCTTTTTCTTTGCCTAAAAATAATGGTAAACTTGAGCTTCTAAATTTTCTTTAAAAAATTGAAAGATGAAAAATAGAGAGAAATAAATTTGAAAGATGATAAACCAAAGCAGACTTTTTTGAGTTTTTATAAAAAATAGCCAAAATTTCCTCTTCATTTTTATAAATGTCAGTTTTTATAAAAACTTCCAAAAATAACCAAAAAGTCACCTAAAAATACTCAAATGCCCTTAGAACTAAAACCCACTTAAACCTAAAAAGCAAAACTCTATTTAAGACTAAGGAAAGAAAACTATGATGAGTTTAGCCGCCCTTAACTATAGACAAAATATAAAAACATAAGATGAACAAATAAATCCAACAAAAAAAAAAAAAACATATAAATCATAATCACTGAAAACTACTAATCATAATGTATTCATAAAAAAAAAAAAAAAAAAAAACTAACAAATTTGATGCGTCTAGCCGTTCCACCACTGACGCCTTCTTTCTTTGGTGTAATTGTTGATTTTCAACAACTTTTTTCTTTTCGAAATATATGATCGAGATTTTGACTCATTATTCAACTAATTTACTACTCATTACAAGATGGGTTTCAACATAAGTGGTCTATGTTGTTAAGGAATTAACTTTTGGAGACATGGGGAAATAAATACTCATATTTTATGGAGAAATATAGATAAGCAATGGGTATTTCATAATCCTTAGAAATTGGGTGGATTGTAAAGTCAATCTAATAAGCTTTGCGGCAAAAACTTGTTGAGGGTTGGTTTGTTAAAATCTTTGTGTGAACTAAGGAAATCATGTTGCTGTACAAAGCTTGGTGTAGGGGACCATGGATGCGTTGATGGATTGCCAATCCCCATGCGAAGTTTTCATTATCGTCATAGTGAGCTAATCTGGTTTGGAGTGGCTGCGGGGAGTAATCCAAATTTCAAGCTTTAGCAACTCAAGGTACAGAGAAAAAGAATTGCATATATGGGAAAGTTTTTTATTATGAGGGTAATTTGGTCCATTGAAGTGGGTTTTCTGCTATATGTGAAAGTTTTTATAAAAACTTGCATTTATGAAAATGAAGGGTAAATTTTGACTATTTTGATAAAAATTCGTCTTTTTTCTTTCTAATGCTCGACATCAACAAAACGAAGGAGGCCCACAATCAGAATACCACATCAAAACATATCAATATCTTTTTACAAGATTATCTGTCTTTTTTTTCTTTTTCTTTTTTTGGTTTTGAGCTCATTAGGGGATACCCATTGGGAGCGGATTCGCTGTCCTTAAATTGGTATCCCCTCCATGTTCCCTCTCTAATTTGCTGACATGTGTCAATTAACATAACAAGGAGTTAACTCCGTTAACTTTTTATATGACAATTTTAAATATTAAAAATATTAAAAACTGCCCAAATAACCCAGCAGCCAGTGAGCGTCGTCTTCCTTGCAAAACTCATATTGTATAATATGTGAGAACTATTTGTATAATACGCGAATTTTGTGCGTTTTACTGAAAATTTTGAAAACAATACGTGTATAAAACATTACAAATACGTACGTACAAGTATAATACGACTATTGTATGTTTGCTTTTTAAAAAACATGAGACACATGTATAGAACACGAATGTATTATTGAAAAATATGTACGTACGTACATATATATGTATATGTATATATGTAAAAGACCATAGCCACTCATCTATACTATTTATTAAAGAAAATTTTTTATATAATAAAAAAAAAAACAGTAAGAACTCTCGGCTATACTATTTTTAAATTAAATAATTAATTATTTAACTAATCAGTTTTAATTTAAATCATAGAGCCCCAAGGCCCGATGCCCATCTTTTGATTAATTAAATATATTAATTAACCATTAGCCCAACTAATTAGGCATTTAACCGAAGGTTATATCCACAAGCCACTCAATTGGGCCACTTGCATAGCCAATACAAACGATTCTATTTCCAAGAGTAAGTCTTATAAAGACCTCCAAGGATGTGGGAGCTCAAACATGTTTGCAATACCTTGGAAAACCAACAAAACTATTATGTTCCGCACACATTATTTGTCATAGAGAATTGCATGCTGAGTTGGAGTGTTCTTGGTAATTGCTTCACTTTTGAAACAACACTTTACATGAAGAATACTACCACCTCTCTTACTACTATACTCATACTTTCCAGGTACTAGCAGTCTTTCCATTAACTGTAATCTAAGACCATACTTTTTCTAAAGAGTCTTTTTTAATTTTTGGATCAGATAATGTGTGTGATCTCTAAATGTACATTTTGTGGATCTTATTAGTTAATAAAGAGGACAATTTATAGCTCTAGTTGTATAAATAGGCACTCTCTGATATGTCATTGTAATACTCTTAACTTAAGTGATGTGAGAGTGCCAATCATCTTCAAAGTCATACACAAGTTAACTTACTTTTCTTGTAATGTGCTAGAAGGATGCAAGGGCTTACTTTATATGGTGCTTCATGCACGTGTTGTCTTAGACTTGTGTGAACAGCTTGAACAGGAGATAAGTTTTGATCAGGTTGAAGGGGACTTTGACTCATTTAGAGGTAAATGGGTTTTTGAGCATCTAGGAAGTCATCACACACTATTAAAGTACTTTGTGGAATCGAAAATGCGCAAGGATACTTTTCTTTCTGAAGCCATCATGGAAGAGGTTTGTGTTATTTGTGCAATCATTAACCATCTCTTTCTATATTAGGAGGGAGGAGAATGGGGTTTTGCAAGCGTTTGAGAGTTGATGGTGGAGAAGATGCAGAGATTATGAGGGAGAAGTGTGGGTATGGTTGGGTTTTGCAAGGAAGAAGACGCTCGCTGGCTGCAATTGGAGAAGAGGAGAAGACTGTCACGGAGAAGACGACTCTCGCTGGCTGTTGGGTTATTTGGGCAGTTTTTAATTTTTTTAATTTTTAAAATTGTCAAATAAAAAAGTTAACGGAGTTAACTCCCTATTATGTTAGTTGACACATGTCAGCAAATTAGAGAGAGGACAAGGAGGGAACACCAATTTCGGGACAGCGAATCCGCTCCCATACCCATTGGGCTCAAAAGTCTTGAGTTCTCCATTTTTTTTCAAAAGCAGAAAATAATGGTTTTACCTTTTCCTTTGCCTGAAAACAATGGTTTTACTTAAACTTCTAAATTTGCTTTACAAAATTGAAAACTTACAAAGAGAGGATGCCGGCAACAAGGCCTTGAGACCGGAGGCCAACGTTCTTCATTGACGTTAATGATTAATGTTATGTTCTGAACCTTTTGGTCCAACCGTAATTCTCACAAAACCAATGTGATAAACCAGTCTTTTTCTACTTACGGCTAACACTAGACATAATCTCAGGAGGCCTACATTCACAACAAACAAGGCAAGTCAGATTGAGAGCATACATGACACACGTACAGATTCGGCGCAGGAAAATGTATCTCTACACATACATCACGTACATCAAAATATATCAATATCGTTCACAAGTTTATATTAACGAACATTTTCTAGAAAAAAACCTCCCCATTGTGTATAGTGTCCCAAGACCAAACTGCACATCAGGGATCTGCTATGGTGATCTTGACACGTGCTATGCGCCATTCATGAATCAACCACAGAACCTCCTCTCTCCTTTGTACATTGCAAGGTCTTCCAAAGACAGGTAACGAAAATGTGACTAATCCGGTATGTAGAAGTTATGATATGGGTATCGACTGCCATGGCCGAGCTCAAACCATTCAACACAAACTCGACGCTCTGACATCTAGCTCCTGTAACGTGCTTCCAGGACACATATGGCCTGCCAATTATGTATTTAAAGGTATCTAAGTCTACAATGTTATAATTTGACATTTCTGATTATTTTTTATTTCCCAAATGCAAATCTAAAGGTTGACCCAGCCACACAATACAAACAGTATGCCTTCTCAGGGATAGGGGCACAAGCTTATACATGAATTGAAACAAACATAGAACTCTGAGCTTTCAAATCTTTGGACAAACATGTTACCGGGTGGTTTCTACACTCTGGCTTTCAGAGGAAGGTTGAAGTTTAAATTCCGAATGAGAAACTAAAAATTGTATATGTGCAGGTTTGCAGAATGTGCAAGGGTAAGGGAAATCAAGAACTCCAAACGTTTGCAGTTCTTCCAAACACAGAAGAAGAAGAAGAAGCAGAAAACACGATGAAAGGAACAGAGGAGAGAACATTGTATCATCCAAAGTGCACTTTTGTTTCTGAACTCGAGACGTTTCCTTTATACACAGCCAGATAAGCCAATCTAAATGAGACTGCTAACTATTGTGTCCATTTGCTAACAACCTTAACAGAATATACACTGGTATTTTCTATGGTAGATGATATCTTAAATGAAGCACATTTCGCAAATTAAATCATGTTTGAACAAACAGAGTGAGACAATCTGTCATTCTGAAAAGATGATAATCTGTCGTTCTGAAAAGATTGAAGTTTCTATAAAGCTATGACAAACCATTCATACCATTCGGAAGAAAATATGCAATTTGAAACATAGATTTGCAAACCAAGTAATCAGTAGAGAGAGTGACAAGAAGAGTATATACCGGCACTCTAAGACAATCCATGCAGTAGTGCAAACCAATCATGTTAAGAAGCACGGTAAGCTCAGGTTTGAAAAGAAACATTTCTACATCCTCAAGTCCAAATTGCATGGCATGCAATAATTGAATTGCTCCCAGATACTCATCAACCTCAAGGGATTCATATATTCATCTTATTTTAAATCTATCGTTATCCGTAGTAGCCAATTGGTGTAGCCTAGGCAACATTAATATTATCGAATAAAACTTCATGTTTTACGGGCACTTTGTGAATCAAACAAGTTAATTGGAGGATTATGTTTACGATATTCCATATGCAGACAGGTTTCTTACAAATCCAAACAATAAACTGAAAGACACGCCAAAGAGACTATTGCTTTTCCGAAAAGTTTAATTGGTAAAATTTAGAAGAGAATATGCAAAAACAGAGGAGTACAAAGCTCTGTCAATGCTTAATTAAAGTTCCACTGTCTCTCCAAAAATAGTACGCCAAAGTGTTTGCTTAAAATATTGTAACAAACAATAGATGCATTATGCATAGCAAGAAAATGAGAAGGCCATCTGCATTGAATTAAGAGGACCATGAAGCAGATCTTTTAACAAGGGGTTTCATTTGCTTGTCTTCCTCCAGAGAAATCATGCCCAAATGAGACGGGTCTTCCAGCATCATCTTAGCCACCAAGTACCCAGCAATGGACCACGTCTGAAACTTACGTGCCTGCTTTCCCATGTACCTTCCCAGCTTCCCGTCATAATACTCCGGCCAGCTGTCTTTCGACAACCGACTTTCAGCAAGCTCAATCGCACGTCTAGCAATTTGGGGTCGCCCCGTCTTTATGCACGCCGCCGTCAACAGCCACAGAAGCACTGCGCCCCCCGCCCATCACAAAATCCAATTCATTTTATCATTCATAATTAAACTAATTAATTAGTAATTAATTTTTTTTTTTTTTTTTTTTTTTTTTTTTTTTTTTTTTTTTTATAGTTACATGAGAGTCACCTGGCCAAGCCAAGCCCCCGTTGTGGTAGCTCCACCTGGTATTCTTTGGGTCGCACCCAGTGACGATTCTCCATTCGTGATTTTCTATGGCTGGGTAGCAAATTTTCAACGGCATTTCTCCAACCAGCTCTTCCCAGCGTGACTCGATAAGATCCATGATCGCTGACGCTTGCTCTGGGGTCGCCAAAGACGATAAAATTGCCACACAATTGCCCAAGCAGAACCAGCGAAAGTCCATTCTTGCTGGGCTAACGTTCCCAATGAAGTAGCCACCACGGCTCGGCATGAAATCGAAAACCCAATCTGGAAGCGAATCCGGCATCACGTTGAACTTGTTCACTGCAGTGTGAGAGTACTCCTCTGTTTTGTAGCGGTAGATATCGTTGAGCTGCTTCAGGTCCAGCCAAAAATAGCTCCGCATGTGATAACTTAGAGCGTGGAGGCGATCAGTTATGCGCTTCACGAACTCCTTCCCAACGTTGTCTTGCTTAAGCAGAACCAGAGCACATCTTAAAGCCATGAAGAACAGTGCTTGTATTTCAATTGGGTACCCATATACACCCTGTAAATTGTAGTTGTGTGGTAATTAGTTAAAGGATGAGATGAGTCATTAATGTACGAAAGGTGTTTGGATAATGCGCAAGTGAACCAACCATTCTCCGGTCAATCATGCAGCATCCATCAGCACAGAGCAGAGTTGGGAAAGTATCAAAGCCCTCTGAGAGACAGAGGCTGAGGATAAGGCGAATGCCATTTTGGCATTCGGGCATTTCAGAGAGTGAAGTGTCCCCTGTAGACTTTGTGTAAGCACGAAGCAAGATGATCCACCAAAACCCAGAATCAACTGGAGCTACTCTTCCTATTGCACTCTCACCAAAATCCGCAGTTATGGTTTCGAAATTTCTTACAGGGTCATGGAGCACTTTGAAACTTGCTGGCATCACCCCTTCTCCAAGCTTGAACTGATCCACTATTTTCTCCCATGATTGGAGGCGAAGTGTTTTCAACAGAAAGTTTTTCACTATTTCATCCTCCCGATTCATCAAAAAGGCCAATGCACTTGGCACAAAATCCCTAACAAATACCTGTCATGCCACTTAGACTAACTAGTCAATTTAAATCTCTATATTGAAAGAAAGAGACATGTGGGATTTAATTAATTACCTGATCATAGTTAAGTTCTTCGACAGAATGATCGACGGCAGCAAGTGTTCCAACAGGCTGGCCCCGGAAGTGAACGACAGAGCGCCTCAACGTTTCCCATGCATCGGCAACCATGGGATGCGATTCATAGTAGCTGCTTGGTCTAGGGCTCCCCAGAAAACAGGACCTTCTACAAGGAGACCCTATGTTGGACAATTCGCTGATTGACCTTTCATCAACGGATCTCTTCCTTTCCACGTTCAGTGGCCTTGGCCTGTCACGAAACCTCATCACATCAGAGTCTTCGCCGATTTCAAATAGGGTGCCCACCGTCGTCTCAAGACTTCTTACATTCCCATTTTGGCCAGTATGATCCCCATGAACCGGAGACATCTCTTCAGATTCTCAATCCTGAAACACCAATTTGAGTTACAAGTTATATAGGTTCAAGCTTCTGCATAAATTGATCAACAGAAAATTATAATAAACTTTCATCAACCATCAAACTAACCAGTAAGTTCATCACATATGACGTCCATAAATGTTTTTAAAAAAGGGTCAAGTTGACAACAAATTTATATTATACATCGCAGACCATTTGCTTGCAATACAAAAAAAAGTATAGTTATAGAATAAAGTCAGGGAAAATATAACCCATATGATATGTGTATTTTTCTTCTTCCTTCTCTCTTAAAGTCGTTGAGTATTAACGTATGCTTACCAAAAGAACGTAGCCGAAAGAGGCTTGCAGAGACCTCAAAGCTTAGCAAAGATATGGAGGAGGTGACATGAAAGATAAGAAACAGGCGGTGGGAAGAAGATGGGGTGCTCCTGCTGCGTCCAATATGGCATTTTATATGGTGGTGTGAATTGGAATTGGGGGAAGAATAATAAGTTGGCAGCAGCGAAGTAAATATGGACGGAAGTTGGTGATCTCGGGAAATCCGTTGGCGGCTTGGGATGTTCTCCTCATTTTTTGTCTTTTGTTTTTATGTACTCCCAATGGATTTTATGCATTGTAATGAGTTAGATGTCATTGTTTTTCCTTTTTCTCAACTCCAAAAGGATTTTTTCTTCATTTTGTTTTTTGTTTTTTTTTTAATGGGGCTCTGTTGATTGACGTACGTAATAATACCAAAAGGAAGGTTAAGGCTTAAGCAAACATTTTCCAGAACACATTACAAAATTGAAGATATGATGAGCGTGTTCTTTTGCTTTAAATTAAAACAAATCATGATATCTTGTTAATTTTGGAGAGTTAACCTTGCTTATCAATGTAGCCAAAGAAAAAAGAACACTTGCTTATCATTGATCTACCATTTGGGATAATTTAAAGTCATTTTCGAGAGATCATAAATCTTAAAGAATCTTTACGATATTATGAATTTCTATTTGTAAGTAAAAATGGTTCTATTCCAAAATTAATTGGGAATGCAAGCGTCTTGAATAACATTATAAAAGCTCCTCTTGTTTATGTATGATTAGAAATTATGGTTTTTAATGTCGCTATGGACAAGAATCAACTAGTCTTTCAATAACGATAGATATAGATGGTCACAATTTTGCCCTATTGCTCGTCTTGGCCCGCACGCATCACCTTTTATAATATTAACTAATGGAACCTCATCAATTTTCAACGAGAAAATGGCATGGTTGCCTGAAAATATATAGTCATATGGACTCTCTTTTCTAATTCAAACATTTAGCAACTTGCTGTGCTGTGCTGTGTGAGATAAGGACTATATTGTAAGAATAATCAAAAGCCAGCCGTTTTATTTTATATAATAATTGCAAAAGTATTGATATCAACCGGAGGGTTGAACAAGTTTGAGAACATGTCAAAGTGATTCATCCTGGAAAATAAAAAAAGAACAAATTATATACAAACAAAATAATAAACTAATTAACACAAAAAACAAAAACAAAAGGCAAGAAAGAGATGGGCACGTACGTATAAGAGCACTTTCAGCGGCAAGGGGAAGCCCGAGTAGGAGAGGGCCTGGGCCCACGTGACGGCTCCAACGAGGGCAAGCCTGGGCAAGGTGTGTGGCCCACCAACTCGGCAAGCCCACAGACAAATCTAGCTCGTGATGTTGCCTGGGCAAGTCACGTAATGCTGACATCATAATGACATCAACAACCAATTAAAATAATAATAATAATTGGAAAAAAACTCAAAAAATTTAGAATTTTTTATATATAAATACCTAGCCATATTCTTACTTCCCACACCAAAACCCTAAACCCTATCAAAATTAACCGTTTATTTATAAAAAATAAAAATAATTTAAAATAAATAATAATTGCCCTTTGCCATGGTATTGGGTGGAAACACACTTTGCTTTTTGCAAGGGCTGGCACTATTCATGTGAATAGTAACAGCCATTGACTCCCCTTGCTCTTTACTATGACAAATATGTGGAAGTGCTCAAGAGACCCCTGTTGACTGTGAGGAATTGTAGGCCCACGGTGGGCCCATTATGATCTGACCGTTAAAGGCCCAGGTCTTTTAAAAGGAACCCAACCCAGTCTAGGCTAACCCATTTGCATTTCCAATTCATATACCGCTTCGCTTTCAAAATACGATACGAGAAGAGATATTCGACCGTTGATACTTGAAAGCCCTCTTTGTAACTCTACTAGTCTACTACTCTCTTCAACGGTCTTCTTCTCTAAAACTTTGCTCCGAAAGAAAGATTCAATCTTGTTCTTCTTCTTCTGTGATTTCTTTTTAACAAATGGCTGTTAAGGAGCGCTCGAGAGCCTCCTCTCAACGTCAAAACTGGCAGAACACATTCAGCGGTTTGGTGCAGATGATACGGGATCAACAATCACAGCTCGAGACACTGGCCAAAGACCGACAACTCCTTGAAGATCGCGTCCGAATGCAAAACGAGCGATGGACCTATGATATTCGTCTCTTGGAAGATCAAATCTCCCAGGTAACTTCCCCAATTTTTTTTCTTCAAATTATCCATGAATTAAAATTAGGGTTTTGGAAAAAGTTGTTTTGAGCTTTGCTCCAATTTTTTGTGATTTTCTTGTAATTTTTGGTGTAGATGAAGGGTGATTTGGAATTTCAAGAGTTGGCGGGCTCCCTTCAGGCGGCCAAGTTTGAGTTGGTCCTGGGATTGAAGCAACGAGAGGGTTATCTCACCAAACTCAAATTAGGTGAGTATTTTATTTTATTTATATCTAAAAAGGGTCTCACTTTATCAGCATTTTGTTGTTGTTGTTGTTGTTGTGATTTTATATGATTTCCTTACAATTCCATTTTGAAAGAACAAGAATTCCATTTTGTATGATTTACTAATAATTTCAGTTAGTCTTCCTTCACCCTGTGAATCTTTTCAGTTTCAATGCCTGTTAAAGTACCCCAGATATGTTGGGTTTCAGTGGTATTTGCGTGGAAATAACACATTCTACTAAATTAGCAATGCTGTCTCATATTTTGAGCCATAGATGTTAGATTTTAACTAGGTCTGGTGTATGTGGATATGAATTCCTCCTTTTTATGTAAATCTTATTATTAACCTTTTATTAATCTACAGAATATACGGACAGTGAGTTAGAAGGTTTCAAAGGATGGTTTGACTTATACAATAAATTCTCTGATTTAAAGGTATATACACAGCTTCCTGTTGTAATTTTGTGTGATTTTCTGTTTGGATGTTGTTCTAAGCTCCCAATTGTTTATAGGGAGGAGGCGAAGATGGGGATAAAAGAATTAGCAATACAAAGTCTCCCAAAAAAAGCAAGCAAGAGAAACAGCGTTCTAAACAATTGGAAGATGACCTCAGGAGGTTAAAGCAGCAGTATGATAAGCTCGCTTCAGAAAAGAGCTCGGAGGTATCCGCACTATTGGCAGAGAAGAAGTTTGTGTGGAATCAGTATAAGATTATGGAAGAAAATTACACCACTAAACTAAGGAGCAAGCATTCTGAAGTTGAGCAGGCGGAGGCAAAGATACAAAATTTTCTTGCTCATATGGAGCACTTACAATCCTCAAATAAGGAAAAGGATGGCAAGATTGCAATATTAGTAAGTAAAATTGCTAAGATGGAGTCTGATTCAAATAAGTTGAAGGAAGAAGTTTCCAAACTTTCAACGGAGTTGGATTTGCTAAGAAAGTCCACAAGTGCTTCCTCTACTCCTCTCTTGAACCATTGCACGGCAGGAACTAGAACTTATAGCTTGAGAGGCAACAATAGTGCTAAGGATAGAACCAATGTAACTGTGAAGAAAGATTCATCTGCTGCACAACTTCCTGATCCCATGAAGGACACCAGAAAGGTACTTTTAATTTTAACCGGATGGATTTGCTGACATGTTCATGCTCTGATTTTGCTAAGATGCACACACAGGATAATTAGAAAATCAAAAGATACTTGTTTATCTTTGTGTGCTTGTGAGTCTAAGCTGATTGGATCATATTTTTGTTTCTGGTTGAGCAGGGGAGCAGCATCTCAAAGAGAAAAATAGACGATGTTATAACGATTTCGGAGACTCCAAAGTTGTTCTCATCCAGATTTAAAGTACCAAAATTGAAGAATGCATCACCGGGCATAAGATAACCCTCCCACACCATTTTCCAGAGGGTAGATTATTGTCCCACTGGTAGTTTCTTGTGGAGAGTTGAGTTTTAGGCTTGTGTGTGTAGTCTCTTAGGTTTCTTCGGTTTTATGTAAATTATGTGCCTATTCTTTTAGTGCTATCATTCTAGCAAGTAGGTTTTGGATCTGTCATCTCTGGACAGTTATCCTGTAACATGATTGTAGGTGCATTTATGTGTTATCTAGCACATTTTTTCTGTAAATCTAAACGACAGTGTTTGACTTTGATTGTAAATCTTGCGTTTCGGATATTTGATTTTTTCCTTTTTTTTTTGGTTCAACAACTACCTATAGTTTTAGATAAAAAAAACAACTATCTATAGTTCATGAAATGTAAACTCAGCAGCATATCTTTCAATAAAAAAGAGATTATTAGATGAAAAAAATCATTTAGAGCCTTTGAAAAAAGTCATTTTGAAGAATAAATTTGCCTTGTCCGCAAAAAAAAAGAAAAAAAAAGAAAAAAAAAGAAAAAAAAAGAATGAATAATTTGTCTTTAAATTATTTTATTTTATTTTAAACACGGGTCCAAACACCACACAATGTACACTCTCCACTATTCACATGAAATACAACAAGACTTTTGTAATGAATGGAAACACAACAAGCTTTTTGTAAAAGGTGCTATTATTCACGTGAATAATAACAACTCTTGCCTTGCCCTTACCTTTTACCATAACAAATGAGTGAAAGTGCTCTAACATACGCAGGCGAGTTTGGGCTGGGCTCATGGGCTCCACCTTTATTCTATTTTCATTCATTCATTAAATATTTTTTTTTCTTCAGTAAAACCTCTCCTCTCCCCATAAAACCCGTCCGTCGAGGGATATAACAAAGCTTCTGTATTTTTCTGATTATCTACCCGGAGCCAGACGCATCAAAAGGCTCTCTTTCTACAACGATACCAACTAAATTATAGCTATAGAGGTATTTCGATAATATATATTACTCACTTTTATATTTTCTTTTGTTTTTGTATTTTTGGGTATATATGTTTTGCAAGCGCATTCTGTGTTTGTGTATGTGTGTCGTGTTTTCTATTCTTTTGGTGCTCTAAAAAGTTGCAAAGCTTGATTATCTCAAACTCAGGTCACTGATTAAAATTAATTAGAACTATGTATTTGGTTGGCTTGTTTATATCAGTGCCCAAGAATATAGATATTTTAGTTGCGCTGCATTGCTCATCAAGTTTCTGGGCATTTTGCATTTGAAGGATACGAAACTGGATTAAGCAAGATGGGTGTGAAACAAGATGGTGATGGCACTATTCTACCTCCAACCGAACTGGTACGCATTACTTTCTGTTGTATTGGCTTGCAGTCACTTGCTGTTCAATCTCATCTCGTTTTGCATTTTGTTTTGATTATTCTACTTCTTTAACTGAACCCTGATAAGGCCTCCTGCTCTATGGCCACATTTAGCCTTTTAGCTGCGGCCCTTTTGAAATTTGTGAAATTTTCATATGTTTTGTAACTTTTTTTTCTAGTTAAAAAATTGCATTATGCCTCATCATTTTGGCAATCTGGGCTGTACTCTTGTCACCTTGTGTTACAAAATTACAGAATAAATGGGAAATATCTTAATTTTCAGGAGAAGATACCTGATGGGCTTGATGTGATTGTGAAGAAGTTTCTTAGAGGAAGCGAAACTAATTTGGAGGTAGACATCAGGAATTTGAGTTTTCATGGAACTTGTTTACTTTACACTGCATCATGCTTTCCCAATGTTTGCAGGCTTGCAAGATAAAAAGTTGTAGGGTCAACTTGCTATTAGAGAAGAATTATATGGAAAATCCGCACAAGCTGCTGCTAAGGCTGAGAAGGTGAATTTTTGTTTAGTGTGATATTCAGTATGGGTGGCAGTGGCATGATAACATGACTCAATCCAGACATAAGTTAGCGGGGTTTGATTTACCATTGCTTGACACTAACACAAATATTGTCCTGTTATTTTAGTACATGTGATAAAATATATGTGATTTTTATTTTTTCATTTGTAATCCAAATTATCAGTGGCTTCTGCCAAGTAAGGGAGGTTATTTGGAGGCTGAAGGCATGGAGAAGACGTGGAGGATCAAACAAGAATCAATTGCTCTGAAGTAGATATCTCAAGCTCAAGGAATCAATATGATATCGTCCTACCACGTTGATACCTAACTTTTTTTTAAAATTGATTTATAATGATTGTTCAGTCACTCAGAATCTTGCAGTGAAGCTTTGCTATTTCCCTTATTGTACTTAAAAGCCTGTATGTCTTATATAGCTGGATTTGTGGCTTTCTCATATCACTTATGCAAATCTGATTCAGCTGGCCTAAGAAAAACTAATTTTGTGTGAAATGAAAAGGAAAACTGGAATTCTCCCCTCCAATGACAGGATTTTCAGTAAGACCATTGATACCTGGTGGAAAGACTGACTTATTGGGTGGTGGATTTGTTGAGATAAAGATTCAAGGCGGTTGAACTGCTATTGCTATTTCTTATAAGCAAATTCCTTGCGTTATTTAGTTTGTAAAAACCCGAAGATGTTGACACTTGAGCTCAAATTATTCAGTATATTGTCTAGATTAACTTTGCCTAGATTGTTCATTTCTGGCCTGCCTGACCTTACTCTAATGTTTATCCCTGAATCTTAACTTTTATCTGCAGATCTCGGTCCATGCACGTTGGATTTCACATCAAGTGGTCGCCATATGGCAGTCTGCGGACTCAAGGGCCTATGGCTATTGTTTGAATGTGAAATAGAATAGTCAAACAATAGAAATGATACTAAGTAGTGATACAGTTTTGGTCTGATGCTGTGACCTTATTTCACGCAAAACTGTTCGTCTCTATATTGATTTAGACGTGCTTCTTGCAGCCATATTCACACGTCCTAGTCTTCATATACTAGTCGTGAATTCAGCGCCCTTGATAAGATGCCAAACTTTGTATAGAAATTTCATGGGAGAGAGAATTGAAAGCAATACTATAAAATTAATTTTGGATTGTAAACCTAACAGATTAGGTGGTATCAGTACAATTTCCTCTTTTGTAAATGATGTGCTGGAATGCTGGGTCCTTGTTTTATTTGAACATCAGGCTTTGACTGGAACATTGGGCTGATTAGCTAACTGATGATGTTCAGGTTAGGGAAACAGTATGTGATGTGGTGTTCCTACACAATGAGTCGTTCTTTGCTGCAGCCCAGAAAAAGTATAAAACCGTATGCAGTACTTAAGTTCTGTTGTGCAAAGACATTTACAGGGTTGATTGTGCATTTCTTTTAGTAGTTGGAAATGTTATGTTGATTTGCTCCCCATTTTACATATTTTGTTTGGAAACATGGATGATACCTCCAGATTTTACTAAAACCTGCTCAGTCTACTTTGAATTGACATGTAGTACTGTTTTATCTTATTTAGTATGGCTAACATTCTCATTCCTGGCAGTTATCCATATACTTATAACCCGGATGGCACTGAACTTCATTGCTTAAAGGTTAGCGTACTGCATTAAATAGGTTGTGTCTTTTAGATTAATTACTGGCTCACAATCCTGCAAACATTCTAAAGGCTTTACCTGTCCGTAACGCACTACCAATTACTCAAATAAATTATTTCTTTAGTTTCTTTCTAAAGCTCTCCAGATAGATTGGTGATGGTCTGACACAACAGCTGTATTTTAGATTGATGCATTCTTTCATTTGTCAGTTATCTTGAGATGCTTCAATATGGAACTGAAGTTATACACATTTCTTATCATGTAGGAACATGGTGCAGTTTTAAGGCTTCAATTTCTGAAAACCACTTCCTCTTTGGCTTCAATAAACAATTTTGGGCAGCTTCATTATCAAGATGTAACAATGGGTGAGATGGTAGGTAGTTACAGAACTGGCTTAGGCCGTGCTGATGTGATGCAGGTGGACCCCTACGATAGGGTTGTTGCTTTGGGTCATTCACTTGGTACAGTTTCCATGTGGAAGCCTACAAGCTCTGCTCCTCTTCTGAAAAGGCCGTGTCACAGGAGCCCCATCTCGGCAATGACATTCCACCCGAATGGCCATCTCATGGCCACAGCTGGAAAAGAGAATAAAATTAAGCTTTGGGACTTGAGGAAACTTGAGGATGAGGCACTCCAAACTTTACCGGGGCAGGCAAAGACTTTGGAATTCAGTCAGAAGGGTCTTCTAGCTTGTCTGGGCTGTGGATCATCTGTACAAATCCTGAGAGATTTGCACGGGACTCAGAACTACAAGACATATATGAACCATCGAATGGTCAAAGGTTACCAAATAGAAAATTTTTTTCGGCCGTATGAAGATGTTGTAGACATAGGGCACTCCATGGGTTGGTCCAGTATTCTGATTCCTGGTTGTGGGGAACCAAACTTTGATTCCTGGGTGGCAAATCCATATGAACCATCGAATGGTTAAAGGTTACCAAATAGAAAAAAGTTCTCGGCCGTATGAAGATGTTCTAGACGTAGGGCACTCCATGGGTTGGTCCAGTATTCTGATTCCTGGTTGTGGGGAACCAAATTTTGATTCCTGGGTGGCAAATCCATTTGAAACATCTAAACAGAGAAGAGAGAGGGAAGTGCACTCTCTGCTTGATAAGCTGCCACCTGAGACAATTATGTTGGATCCCACAAAGATTGGCACAGTGAAGCCTCAGAGGAAGAAAGAGAAACCGACAAATCAAGAGAGAGAGGTTGAGATTGAAGCTGCTGTTGAAACTGTCAAGGGCACTGTCCTGAAGATGAAAACCAAGGGGAGGAATAAGCCGAGTAAGAGGACGACGAAGAAGAAGGAGATCATTGCAAATGCCAAGAGGCCTTTCTTGGAGCAACAAATGGAGGAGGAAGAACAACTGGCTAGAAAGAAGCAGAAAACAATTGAGCAAGTGGAGCTACCAACATCTTTACAGCGGTGTGCTGTGCCCGCACCAAAGCGACTGCATGAAATGATTGTGCTAGTTTAGTTATCTCGGTTTTATACTAATTCTATAAAGTCCCCTTTACCTCAATCAAAATGACCAATCGAAAGATTTTAATGACTTGTGTACAAAATTTTACACCCTTTCGTTTCATTTACCCTCCATTAAATTCGCCCTATATGAAATTCTATCTCTTAACCGTTTGATCAAATTGATTAGCCTTTGAATCAAAGAGATAGGACCTCATCTAAAGCTCTCACTATAGAATGACTCCAGAATCTAAAACGTGATGGTCGACTCGGCTCTAACTTGAGCATCAATCGGTGTGAATATGAGTCCATCTTTAGCATGGCGCCAATAAATTTTCATTTCCATGAACAAAATAGAAATATAGCACAAACTAGTTTGATTAAGAGCTGATAAATATGGAATATCACAAACTCTTTTAAGATATGATTCATTTATCATTAACTAATAACACACCAGGATCACGAACTAATAAATTCCAGTCAAAAACACCACAACTATAAGTTACATGTACATGATGATGGTTGGTTATGAAGACTGCAAAACTAGTTTGATGGTCAATAAGAACGCCAGTGAGGCCACCAGATGGATTGAAAAGAAGACCGATAACAGAGCAAGACGAGCAAGAGCACCAGAAACATAGCCATGCCCCAAGGCGACGCTGACCCTTCAGGTTGATGAACCACCCTCTCCTTGGTCTTCGGACTCAGCACCGGAAAGCTCCCGTACTTAATCAAAGAGTGAGCCAAAAAGATCAACATAACGGGCAGAAACAAGAGAAATATATGAAAGCCGACCTTAGTTTTCTCCATCTGTGACCTGTAGCTGGTGTAAGATGAAAACAATAATAACACCAAGACGATGACGACCAGTGCCAACAGAGGCGAAGGAGGTGCGGATAGGGAGGCTAGGCTCTCTTCCATCCACCCCCGCTTCCTTCCCCTTCTTTCACTCAATAACCAACCCATCTCTTTCTCTCTCTGTGTTTTCTTGTGCGAGTGATAGATAATAATATGCGTGTGTATATATATATATATATATTATTTAGAAGGGGCACTGACTGGTGAGGGTGAGGGAGAGACACTAAGACGATACGCAGGTATTATGGGAAATAGAGCTCAACTTTTTCCCGAAGTATTTTGAGGATATATGGTAGGTCTAAGGTCTGGTCTCTTTTCATTTGATTGATTTGTGTTAGCTTTGGCATAAATTCTCGGCTCTAGATTCCATCTCCCACCGAGTAACCGACCTTTTCTTTTCATTCTTTGTCGATACATGTCAATTGCCCACCGAGTCTGGATTGATACCAAAATGTTAAACTTTTTTCATTTCATTATTTTTGTATATAAAAAAGCACGCATATACAGGGAAAGAATATATGCCGCCTTCGTTGATTGCAAATCTTCATCATCATGGAAGGTTTGGATATGGTGTATCTACTTCTGCTGTGAGTGATACATATATAGATCATATACCATACTAACTTGTACACATAATAACGGGAAATTCATCAGAAATGACGGTCATTAACACAACTTATCCACTCATAGTATAATAACACGTGTACTTATTTATTAATTATTCAACCCATATTTATTTATTTAGGTGTTATACAGATCGTTCCCTTCTTATAATAGAATCCTTTTTTTCCCATTGCAATTGTGATATTTTAAATTATTTTAATGTATCGGAATAAGGTTCGGCCTCAGATAAAAAGAGGTAGGTACTCTATCTTACCTAATCGGCCTACCCACATTTGTCTCTTGTAATAGATGGGCTGAGAGCAGGCCTACAATATAAAAGATTTAAGTATGGGCTAACTTCAGTTAGGCTTCGTTTAGTCCTTTAGACATCCAAGCCTTTATCATAAAGAGTACGCCCACTCTCATGGATTTCCGTATCCGGTCCGATGTTTCCTTTTTGCACTAGGGTTTCAAATGTTTCCCGAAACGTTCAAAACTCGAAAACTCCGTGAAAACGGAGGGCTTTTCCCTTTTCGAAGTTCGAAATTTCACACCCACCGTCCTCCCCTCACTCCGATTTTCTTTTGTGTTTTTGGGTGCCAATTTCTCATACACTGGGAAAGCTGAAACATGCCTTCGGAGGAGGATGCGAAGCCCGTGAAGGTGCAGAGGGAAGTTAAAGAGGAAGAGGAGGACGATAAGATGAGCTTGGGTACAATAATGCTCAACCACAAGAAGAAATCCACAAAAATTATGAACAATGCGAATGGGAATTCCACATCTGCGGCAAGAGAAGCCAAGGTGAAGAAAGAAGAGCAGCTCGATAATGATTCTGATAAACCCACTAAGGCTAAGCCCAAACAAGAACCCAGAGTTAAGAAGGAAGAGAAGAACAACGACAGTGAGGATGAACGGGGTTCCAATGCTAAAAGGAGTTCCAATGCTATGCCCGATAAGGTTTCTGTCACTTTATTTATCTTTTTATAAATTTCGTTTTTTTTATAAATGCGGTGACTCTGAATTTTACTGATGAAGGCGGGTATTTGGGTTCTTGTGATTTTCTTTGTGTAATGGGATGGGGGTGAAGGAATTGAAGAAGAGTACAATAAAGAAATGGAGGAGGAGGAAGAGAAGAAGAAGAAGAAGAAGAAGAAGGGTTCAGAGGTTACACAAGAGCAGAAGAAGAAGGAGAAGAAGGGGCCAGATGTTACAACAGAGCTGAAGAAGAGGGAGAAGAAGGAGAAGAAGGTTTATGATTTGCCTGGTCAGAAGCGAGACTCTCCCGATGAGGTACACTGTCCCGGTTTTCTCCTTTCTCTTTCTTGTTAATGTAGTTTCTTTTCTCCATTTTTGTTGCTTCGGGATTCTTAGGTGATTCTTGTGTTGTATTTTGGAATTCAGAGAGACCCACTTAGGATTTTTTATGAGACGCTTTATGAGCAAGTTCCCAAAAGCGAAATGGCACAGTTCTGGTGAGTGTTTGCTCTCCCATTTGTTTGATTGCAACACTGTTTTTGCTTGCTGAATTACTGTGTAGATGTTACATTCTGTTAGGTTCTTATAAAATATTAGGAGAAGTGGAAGTTGAAATGGTTTTGCATTCCTTTACCTCACACTTCCTGTACAGGAACCGTTGCCTTAAATATTAGGGAAAGTGCTGTTTGAGCTGCCTTATGCTTCGGCTTGCTTCCAGGCTATATAATTTGTTTGGAACTGTGTTTTATTATGCCAACTAATATTTTCTGATAGCTAGTTATATAGTCACCACTATGCCGCTTGCCTGGCCTCTGCAGTGTGCATCAAAGCGCTGGCTTTGAATCACCTGCGTATGTCTGTCTGATCATGCAACCGGCCTACTTGGTTGGCAACTCTTTCAGTCTATAAAGCTGCATGTATAATTATGATACGGGAGTTGAAATTCGAAGCAAATGATACTTATTGTTGTCTTCTATGGGATGTTCATGAATAAAAATAATAGAAAAGTCTAAATGTACCTGCCATTCAACCTTGTACCTTGTGCCTTGTTGTTTAGTATGGACATGTTTATTTTGGTGCATGCTAGAATAGGGCACGTAGGTTTGTTATAGCTTGCTATTGACAGTTTGAAGTCTGCTTTTTGGTTAGTTGTCTCTTAGAGGCCATGCCTTGGATAGTGTTTTGGTTTTATACTTGTAAAATACACATAAAATTTTTATGTTTTCATCCCAGTTTGCTTGTTTTGTAAATGCATGTTTTAGCGGATTTTAATAAAAGAAGTAAAGAGGGCGAACCTTGACTGCAATTGGTAAGGTTTGATCTTTGCAACCTTGCAAAGGTTGCGGATTCTAAATGGGAAGATGCTCCTCTCCACAATGTGGGTAAGAGTGTGTATCCTCCCATGTCATGCAATGGTGGGAGTATCGTGCTTTTTAAGTATTGCCCATTCTACAACTCTAGCAGGCATGAACTGACCAATTATAATTATACAAATTTATAAATAAACTCAATCCTAGGCATGTATTTATAAAAAAACCCAAGCACTATTTAAACATAGAAACACACCCAAAATCAACCCCAAAATTAACAATTGTATATTTTTTGGGTGTGTTTATAAATGGGTTTTGAGTGTGTGTAATGATGGATTTTTGGTGTGTTTATAAAGTGTTTTGGGTGTTGGGTTTTTTTATAATTTCAACCCCCATTTTGGGTGTTTTAGTGAAATTCCCTTATAATTAGTGCTTGATTGCTTCTGTATAAACATGCATTTCAAATTTTCAATTTGAATTCAGGCTGATGGAGTGTGGTTTGCTATCTAAAGAGGAGGCAAAGAGAGTGTTTGAGAAGAAGCAGAAGAGGAGTCAGCAGCAAAAACTCGGTTCTCCAATGAAAGCTGTAGCTTCTGTAAAGAAGAGCACACAGTCAGTTACTGTCAAGAAACCATCAACCCCAGTGCCTTCAAATCAAAAGAAGTCAACGGTCTCTAAAGATGCATCTACGCAGTCTAAGAAGCGGAAGAATGAAGATAGAAGCTCAGAGAGTGACTCTGATGATGACTTTGCGTTGTCCACTAGGCTAAAGAAGAAAAGGCAAGCAGCTTAGTTGTATTTCTGGTTAACAAATCACAGCACTTCACCTTTCTTCTGCTATTATTTGGTGGCATTCTGATTATGTGATTTAGCTCATTCATGGTGACCAATACTGGTCAATTGATGGCAACTTTTAACTGGACTGAATGTTGGCCCAACCAACTCGTCTATGGCAACGAAGGGATCATGTCTAATCGTTCTTTTATTTGGATCTTTACAAGAGATATGATTATATTCTTAACCAAAATTGCTTCTTTGTTTATTTATTTATTTACTATATAAATGTTAACTGCTGCTGACCTGAAAAGAAAAAAAAAGGCATTGAGGAGTCAAATTTAGAAATATATGAAATTGTTCATCATTTATCTTTCTTTCTCATTTAATATCGTATAATTATCATTAATGCTCTTATATTCACTTTTTGTGTGTTGTTTTTGCTTGGGCCGGAAGTAACGGAATCCATGAGATGAGACAATGTCCTACAGCTACAAAAAAAAAAAGATCTTGAATATCCCAGCATATATTGTGCAATGCAACTGTCTCTCTTACTCTTTTTAATCAAACAGCGCACCGATTCTCTGGAAAACGCCAACGAATGCCATCAGGGATATTAGCCAAACGACCACCCATTGCTTTTGTTTGGTTGGGAAGTTTATGGGCTTACGGTTTCAGTCCATTGGGTATCATAGGAAAATAAAATTTCCACAGGGCCCAAGTGGCCTAGGGTCGAGATTTGATTGGGTCCATAAAACCTAGGGTCAGGCTGGTTTCCCCAAAAAATAAAAATAAATAAATACTAGAGGAAAATGTTTGTGAAGTGCATAAAATAAAATACAATCTAGGGACATAGCTTCAATTAAAAGAAGTTAACTAACAATTTTGTGTGTTTATGGGACAAAATACTAGAGGAAAAGGTGAATACAAATTAAAATTGTCCTGCTTGGAGGACCAGGAGTTGTCTTGGTTACCGCCCACACCCAGTCGTTAAACTAACTCCAACTAGGAAAAACCCTAAAAGGTTAAGCAAAATTAATTCCTAATCCCCTCAATTCCTTTGTCACCGTGTTTCTGGAAAAGCTATATGGAAAGTAATATTTTCAGTCTTGCGATTCTCTCACTACTTTTTTTCTCTCTATTTTATTTTTTATTTTTTGGGTCTAAACCACAGTTGTGATATTATCGATAATATCGCGATATGAAACTGAAAAATAAATTAAAAATGTTGAGAAATAGCTGTTTTGCGCACAAAGGGACTCAAACCCCTCTCTCTCTAATTCTCCTTCTAAGCCTTATCCAACATGCTGCAGACAAGTTTGTTAATAAAGCAATGACATGCAATATTTATATGGTCTTTAAAATTTATGCAGGCTAATATTATCTAGGATAAATTTCCATTAAAAAAAAATATCCCTGATGATAAATTTAGGCATATGTTTAATGTTATTTATTATTTTATTATGGAGTTTTTTTTTTTTTTTTTTTTTTTTTTTTTTTATATTATGGAGTTGTATTTATTTATTCACTATTGAGTTTTAATATTATTCATTATATGTGATACTAAGTTTTAACGAATTCTTTTTATGTGTACTAAGTTACTCATATATATATATATATATATATATATTTTTCCAATCTCATATATCTTATCATATGTAATATATTGTAGTAAATTATTATAACTACAAAATTATGGTGTGTTTAATTTTCTTTCACTAATTACTACATATTTTTTAAAGACACAGTGTTTGTCAGGTCGCTACATAATCAACTTAAATCACTCAAACCCACCATGCCATGCATTTTATTCCAATTTTTTATGATAAAATAATAGACAATTGACTAAATAAACATCATCTAAAGTTACAATAAAAATTTCTAAGTTTTTCTCACAATTTTCATAATTTTTATTCAATTTTTATTGATATTGATATTTCCATCGATATATCTGTGTTTTTGGACCATCCATATTTCCAAAACTCTCACCTTTCTGAACCATTCTCTCACTACTTCATCAAGTGCTGCTTTACTCTCTACATCAAATCAAACAAGGCCGTAAACCCTAGGCTTAACCTCAATCTCCATATACTCGACACGTGTCACACTCTACTACATCCTAAAGGATTTTTTTTCTCTCGTTTTCCTTTATAAACACAAAAGAAAAGAACCCCGTCTCCAAGCAACTCGCTCTGCTCTTTCTCTCTCTCTCGTCTCATAAAATCCTCTATTTTCTCTCTCAACGCCGCTGTTGTCTGTGCTCTCTTGTGGTAATTGGTCTGCGTGTATTTATATGTGCTGTGGGCTACAAAGCCTGCCCAAGAATATTTCAAAACCTTCAATTGAAGAAACAAAGTGAAAGAGATAGAAATCACAATGGAACAGAGCGAAACAATGGTTATGGAACAGAGGGAACTCTTCCCTTGTTCTCCAAACCCCAGTGTGAGTGAGATGGAGGTCGCTGATATCTTGCTTCAGCTTCCTGATATGATATACCAATTTGAGTCTCCTCTTCCAATTCCACTCTCGCTCGGCTGGGGATGTAAAAGCAAGAGATCTGCACTTGCTGTGCAAAACGACCACGCCTCAACTCTGCAGCGCCTGCGTCATCTTGGTCTGCCACCATGTTGGAGTAAACTACTTCTACGGTGTCGTTTTACTCCCAGGTCTTTGGCCAAGAGTCCTGTACCACTTCTCTCTAATGCTATCAAGGTTGAAACTTCGAGCCCTGATACGCCGCTCTCCTTCGAGCCCAGTGAATCCGACGACAAGCCTCAGCAATTGAGAAGAAGAGTCCTCGGTAAAAGGGTAAGTCTTTTATTCTCTGTTTCGAGTCTTTCCCTTTTACATCCTTTATCTTCTTCTTTTTATTTTGTTGTATTTTTTGTGATATAGGTTTTGCTTCTCTGGCAATTCTGACAACTGGGTTCTGTCGCTTTTTTTTCATTTATTTTTTCCCGATTACGGTTTTATTATTTTTTCTTTGACTGTTTTCTGATCTTCCATTATTTTGGTTGTTCTTCATTGTGCAGAAGAGAGAGGAATGGAGTAAGATTATAGACGAACTGACTGAGGAAAAAGAATCGGTACAATTGGTGAGTCTTTTTGGTTCTTTCTAGCATTTATTTGTCTTTTTCCTCAAATTTTACTGTGCTAATTATCCTTTTATTATATTGTTTTCTATTTATGTAATTTCTTCACCAATGCCAAAACTGACATGGCTCTTTGGCTTTTTGATATACTGGGAAGGAATTACAGAAGGTGGAGCGTCATTATGTCGACCTGAATGATTTTAATTTGGAGTTGAAAGCAAGGAAAGAGAAGGTATTGTTTTTTCTGCTAATTTCTCACTGATGATTTTGTTTACTTTTTCTTTAATAATATTTTTTTTCCTTTAATTTGCTTACCCCCTCTTGTTCTTTTTTCAGCTAATGGGACTTGGCCATAAACAGGAGGAAGAGTCCCGTTTGGAAATTGAGCCGAGCTTGAATAATGCAGTGGTGCCATTATGCCAACCAGCCCAACAACCCAGAGTCTCATCTCCCCCTTTTGCTGCTGCTGCTGCAAATCAAGAGCAGTATCATCAACAACATCATGACCAAATTCATCCTCCTCCTAGCGTGATGCATTATCAACATCAACTGCAGCTCATCATGGATCAGACGGCTCAAACTCAAAGAAGAGAAATCTGTGAGAATCTGAGGTACGGGTGCCCATCTACTTCCTCTACTCAAGTGCCCTCCTCAATCTCGTTGGCATCCAGCGGCGGCAGTGCAAGTGGATTGATGAGGATGGTCAATTGCAACAACAATGTGGTGGGCCCACGCGGTCTCAACCTTTGCTTAAAGGATACGATCGTGATGAGCTCTTCCCAACCGTACGATCTTACCTTGGTTAACAACACTAGGTTTGTGGCAGCTCAGAACAGACAGAAGAGACTTGAGTACTGCAGGCTTAAGAGACCTCGCTTGGCTACCACTTTAAGATGAAATGAAATGTCACATGTTATTCTTCATTTTTTGCCCCCAATGATAATGTATGTAATGTTATTACTTGGGGTGTATTTTTTGATTCAAACAAAGGTTTGAGCTTCTGGCAAAGACGACTAGGATCTTTTTTTTTGCACGCTTTTAGCATATGTATATTCTATGTGTATCTAATTCTGTTACATATAAACTGGGGAAGCTTATTATAATGAGATTTTGCTTTGAGAGATTACCTTGATTGATTGATTGAGGTATTGTTTAGTTTAGGCAAAATCAAAGAACAAGTTAATTTTTCCTTCGTGAAAATTAAGAATGTCACTCATGTGAATTAGTGAGCTAACTGTGTTAAACATGTTGGGCCACTCACGTTTTTTTGAATACAAGGGAACAACGTATTTCGTCCAAAAAAGGGAACAACGTATGTACGGAATGGAGAAGTGGGCCTAGTCCGCCCGGATACTTACATAGAAAATGGCCCAAATCTGAGATGATCGATACTTTTACAGTTTTGCCCTTAGGGAACGAGGAGTCCTCGATACGCACAAACTCACAGATGAAGTAGTGATTGGTTCGTGTTGTAACTCGTCACAACATGACGAAATGCCAGTTCTACCCCTTTCTACCCAAACAAACAAACGAACCCTACTTCTCTTGTTCTTTTATATATATATATATAGTTGAACTTGAGATGAGAACGCCTCAGCTGCCTGCCTCCTCCTTCTAAGAAATCCTGCGTCCTTTCCTTTCAGAGTCAAATTCTATTCTAATCTTTCTTGATTTCTTGTATAATATTGGTATTTGGTATTGGGTTGGGATAATTGAATAATAGTGGTGCAAATGACGAGAATTACCTTTGGTTTGAGAAGCTTGCAATGCGAGCGATGTTGCACCTCATACTTCCATGACTCTGATGCATCATAATTAATATGGCTTTCCTTCCTTCCTACCCTCTTCTTTTTTTCTTTATTTTTTTTAGTCGAATATGTTTTTGTTCTTTTCGTTTTTATAATTTTCATAAATCTGATCGACGGGTGCGGAGATTTATATTTCATTTTTGTAGGTCTTTTGGGATAATCTGAAATTCCGTTTTTAAAAATCATTTATCTTTTTTGTTTTCGCTTTTCTAGTGTTCTTTGTGATTCGATATTATTTGGATTATTTACTTATTTACATGGTTTTTTTCTAAAATAATAATAATAATAAATGTATTTATCGTTTCTTTTGTGGTTGGTGGGTTCGCGACCCTAGGTGACTCGGAAAAAATCGTAATAGGGGCTATAGTCCAATTTCTCAATGGGTTGGGCAGCCCAATTTTCATTGATGTCTCACAGCCTCAGCAGAATGACAGGTTTCGCTTGTGCGTATGACAGCAGTACAGTTTAATCATTCTTCCTAAGTTCACGGTAAAACCCGTCAAAGAAGTCGATTAAATAAAAGTAAATTTAGGTTTTAGTCAAAAAAAAAATTTCACTTCTGAAAAAACCCAAAGCTTTTTATAAAAAAAACAGAAAAACTTCTCAACTTTCAAATCAAAGACATGCAAATGTAAAGGATTCTTTAAAAAATCCAAAAATAAATAAGGGCAATTTTGTCCATTTTGACTTCTTTTACAAAATTTCTCTCTCCTTTGTGTTTTTCCAAAGTCTCCCGTTGCAAAAATGAAAGTTTTATTGCATACTTGAAAAAGAACAACCACACAATATCGTCTTACAAGATGATATACTACAAATATTGACCAATCGCGCAGGGTGATAAGCTTGATTAGCTGATACCAGAACCCAGAAGGAAGCAAGAGAAACAAATGATAAAGCAAAACGTTGAAACACATATAACAATCTAGTACACAAGCATGAAGGAAGGTACCCTTCATGTCAAACCTCTTTTCCGGTTCTCAATATGTAATTTGTTGCCAAAGAGGTTTTAGTCCTCATAGTTCTCTTCAGCACCGTCCTCCTCGTACTCACCATCATCCTCGACGGTAGCATCTTGGTATTGCTGGTACTCGGCAACCAAATCATTCATGTTACTCTCAGCTTCTGTGAACTCCATCTCGTCCATCCCTTCCCCAGTGTACCAATGCAAAAAGGCCTTGCGCCGAAACATGGCTGTGAACTGCTCGCTCACTCTCCTGAACATCTCCTGGATCGATGTAGAGTTGCCCACAAAAGTCGACGCCATTTTCAAACCCCTGGGAGGAATATCACACACGCTTGACTTCACATTGTGAGGAATCCACTCAACAAAGTAGGACGAATTCTTGTTCTGCACATTGATCATCTGTTCATCCACCTCCTTGGTGCTCATCTTTCCCCTGAACATTGCTGAGGCTGTCAGGTAACGTCCGTGACGAGGGTCAGCAGCACACATCATGTTCTTGGCATCCCACATTTGCTGAGTTAGCTCTGGCACAGTGAGGGAGATGTACTGTTGGGACCCACGAGAGGTTAGAGGGGCAAACCCCACCATGAAGAAGTGAAGACGTGGGAATGGAATCAGATTCACAGCCAGCTTCCGGAGGTCGGAGTTCAGCTGCCCAGGGAACCTTAGGCAGCATGTCACCCCACTCATGGTTGCAGATATCAAATGGTTCAGGTCACCAACTGCAAACCAGAGATACAATCGAGTAAATTAGAACCCCTGCTATAAGAATACTTTGTGTTACTATATAATTAGCAAAAGAAGTAGTTTGTGACTCACAGCTTGGGGTGCTGAGCTTTAGGGTCCTGAAGCAAATGTCATAAAGTGCTTCATTATCAAGAACCATGCATTCATCAGCATTCTCAACCAACTGGTGCACTGAAAGAGTGGCATTATATGGTTCCACGACGGTGTCTGAGACCTTTGGTGAGGGGAAAACAGAGAATGTCAGCATCATCCTGTCTGGGTATTCCTCTCTAATCTTTGATATCAGAAGGGTTCCCATGCCCGACCCAGTGCCTCCTCCAAGTGAGTGGCAAACCTGAAAACCTGGCCCATACAAAAGAGATGATTTCAATCAGCATATTTAGAATATAAATGACAACTGGCAAGTGGGATTTGAAGTGTAAATGGGAACAAGTAGGGCACTACTTGTACTGGGATCCAAACTATAAGTTAATCTTCACTCACACTCACACAATAAAAGCTGTTACAAGGCCTTAGCTTGCTTGTACAACGACCTTCATCACAAAACACCTTAAAAACAAGATTTAACTTCTCTGCTTACAGAGAATCCATTGAGAAGGCCAGAAAGCTAAACAACAACAAAAAGGTCTAAAAACACTCTGAGTGCCATATAAGATTTATAAATTGGTAAAACAAACAGTACAATGTCGGTTTGGTAATTGTAACTGTTGGGAAATGGCAATCATAATGCAAAGAAAAGTAATAAAACTGCTCATTTACATGTAAGTCGCAAAAGACAGATTAATAAGATTGCTTTCTCCATCTGTCTCAACTGGAGACCAAAAAAGGGGCCACAAGCAACTCAGCCTTATTATAAAGACATATTTATAAAATCAACCCGATAATATAATATGAGGGAGACGCAGTACAGTTAATGCTGTGAAACCTCACCTTCAATCTCAGATCCACAATCATACAAAAAGTAACGGAAAAGATTAGAATAATTTTCTCTTTAGATCCTCTGCCAAAGGACAAGGAGTTTAAAAACAAAAAAAAACAAAAAGGAAAAATGGAGATGCAGTACAACAAATTCCAGAACTACTGACTGCAGGGTTAAACGATTGAAATTGTAACGAAACACTCAGCAACTTTCTAACTTTGGAATTAGATTTAGAGTTTTAGATGAAGGATCTGACGATCCTAGCATTGCAATTAGATTATTGTTAAATCTTGAACGACTAATTCATATAGCTCAAGAAAATGATAACGCACTGAATATTCAAGCATCAATACATAATCTCGCAGAAAGCAAAATAAAATCTTATTCAGGAGCATTTTCAAATCGAAGTTGAAACAAAAAGTACCTTGAAGGCAGTCACAATTCTCGGCCTCCTTGCGAACAACATCGAGAACGGAATCGATCAACTCGGCACCTTCGGTGTAATGACCTTTGGCCCAGTTGTTGCCGGCACCGGACTGCCCGAAGACGAAGTTGTCAGGGCGGAAGATCTGGCCGAACGGACCGGATCGGATGCTGTCCATAGTACCGGGTTCAAGATCCATGAGGACGGCGCGAGGGACGTACCGGCCGCCGGAAGCCTCATTGTAATAGACGTTGATCCTCTCGAGTTGAAGATCGGAGTTGGCGTCTCCACGGTACCTTCCGGTGGGGTCAACGCCGTGCTCGTCGCAGATGACTTCCCAGAACTTGGAGCCGATTTGGTTACCGCATTGGCCTCCTTGGATATGCAAGATCTCTCTCATTGTCGCGAGATGTTACAGTGGGCCGAAAACGAAGCGAGATCGCCGGTTAGAGCGTTTGGTGAAATGGCCCAAACCAATCAATGAGAGAGAGGAGACACAGAGAGGAGACACAGGAGAAAGTCTATCTGAAATCCCTATTATGAAGGGGAAGGAGGGAGAGAGAGGGAGCGATAGATGGAGGTTCGGAGGTTAGGAAGGTAATAATAGTGGGTGTGATATTTTTTTAGTGAATTAGTCTGTGCTGCTGTGTGTGTGACAGCCAGACAGAGAGAGTACGGACAAACCAACGAACTTCTCTCTCTCTCTCTCTGCTCTGGCTGGTGTGGTGTGCGCACGTTAATACGCTGATCCTCACCTCCGCCAGAAGTTTCCCGCGGGACGGTCTAACCGTTTACCGCTAAATAACATGATTAATCCGCTGCTTTCATTTTCACTGTCTACGACCTCGTTTGGCTTTAAAGAGACAACGTAGCAAATCTGCATTTGTCGTGCTTTCCTCTTTTTATCGTTTTAAGACTTATACTCCCTGATGTAGTAAATACAGAAAAAAGATAAATTATTTTCTCTTTTACTTTTAACAATGGGTCGAAATTCTTGCTTTCCGTTCGGCCAAAAAAATAAAACATTTCTTTCTTTCCTGTGCTGCCAATTTCCCAATAACCAAACGCAATATAGAATTATTTGGATAAATAAGCGCTAGTTGATAAATTCCTACTTGATTTGATCGCATTTTAAATTACTGCTGGATTTTATTATAAAATTTTCCTTCTGTTATAACAAAAACTGCTCAAACGGTTCAATTATTGCCCTCCCATATGCAATCTCTTGCAAGATATATCTCCATATTCCACCGAAATAGAAAAGATATTCCAGCATAAGCATTGACAATCTGACAAGACTAATAATATTTTTTATAAAAATATAATAATTGCGACTCTGAAAAACCCATGTGTTCGGATCGGATCAAAATCCAACAGTTGCAATTCAACCCGATTCAAATCCTGATAAAATATTTTAGCCTTTTGAATTTGTGTCATCTATTAGATCTTGATCTAAGTTCAAGACCATAATCTGACTGCAAAACATTAATTTCGAACTATCATCGTTTCATTTCTCAGTTATTAACAAAAGTGACAATCTTTTTTATCCACGCTCATATCCAAGAATCAAAGGAGTTCCAATGCACCAACTTTACACAACTTGATTTGTATCGGCAAGGATACCGAACATTAACGGCGGCAATCTAAGACATGCTAGTGTTGCAGTTGAGGTTCGTTGCAGTACCTCTTGAAGTTCAACGCCTCATCCGTCAAATAGTCACTGCAAATTAATTCCCATCAGCAATATGTTCATACGTGAAAACTGATGCAATAGACGTAATAATTTACAAAGTAACTCACCAAATTCGCTCAGCCATTAATGGTATTTCCCATCTCGGGCTCCAAGGGTATTCAGTTAGAAACAGTGACTTGATTGGCGCACCTTGGGAGTTGAAATGCTACATCATTGCAAAAATAAAACCCCATCAAATAAAGAGTTATGACTTAAAAACATATATACCAAGAACAATAATTAAACAAACTACACAAGTGCAGTAGCGTATATACTTGGCTAGCTATATGTATAAAGTTTAACATTGTTTCTTTTTTATACTTAAGGTTTGACATTGTTATACTCATTATTTTATAGATTTGGAGAAATATCCTTGCCTGCGAACTTTGAAGCATCAACTCTGGCTGTTGCTTTGGAAACTGAGTTGAAATCAAAACATGAACCTATACAAACAAACCTATCAGAAGCTTAGTCACTAAAAATGGGAAGATAACTAGAGTGCGAAGGATGCAATATTAAATGAAGAAAAGAAGACACCAATTGTAGACCAAAACCATTTGCACCATACAACAAAAAGTACCACTAGATAATGCAGAAAAACAAAATAGATTGTGAAAAGCACGCTTGCTATCAACAACCAATGGCATAGATCCAAATGACTTGCTGCTAGAAGTAGTCGAAATGCTTATGAGAAAGGTAGAAACAAAATAGTAGAGACCAAGTAAGTCCATTAATCAATGGACCATCGCACGTTTGGCTTAAAGCAACATTCCAAACAATATGATGCAGTGATGATCATATATACCAGGAACGTGAAAACTCCAGAAGCAGCAAGAAATGTAGCCTTTCTGCAAAATACCTGCACAATTAGAGATGACCAATTAGTCTTAAAGCTTCAATCACTTTGCAGAGAGAACTACATTGCCTAGGATGCCTACCGGATCAGCTTCCAACGGTCTTCCAAACTGAAGGGCTAATGCCTCAATAAAGCGCCTTCTAACATCAATTAAGGAAACTGCCTCCAAAACCTTATTAACAAGACAAAGCATACTTACAAATATGAAACATTTTGTACTTAAAAAGTGGAAAATATAGACTCAAATGCAGCTGACCTGGTTCTCAAGAGATTCCTCAAGATGGGGAAGATATTCAGCCATGCACCTTTTGAAAGTAAGAAACAAAAAAACGATAACCATAATGGACCAATACTAGTCAAGTATAAAGGACCAGGAACTTATAATTTAGAAGACTGAATATATAATTAACTTACATCCCATTCAACCATGTAGGAAGTTTCACATCATCAATGGAAAATATACTCTTCAACTCTGTTGTAGATACTAGTTTCAAGCGAGGAGCTGATGGAGTGGAAACATATTTTTTCTCAACAGGATATATAACCTACACCACCCAGTCCACATTATTGTATACATGTGATGGACGAAATGTAAACACTGGGGAAAAGCTAACTTGAAGATTGAGGGGCAGAAAGAGAGAGATTCTCAACCTGCAAGTATATCTTTTGTTTATGTTTCCAGGGACACCCAGGCACCATCTTATTTATGTTCATGTCCAATAGAGGCACTGAAAATTTGACCTCCTCTGGCTACGCTAAAATTCAGAGGCATAAGGACCACATATATAATCAGAAGCTACACAGGCAAGTTCTACTCACCACTGAACATGTTTTTTTCTTATCAATTAGAAATACCTTGTCAACTCCGGAACTCATGTGCATCTCAATGCCCTGAAGCAAAGTGTAAGGTGTTAAGACAATGTCTATCTGCCAAATTTGGCAGTGAAAATATTACAAGAACAGATAGGTTGTTACGATGAAATTCATGTTCCATTTGCCAGGATATACACACAAGCACGAAATATCTTCAAATGTTGAACATCAAACTAGATACTCACGAACTTGGCCCTCCTAGTTCATCCCTTACAAGCAAACAGATGTCTAATAATACATATATTACTAAGTTGAAACAATACCTCACGAGCAACAATTGTGCTAATTTCAAACTTCAACCTGTCATCATCAACCTCTGCAACGCACTTCTTCTGGAAGGACATGTATTGATCCCTTTAAAATAGAGCAACGGTATTTCACTGAGACTAGTTAGCTATGGTGATCCCAAATGAAATCTAAATGTTTAAAGCGCTGTGTTATAGAGAAATCATATACCTCAGTTCTTGAATGAGAAGCATTAGCTGTGTAGGGTCTCTGCTGTTCCAATCATTCAAAAAGTTCTTAGGAGACTTTGTGTCCCCTTCTTCTTCACCACGCAATACAAGAAACTGCTGAAAATTTTCATCATCAGGTCCAAATATAACATCCGGTGCAGCCATTGGAGACTCTGCATCAAATATAATATCCCCTACAACAAATCGAAGGCTCATATGCTTAGAAAATGAATAAACATAAATCAACCGGGAACTGCATGTGAGACTATATAGTATATATATAAAGATTCACTCACATTTGATAACGTCTAGACAGTAGGAAATGACTAAGGTGAAGCGGTCAAGAATTCCGGGGTAGTATTTGCTGCCAGACCACTTATTCTCAATCTGTAAAGCAAAATTGATCATGCAAATGTCCAAATAATATTTTTCTTCTTCAACTCTCGAAACAAAACCCTAGACTGTACGGGAGCTGAGATAACAGTTGGGCAAATGATGCACGAACCCAGAACAAGTTCTTTAAAGTCCAAGAGGATGCTTCAGTGAAATATGTTTATCGGAATGAATGAAATGATATTTTCGCCTATTAAGTTTCTCGCAATTCGATTTTTCATGATTGCAAATGAAGCAAAGAGACAGAGAGATGGGGTTTCGAAGGGCATCACCTTAACGACGAGAGGGAAGTGACTAAGGAGGTAGTTGAGCTGGGCGGCAATGAGAGGAGGAGCAGTCTCCGGAGACATGGTAGTTGCAGAGCGAGACTGTGTATGTCTCTGTGAAAGCTTTGATCTGGTGTTAGCTGAACTGAATCAGAAAGAAGGAAAAGTGGAAGTTACGGCAGCGTTAAACCGTGTCAACATCAGCCCACCCCTCGGGCCCAAGAAGTTGTTAGACTATTTACTTTAAAGGCCCAATTGGTTGGGTAGTTCTTAACTGGGCTTGGCCCAACATTTAGTCAAATCCAGATCCAATTCAAAAGGGTAGAATCGGCAATACGCAAGTTTCAAAACCCTAATAAAGAGTCTGTCCATCTTCTTTAAATCGTATCGGTATGGCCTCGCTATCCCCATCCATCTCACTCTCCGTGGCCTCCCTTCCCCTCTCTCGCTCACACTCTTTCTGTATTTGTTTTGCGAGTTTTTTGAAATTGTTGCGAAATCAGATGATGAATTTGGATATACATCTCACGACGGTCGTCTGAGACTCAGTGTCGACGTTGAAACGATCCAATGTTTCTGATGTTTTCGTATTCCTCATCTTCTCTTTTCTTTTTCTTTATTTGAATTCTTTTTTTTGAATTTTTCTGTATTGATTTATTGAGTTGGGATAGGGGCATGATGAGGATAATCTTGTATTTGTCCGATTAATTTCGTGATTGGAATTACAAACCTCCTACTCATTCTGAATGCTTTCCCTGAAAACATGTTTTTTTTTATATATATTTATTTACAAATAATTTTGAGTTTTGAGAGTTGGGTTTCTAC